CTATAAGGCCACTTCTAAACCTGCACCTGTCTATAAGGCCAATACTAAACCCATACCTGTCTATAAGGCCATTACTAAACCCACACCTGTCTATAAGGCCACAGTACTAAACCCATACCTGTCTATAAGGCCACTTCTAAACCCATATCTGTCCATAAGTCCACTACAAAACCCACACCTGTCTATAAGGCCACTACTTAACCCATACCTGTCTATAATGCCAATTCTAAATCCAAACCTGTCTATAAGGCCACTAATAAACACACTTGTCTATAAGGCCACTTCTAAACCAACACCTGTCTATAAGGCCACTACTAAACCCATACCTGTCTATAAGGCCACTACTAAACCCACACCTGTCTATAAAGCCACTACTAAACCCATACCTGTCTATAAGGCAACTTCTAAACCCATACCTGTCTATAAGGCCACTACTAAACCCACACCTGTCTATAAGGCCACTTCTAAACCCATACCTGTCTATAAGGCAACTTCTAAACCCATACCTGTCTATAAGGCCACTGATAAACCCACACCTGTCTATAAGGCCACTACTAAACCCATACTTGTCTATAAGGCCACTACTAAACCCACATCTGTCTATTAGGCCATTTCTAAACCAATACCTGTCTATAAGGCCACTTCTAAACCCATACCTGTCTATAAGGCCACAGTACTAAACCAACACCTGTCTATAAGGCCAATTCTAAATCCAAATATGTCTATAAGGCCACTTATAAACCCACACCTGTCTATAAGGCCTCTACTAAACCAACACCTGTCTATAAGGCCACTACTAAATCCACACCTGTCTATAAGGCCGCTACTAAACCCATACCTGTCTATAAGGCCACTTCTAAACCAATACCTGTCTATAAGGCCACTTCTAAACCCATACCTGTCTATAAGGCCACAGTACTAAACCCACACCTGTCTATAAGGCCAATTCTAAATCCAAACCTGTCTATAAGGCCACTAATAAACCCACACCTGTCTATAAGGCCACTTGTAAACCAACACCTGTCTATAAGGCCACTACTAAACCAACACCTCTCTATAAGGCCACTACTAAACACACACCTGTCTATAAGGCCACTTCTAAACACACACCTGTCTATAAGGCAACTTATAAACCCACACCTGTCTATAAGGCCCATTATAAACCCAAACCTGTCTATCAGGCCACTTCTAAACCAACACCTGTCTATAAGGCCCCTTATAAATCCACACCAGTCTATAAGGCCACTTATAAACCAACACCTGTCTATAAGGCCCCTTTTAAATCCACACCTGTCTATAAGGCCCCTTATAAATCCACACCTGTCTATAATAACATTGCATGGTTATCAGTGTTTTAGACAGCAGTGAAAAACACTAAAAAAATATTTCTCCTAAAATAAAGTGTGCAAAGGGGAGCAACTCTCCAAATTTAAAAAAATCAGTTCTAAGTCAAACATTGCATTGAGACCTGGTGGCTGTCATTTAATGAATTTAACAATAAATAAAACTAATGACTTTCCTTCGTGTAATCAACCTTTGACAAAAATGAACTTGAACAAAGTACATAATATAACAACCACATGACATTTTGTGTATGGAGGATCTGTCATAAGTTTCCCTTCATATTAGATTTATGATACAAGTTTTGGATTTTTCACGTTTGCGAGCGTCTGGCGAGCAAATATGAAAAATCCAAAACGAGTATCAGATCTAATATGAAGGGAAACAAATGAAAAATCCTTTTTGTCATATAATGCAAATAAACTGTTAACTGTGATCTGAAACGATTATTTTACACTTGGCCGCCTCTGAAAACGATGAAAATTGTGTCCCCTTTACCATGACGTGACGTCACATTGATAGTTCCTATTCGATTGTGACGTCATTTCCGGAGTGATATTACACACTTTGCATAAACATAATTTATGTGACGGCTTTACGACACTGCATAACACAGTATTCATATGACAAACAGGGATATAAAACATGCATTGTCAAGATATTGTGGAAAACTAAAAAACACAAAAGCCCCAAAAAGGGTAGGTAAACATAGACTTAAAGAATCTGTCACCCCCTTTGGCGTGAAATAGGGTTTTCTCACATACTTCACAGGGTGATCCCGTTGTTGCTAGGGAAAAGATAACTCTATCTTACACGGGGTAGGGAAAGACAGCTGACACGCGCTATGACGTCATAATAACAGATTGTCAACGTGACGTCATTTTATTGTGTCCGTGATGTCATACAACTGTTGTGAATGGGAATCATCCATCTCAACCCTAGGGCTTTGGGATTTGCCGAAAGAATAAGAGTGATGTTTATTCCGACTGGAATTTGTTTATTTGAATGTATGTATGTGAGAAAAATAATCAAACATGGGTCTGTTCCATAGACAAGGATATCTCAACCCTCGTGTAAGAGTTTGGCTGGCCAGAACTTGGCAAGCCTCATGCTGACCAGCCAGACTCTTCTACTCGGATTGAGATATCCCTGTCCACGGAACAGTCCCATGTAAGATTGTATCAATCTCAACCAAAAGGGAGAAAATTCTTGAGTTGCAAAACTTCTACTTCTAAATGGTACTGACCAACTTCAACAATTTGAAGATAAAATGTCAGACGAGGGGTGAAACGTGGAAAGAGAGTGGTTTTAAAAGATACGAGATGGTCTAATTTGCGTTTGAAAGGTGACGGTAGAGGGCTGATTTGGGAATAATTCCGTTGTGGGGCTCGAAATAATGTCAGGTGGGAGTTTATTCCACTCGGGTATAGTTCGAGGGAAGAATGATGCCTTTCTGGTCTAGGTTTTTGAGTGGGGAATTTGATACGAAAACTGGTGGTTTGTTCGGGATTTTCTAACTGTAGGGATTAATCTGTCTGATTTTACGATAGCGACTTTCTGGTTTACAATGTTATGAAGCATGGTCAGACGAGCATCTCTACGTCTATCTGCTAGAGGGCGCCGCTTTAGGTGGTCCAACATTTCTGACACACTGGAGGTACGATGGTTGTACCTGTGCTTATTGAGCACATAGCGCGCTGCCCTTCGCTGGACCATTTCCAACTTGTCAATATTTGTTTGGGTGTGAGGGTCCCATACTGTACAGGCATACTCAAGTGATGGTCGAACTAATGATTTGTATGCCTGTACTTTGGCTGATGTTGAGCCAATTTTAAGATTTCGTCTTAAAAAGCCTAGCGTAGAATTTGCTTTTGGGCAGATAGTATTTATATGTGAATCCCATTTAAGGTCAGATGATAGTGTTACACCCAGATACTTGGCCTGACTAAGATGTTCCAGTATGTGTCCATGTAAAGTATAATTATGGACTATTGGAGTTTTGTTTTTAGTCACCGACAACACATTGCATTTGTTTGGGTGGAAGATCATTTTCCATGTATTTTCCCAGAGCGCTAGTTTGTCAAGATCTTTTTGAAGTGTTTCAGCATCACTGTTTGACTTGATAACTAGATATGCAATAGTGTCGTCTGCAAATAAACGGATTGTAGCATTTAGACCCACAGGGATATCGTTTATAAAGTAAAGAAATAAACTGGGTCCCAAAACTGACCCCTGGGGTACCCCGGAATGGACATCGACAAAATCAGACTTCTCCCCTTCAACTACTACTGTCTGAGTTCTACCAAGTGATTGGAAACTTAAGAATCTTTCCCCCCGAGGTTTGAGATTTCAAAACTTACCTCAAAGGGGTGAATAATTATTTGTTCTTACCCTGTTGACCCTATCATGTACATATAATGCAATGTTAACAGTACAGACCAATGCATTGTTGACATAACATTATTTTATTGTTGACAAGAGATTATACAATTGTTATGAATGGTGGGAATCCCTCACCCTGTCTCAACCCCATCCTCAATATCCAGGGGTTATGCTCATACATGATCTATTGTATGTACGCTCTCTGCACCCCTGGAATATGTCATAGCAAAATTGAAGGCACGAAGATAGCTGTTTGATTGGTCTCATGTAAAAAAAAAAAGACCAATCGCTAGGCTGATACCTGCACGTCCTTTGAAGATAACAAAGGGACGACACCCGACTTCAAAGTTAATCAATTTTTACCATTACACGACCACAGGATTCTTTTGATGTACATCAAAGGATCGAACTAGTCTTCTTGTCTCATCAACAAGGTGTTGCACACTGAGCCTTCAATTTTGCTATGACATATTCCAGGGGTGCAGAGAGCGTAAGTGAGCGTAGCCCCTGGATATCGAGGATGTCTCAACCCTAGCGTGAAACAAGGATACATCACACAAGTAAAAGTATGGATACCCCCGTCTAGGGCAAGACAAAATATAGAACCTATAACTCCTCTGTTATGCTGACCGAGAGCCTCAACCTGACGATAACATTTTATTTTTTTATTTAGCATGATCATGAGGCTTTGCTGAGTGCTAAACTCCAAAAATTGTACCCCAAGGACTAAGATTTCATCATTTACACCACCAAGAAGATAGATTCTATTCGTCTTCATTTACACTTTTTGTGTTAGGCTGCAAAACGTGAAAACATGATGGTGACATTTTCATAATAATAGCATGTGTAAGAAGTTACCAAAGGTGTTAAAGAGAGATTTAGGTAGGCACAGTAGTCTAGTGGAAGGACGCCGGGCTCGTGACTGAAGGGTCATGGGTTCGAATCACGGCATAGCACTGTGTTGTATTTTTTAACAAGAAACTTTATTTCTTTTTTTCTAGTCTACATAGCTGTAACTGATTACGTGGTTGGGCAGTGCTGACATTGTTGAATGCTAGCTGTGAACGCCTAAATGGCAGCACCGGCTGTACATGTATGCTCCCCAGGGAGTTGAGATGGATATTGGCTGGTTGCAAAGGCCCAATAACCATGGATAATAATTTGTGAACGGATTTAAGACGATCTATGTTTTGATATAGCGGTATATAAGAACCTCAAAATATTATTATCTATTATTAATATGTTTTCCTATCAGGCGTGTGAGAAATATCAATTACCTGATTCTGGTCGCTAGGTCTTGTGATGTCATCGCCATATTGACTGAGTAGAGAGTCTGACCCGTAGCTACTGAAAACAGAATGACAAACAGCTGTAAAAAGTATCAGTAAGTCTTAACCTGTAGACGAAATTCAAATCAAAGTTGAAAATTATCTATCCTTAAACTTAAGTTTAGTAAACAAGAATTTTTCTAACACTTTATAATGTGTAAACAATGATTTTTAGAAAGGTATTTTGAAGCTTGCTGATACTCACCTCCCTAATAAGGAATCAAATGTGACGACAGCATTGTCCCTCTCCAGGGCCAGGACTAGACAGGGGCCAGAGGTCAACAGGGGAACCTATACAATAAGATAAAAGGTCAAAGGTCATCTTCACATTGCCCTGGTCTCCAGGCCCAGGGCTAGAGCAAGTAATAAGAGTCAAAATCAAACTGACTTCATCTGTCTCTACTTTAACTGTTTACAGGCTCGTAAAATTAATTACCTGTAACCTAGCGAGGTTAGATTATCTCAGTCAAGGGCTAAGATTCTGTAGCATTGTGTCTCAGTTGGGATTTTACTGAATTTTAGCCTGCGACTAAGATAACGTGATCTTGCTCTGTCACAAGTTTTTCTTCTCGCACCTTTTAGTTAAAAAAAGTATTCAATTAGGCTATAGTCTACAAGTATCCAGGGCCTCAAATAAGGTGTCTGACATCCTGCTACCACTAGCCCTCCACCACTGTGTCGCAGGTTCGAGACCTATGAGGGGCAGTCGCCAGGTACTGGCCATTGGTCGGTGTTTTTTTCTCCGGGAACTCCGGTTTTCCTCCACCACCAAAGTCTGGCACGCCCTTAAATGACCCTAGCTGTTAATAGGAGGTAACACACAAACAAACCTAACCTTGAACAAATATGGTATTGTCACCACTAAAGCCACAATTGAATGATTCTGCATAAATTCCGGAGTCCGTCCTCACAAAGAGAGACACCTATATCTCACAGTGTACAATATATTTTGTCTACAACATCAGGAATCTCACAACAGCAAAACACTACATGTGAAATGCCTGTCAGTCGTGTCCGAAAACTGCATGTTTAATGTTAAATTTAGTTTTCTGTGAAGAAATTAAAACCATTTTGCAAAAAAAACAGTCAAATAAATGTTCAAGAGTTTGACTTTAAAATGAAACCTGTCTAATCTGACACATTGTAGGACACCATTTTGACCAGATTAGACAGGTTATCAGAAAACATAGGTGTTCGTTTATAGTCTTTTTTACAAATGGGAAATGTTTTTTTTAAAGTATGGCAGATATATCAGGATGTCAGAATACTAAGGGACCAGAATAGACAGTAAATCAAAATACATTGTCTGAAACAAGGGAATGCGTAAAGGAAATCCACTTGGGCATCCCAAAATACTCCAGGGGCTACGCTCACTTTCGCTCTCCGCACCCCTGAATATGTCATAGCAAAATTGAAGGCTCAGCGCGCGCTGCTTTGTAGATGAGACGAGAAGATGAGTTTGATCCTTTGATGTACATCAAACAAATTTCCCGGTAGTGCAGCGTTAAAATTTACTTGCTTTGAAATCGGGTGTTGCTTCTTGTTAATCTTCTTAGGACAGGTATCTGCCTAGCAATTGGTCAGGTTTCTTTATAACTACCTGAGACCAATCAAATACCTAGTCACGTGCCTTCAATTTTACTATGACATATTCCAGGGGTGCAGAGAGTGAAAGTGAGCGCATACACTGGAGTATCGACGATGCCACTTGTGTAACATTGCAACATTATTTATACATACCTGTTGGAAGCTGCCAGCGTGTATAACGTGGAGGTAGTGCTCCGCCTGTTTCTGTGTAAACCACAACATCCTCGCACCCACAATCTCATACCTGTCAACATCAGACACAACAAATTTATTTTTTTTGAAAACCAAAACGCTCTAAGACATGTTTCCTCAAAAGAGGACAAAAAGGACAAAGGAAATTAATCACTTGTAAAATTATTTTTCCACAATTTGGAAATGAGCATAAATATCTTGATCAATTCAAAAATAATTCACAAGTTTTTAAATGAGAAGAAATAATCTGTACGTACCCGTTTGCCAGGAGACCGTCTATGACGTCGGCGTAGCCACACTTCTTCCTCCCCTTGGGCCGGACTAGACCAGGCTTTAATACAACGCATGTTGTCTGTAACAGTAGCTGGTGCATGGAATCTGAAACAAAGGCAAAATATGCAAGGTGCAATGAAGAGGCAGAAACTGGTTTAAATACATTACTTAGGCAAATGGCTTTAATACATGTATGAATGTCAGTGATATAATGATAAATGTATGCATACTCTTGTCATATCTGGTCATAATGCGTAACAACATTTTCAGCATTCTTGTGACAACAAGAAATATTACAAAATCTACCTATATGCCTAAATTAATAATATTTGATAGTAGTAGTAATTCTAGTTAACCCTCAATACCTCTTCGCTAGTCAAAATAGCATGTTTGGATTTTTTGCCAAGTGACAGCAAATATTTCCTTTTGTGCTATTGACTACCTGACTTGAGATAGTCATTTCTGATATTTTTATTTCAGATCCAGCCATATATCTGGTCATGTTGCTGAACAATAACCTGCTCAGGTTAAAATTTCAACCTGGTCATGGGCCGAATTATCAGGTGAGACGAGATGAAATCTGGTCTGTTGACAAGTTTGTGTAAACATACCTGTGAGACTGTCATCGCCAACGACGTGTTTTTCATGCACCAAAAGTTCTCTCTCTTCGTGAAACTTCAACGCTATTGTCAGATCCTCAGCTGGACACTGAATCTAAAACAGGGAACGTTGGACCAAATTTTAAAATAAATCTTAATTCTCTTGATGATACATTTTTACACTTGTAAGTCTTTTTCCTCAAACTTGTACAGTCTTATAATTTCTTGTATTTCAAATTTATTTTTTGAAGATCAGACCAGTCATTTAATTGAAGTTAAATCTTGTGAACAATAAAGACAGGTAGTTAAATATAAATCTTAATTCAGTTTATAGTGAAAGTGAAAAAATTTAAGTAATACTTTTTATACAAAACCATAATTTTATGATTTTTATATATATATCAATATTTGCTTTTTATACAAAACTATAAATTTATGAAAGTTTTACTAATATTTAACTTTTATACAAAACCAGAATTCTATGGAAATTTAATCAATATTGCACTTTATACAAAACAATAATTTTATTAAATTCTTCATTAATATTTACTTTTTATACAAAACCATAATTTCAAGAATTATTTTTATTAATATAGACGGATGAAGACCACGTTACCTCTTCGTCCTGGAGGCTTGGAATGGCTGTACAACAAAGGCCCTCGGGAAAGAAACACTTCTGTTCTGTTACAGCCGTCAGGTAATCTTTGGATGCTGTAGGTCAAAGGTTATAGCAAATATGATATTGTTTATTCCATTTCTACAACCAAAATATTTTCTTGCTTGGAAGAAATTAAATTTTCACTCTTTGAATTATTTTAGTGCAAATATTTAAAATGATCCCTTATACAATGTAGGTGTAAACACTGTATTATGAAAAAATGTTCATCGCAATATAACTTCCAACTTTTTAGCCCCCCCCCCCCCCATGATGAGGGTGAATTTACCCTGACAACGAATCAAAATTACATATATAGTCAGTACATGTGAAGGGTAAAAAAGATGTTTTCAGGGTAAATATGGAGTTATCCAGTCAAGGGCACATGTTGATTGGGGGAAAGTTTCCTGTTATATTAGACACTGATGTTTTTACTTCAAATTCCTATTCCACACATTCTTCTGCATGATCACAATTTGTTAATAAATCAATATATTGCTTGAATAATTCTGTTTTCTTCATTAATGCAAATATTTTTCAAATATTTCAATTCTTTTTATAGATTCAGTTCCTCATGATAATCTGCTATTCAAAGCATAACCGTTCAATTTTAGAAACATTAAGGGCGCTAGTTATACATAGTATTTGTTTTAATCTGGGGGCAGATTTCTATCCACTTCTACCATTTCTATACCTATTAAAATTAAACTCCATTCTACCATAGCACTTTGTATAGAACATCAGTCTGTATGAATATCCACAGCTTATATTAACATTACCATGGAAAGCGTTGAGTACGGGGTCCGCCCCAAACACGCCCCTCCAGTAGAACTGACTGAGTCGTCTGGCTCCCTGAGGGTCCATTGGCCCCAACAAGTCAAGTAGGTACTTCACCGCATTCTCTCGTTCCAGAGTGAGGCACACACAGGGGCCGGAGGTTAAGTAGGTCAAATGTTTTTCCAACAAATCTTCGTCCTGGAACATAACATGTGTATCCCATTGGTATGTATAGAAACAACAGGACTGATCAGTTTGCACTTTAAGTATTACAAAATTTTATAGAACTTGATGTTACACAAAAGTAGTAGTGTTAGTCATCTCTTTCTCGCACCTCAGACAGAGATATCCCACGTCATACCCCATGCTAGATTTTTCTATCTCGTCCGATCTGTCTTGTACCTTTACGTGACATTTCGTGGAATTTTTACACTGCGATGTATTCATCCGTGCGTAAACTGCTTGAAATTGACAATTTGAATTATAAATGTTCTGTTTTGTCGTTATATGTATAGCTTTGATGTTGCTAGATATTTGATGTTGTAGATAAAATATAATCTACACTGTGAAATATCTATGTAAGGATGGACTACATTTTTACGCGGAAGCATTCAGATGTAGCTTAAGTAGTGAGGAGGTAATTATCATTTGAGGCCCAAGGCGGGATACTTGTAGTTTTTAGCAAAACTGAATAGTTCTTTTCGAACTAAAAGGTGCGAGAAAAAAATCAATTACCTGTAACTGAGCAAGATATGGTTATCTCGGTCGAGGGTTAAGATTCTGTAACAAAATCCCAACCAAGGCTTAAGCCGAGGTTGGGATGTTACAGAATCTTAACCCGAGATTTTATTAGTGTTGTACCATCAACCTACCATGTCTGTCCTGTCCACTAGAGACGCTGCCTGACCTCTATCAAGTACACACTGGCGGAGTGCTGAGATGTGGAATTTCTCCTGCACAATCTTTTTGAGAATTTTCGATAAATGTCTGCGGACAGCACGTGGTTTGATAAGGAGGAAGGTTGTGAATGGCTGAGGTTCTCGCTGCATCAGGTCAAAAATAGATTCCCTTGTCATAGACGAACCTCTGTAAGACAAAAACACACGATAAAGAGTTAAAAGACATTCAGCTAGTCTTATCTAGCGACCATCTGTCTATAGCTTCAATCTGTCTATAATAATCACCTGTCTATAATAATCACCTGTCTATATCAATCCTCTGTCTATATCACCCATCTGTCTATAATTATTATGAGAAGTTCTTTTTACACAACCAATAACATTTTCTATGTGACGTTTCAATGACTAGTACGATATGTACACTGTCACCTTCATCAGACAAATGACCAGTGGAGTGTATGCACAGTGTTAACAAAGGGTAGCTGAATTGAGTCATTTCAGTATATATATAACAACTATTGTACATACGTTTCCAGCGTAGCCGAAATCGACATCGATTATATGGACAACTCGTACACATTTTACACCTTTATGTGAATACGGTTCATTGGTCATTTGTCTGATGAAGGTGACACTGTACATCTGTACATATCGTACTAGTCATCGAAACGTCACATAGAACATTTTATTGGTTGTGTAAAAAGAACTTCTCATAATCCATACTTACCAACCTGAAGGAAATGTTTAAAAACATCTGTCTATAACTTTATAGTTAACACATACATAACAACCACAAGTCTTATTATAGTCTATATCTACCACCTGTCTATAACAACCTGTGTAAACTAGAAAATGTCTGTAAGACATAAATCCCCCCGCTCATTATTGGGACGGGACGCGACAGGACGCGATAGGATGGGACGGACATGGGCAACATTATATGCACCCCCATTTCATGGCGGGGGCATAAAAATACAAATTGTGTAAATCTATGACGTGTCTAAAGCTAATACTTGTGCAAAGCGTCCTCGGTTGTAATCATGGCTGGTCAGATCAAACATAAACATAAGTGACATGAATGCTTCGGTGACTACTACCCACCGTTCCCTGTCTCTGCCCTGAGGGAAGTGTCGAACACTGGGTAGGTACGGCAGGAGTGACCTTGACCGAGGGTCGGCAAACAGCTCACGATCGGTGTAGAAGGAGCGGGCGAATGAGTACGCCTCCTCGGCTGTTTGGGACATGAGATAATCTACGTGGTCACCCTGTGGAGTCTGGGACAAGTTGTTAATGACCGACTTTAGTTTCTCAAACCCATTAATACCTCGCAGGACTAGAACAAGTGCAGGTTCTGAAACATCGAAAGTATCATGGTAAACGTTCATTAACATTTTTTTATACAAATATTATTTTAACTGGTGTTTCCCAACTTCTTATCCAAAATTCTTGAAAAAGCTGAAAAAGGTACGTTATACGATAGGTAAACCTCAAATTTAAAGAAGCATGCAAGACCTTCATGGCCAGTTTGTGCGAAAGTTTATCTTTACTAATAGTATCAACAAGACACACTTTTGTGCTCAATCCATATTCCACCACATCTAGATAAAGGCCATAACTGTCTTTATATACAATGCAGTATACAAGGTTTGATTTCAGTATGCTACAATCTGTCAGTGTCATTCCAGGAGTTTCTCACATACAATTTGGCAACTTAAGTGACTTTGTATTAGCATGGACAGATAGTCTGCAAACGAAAGAAGAAGGCTGATATAGTCAAAGCCTGTTGTCTTATTCTTTTGTCAATACTGTTCTAATATCTTCTTTAATGTTAACTTATATGTTTGTATTATATATGTACTGTCAATAAAATACTTTTGAAAACCATAGTCTGCAAACCTATAATTTCCTTCGGTAGATATTACTGGGGACTAATAATTTATCATCCATTTGAGTAAGAAATGTTTTTTGTTAACTAATTCATCTTTAACTCATATGAACAGTCAAACCTGTGTTTATACAACAGTGGGAAATCAAAAACACTTATTTACCCCTGTGACTTTGAATATGGGTAAAGGTCATTCTTCATTTGAACAAACTTGGTAACCTATGATCCCAGCATGTAACTAGCCATTTACATTATTGGACTTAAGGTTTAATTCAGAAGAAGTTGGTTAAATTTTGGTTTTAAACATATTTGAACCCTGTGTTCTTGAATATAGGTCAAGGTCATTCATTTGAACAAAGTTGGTTCGGTAGTGTGGCGCATGATTCACTCCAACATATCGTTAGCGACAAAAATTCAAAAAATGAAAATGCATGCATTTCCAGTCTTCATATCTACTTGTGGTGTCATTTTTGAACATTCTTCCTCTGTCTTGCTCAAGGCTAACTCACCATCTGTAAGTGTGTGTATGTTTTTCTTCCACTGGCGGTCCCCGACTTCGTAGGGAGTGACCTCCTTGGCCTGGGATAGGGTCAGGGAGGGCACCCACTTGACACCCAGCAGTTCAAAGCCCTCACTCAGGGGGAGGGTGATGGGCGTCTTACTGAACGGCACCATGTTCAGAAGTTGACCTGGAGGGACACAAATCAACCAGAAATGTAACAACAAAGCTTTTATAACTACTTAATAATTTACAAGAACATTTCTGTTCTGATTTAAATGGTTTTCAACTCCTTATTTCAGAAAGCTACACCTTTACATAACTGCTGTATATATATACATATACTGTGTCACATAAATACGAAGGAAATGGGTATATAGAAATGTCAACCTTAAATTTTCTCTCATTTCCCTGTGTGTTTGATAGAGCCATCCAGGGTAGGTAGGAAAGGGGTGTAGGAAATTTCTATCTTACACCCAATTTCTTGTGATGTGACGTCACAATGGCTCGACAGTGACGTGACGTCACAAATTTGTAACTCTCCGATGCCACAATGCAGAAAAGGCATTGTGATGAAATAAAAAACCTTTTACGATATATTTACCGTACACATTAGAAAGATATGATTAATTTTCCTGTTCAAACTCTGTTTACAAATATGGGATATGCTAAATACAAATAGAAGTTTATCTTGGGCCATTGAATTCAAGCTTAAAGTTTTGTTTACACATGAGGTTGTTTGAGCGTGATCAAACAAATTTTCCCTGATATCATATATTGGTAACATGTTGTATAATTCCCAATTCATTGTGTCTGTGCAGTAAAATTCCCAATAAAAAAAGGCACCGGCCCTTTAGAAAAAAAAGCAGAAAAATCACTGTATGGAGGTCTGTTTTTCTGTATTTATAGTCCGACTTACCGACGAGGAGGCCACAACTCTTGAGGTTACTGTGGCCCAGTATGAGGAGGACCACGATCTCCTCCATCTCGGGGTTAGTATAAAGCTTGGGTACCACAAAGCTGGGGTTTACACTGATCTCATAGTCGACACACTATAAACACATAAAAGTTGAGCTAGGTCACATTATCAATGGAGATGTACAATGTCAAATTCAGCATCCGCACCCTGCATTCTGTAAAACGACCCCAGCTGAATCACTGACACAAGTATGATCCATGTACAGCGTAAAATCTATCATACAAGTCCCGAGTCCTACACTCATAGAATTTGTAATTGGACTCCAATAGAATTTCTGGAATCTATACTTTAATTCAACATCGTGGGAGTCATTGGTTTTACTAATACTGTTGAAAATGACTCACGAAAATAAATTCTATATTGATCAGTGCATGTAGCACTTACAGCTACCCATATATGGACTGACAATTCTTCGTAATTTGATAATTAAATTTTTAAGGAAGCAGGGAAGTCACTGAAGCTAAAAATGTAGGTCAATTTCAGGAGGTATCCACAACATATATGTTCAGTAAAAGCGTCCCAACTGCATCTTTGATGCAAGCATTTCCCTGTAGTACTTAATATAGTAACCCAGATATTGACTGGACATTTCTTTTTAAAGTGATTCAAGAGGAATAATATAAAGGAACTCAATGAAACGTTAAATGTAGGTAAAATTCAGCATCCACAATATGTGTTCAGTAGAGAGACCTTCTAGCTGCATCATTAATGAAAGATGATAGAGAATGTACAACGGAGAGCCACTAAGTTTCTACCTGGATTTAAAGAAATCTCCTACAAAGAACGTTTAGAAAAATTAAAACTACTTACACTAAAACACTGAAGAACTAGAGGTGATTTGATTAACGTTTTCAAGATTGTGAAGAGGAAGTTTGATGAGAAAGTCACGTCAGACATATTTGTCTACGATAATAACGAAAGAACACGAGGACATAAATTTAAGCTGTATAAACAACGATGTAGTACAGAGCTAAGGAAAAACTCGTTCACGTTTAGGGTAGTTGATATCTGGAACGGTCTACCGGAATCGGTTATAAATATAGAAACCACGAAGGACTTTGAGATCCTGTTGAATAACCATCTGAAGGACACTATTTACAATAATTACTGATAATGACTTTTAAAATAACTCTTTTGGGAAAGTTTATATATGTTAACCAGTGACAATATAATATTTTTATACTATGTTTTGTGATATGGACTTAGAGTCTTTCAGCCTGTGTCCATTATTATTATTTATTATTTTTAAATCAATATTCATTAATAAAAAAAAAAAAAAAAAAAGTAAATAAATAAAATAAACATGGGTGTTATATATATACCTTGCTAAGTTCTCCCCCAAGGAGAGCCTGCAGTCCGTCAGAGTACCGTGCCGCGTGGAACAGCTGTTTAGAGTTGAGGGGAAAGTCGACTGTCTTTTGTATTGTACCTGCCATGGAGATTTTAAGGTCATCAGAATTAAAAGAGACACCTTTTATTCTATCCCTTGGATTAAATTCAACAGTTTTAAAAAAAGTCACAGCTTTTACAAGACTTGGTTGGAAATTTAACACGCTATAACTTTTGACTTTGAGTGACCTAATTGCAGTGCAATGCACTTATTTGACCTTTGACCTTACAGTGATGATCCCAATGCATTCCACATCTCCTGAGGGGGGATGCAGGTATACTTCTACTTTCATCAAAATATCTTTTAAAGGACTATGTATGGTTTGGGCCTTTTTTGGCCCCCAAATGCATCAAAATTCAAAACCTTTAAATGAACTTTGAAATGACTCTTTCTTTTATTTCAAATTCTTCCCAAACACTGTCATGAAAATATTTATTTGTATTTCTAATTATTGTTGCCATGGTATCAAGTTCAAAATTGCATAAATTAGAAAAAAATGAATATTCAGTGAATTTTGCCAATATTTGCATAGTTTTTCTCCTGGAAACTGAAGAGTGCATGCTTGAACAAACTCAAAATCAAAGTATAATGTGAAGGCACCTGTAATACATCTTTAGGAGAAATATAAAGTTTGTTCAAGAGTGCGCTCTATGGTAACTAAGAGAAAAACTAGGCAAAAACCTGTCAAAATTTACTGAATATTCAAATTTCATTAATCTATGCAAATATTAACTGGTTACCATGGCAGCCATAATTGAAAACCTAAATAAATGTTTTCATAGTAGTACCAGGGAAGTATTCAAAATTAAAGAAACACTCATTTGAAAGGTATATCGAAGATTTTTAATTCTGATGGATTTGGGGGCCAAAAAAGGCCCAAACCATACATAGTCCTTTCAAAACTTCTGGCCCAAACAACATTACATTAGAAGACCCAGTACTACATAGTACAGTATACAGGGATATTTTTGCCAAAATTTTCACCCTTCGATGGTAAAATCCTTTTCCGCTCAATATTAAATTTGCCCTTCACATCTAATTACTATGTCTATTGTGTTGTTATGTTGTTTACAAAAGTTCACTATAATGATAAATTCACCCTCATTACAAAAAATGCGAAAATTAAACTGCAAATGCTCAAACATTTCCTGGTATACAGTAGTACAATACGTGTCCTCGAGACATGTATATAGAGGATATTTAATGGTGTCTTCAGGAATAACAAATCTATTTCACCAGTGTGGCTAATATTAAGATATTTTTCACAAGCACTACCTAAGGATGCTTCCAGTCGAATATGGCCGATATCCATCTCTTAGTTCCAGAGAAGATGTCGCTTAAAGCAACATATCATAATCTTGGCAACACGAGTGAAACATATATTTGTTTATAATACTGAAGACACCATTAAATTTTCTATTAATTATATAATTACACCTCTAAAGCATAAAACATGAAAAATGTAATGCATTAAAAAAGGGCTGGAATCAGAAGCATAATAATTTGATAGCGCCATATATTCTAATGACGTCAAGTTTGACAACAAGGCTGCACGCCATTTTGAATGCGATACTCCACACAATTCCGACGTTTTCTGCTATTTTCTGGTGTGATCGCTTATAAAACTGTTATTAATTGTATATTTATGTAAATGATTAAGTGTGTGTACCAAACATTTACCATAACAACCACTTATTCTACCGTCGCTTCATTTGAATCTGAACAAAAAATCGGTGCCTTTGAATGCAGCAAATAGAAGATACCGTTATGATTGGTCAATATCAAAAAGTGATATTTTTATACTGTGAAAATATCACAGTTTTATCAAGTTGATAGAATCCGATATTTCACTGGCAACAATGTAATAAATCATAAAACGCCTCCCAAATCGAGATCTTTATAGTGTAGACCTTACCCATGACTCCCTGGAGTGTCAGCTGTACCATACAGGCTTCTATCAGGCTGGCTGCGTGGTGGGCAGCATTCTCCTTATTCAACAGCAGTAGCGTACATGGCAGTCGGGCCTCAGTGTTCTTCTCCTGGGAACCGCGGACCTTTACAAATTCGGCCCCTTCCACCCCTTCAACAGACCCGGGACAGAAGATGGGGACAGCCTCACTCCCAATACCTAAATATAGAAGTTGTTTGTACTTTGTATGTGTGTATAAGATTTTAACAAAGTCAGTCCCTTCCACACTCAACGTTACAGACAGTCTTACTCTTAAAACCTAAATACACAAGAGATAAGGAATGCTTCTGAAAGTGGGGTGCAGCTTCAAGTTTCAGAATCAAGCACAGAATTAAAAGTAGTATTGGAACCCAAAAATATAAGTCTTTTTCTCCTAGCTGACAAACAGCTATATGGACAAGCCAAAGACCTAATGTATAGCCTCCTAAGATGCCCTGAACAAAACTAAGTTCAAAGGTCACTATGCTATACTCTGTTGTTACATTGAGCAAGAAGTGTAATGTGACATTCATGACTTTAACTCATTCACCCCTGAAATTCCATAATGTGCTATTCTAACCTTTGAGTTGGAAGAGTTTAAATGTGTCTTTAGGGGTGAATGAGTTTTAAGGATGTACACCTCTTAGAAATCAAAAAATTCCTGTAATGAACTTTTTTTTCTTATATGGATTTTTGGAAAAAGGAGATAATGGCATAGTAGAAAATGCAATAAAAAAAAAATATGTCCGTGTGTTCATTTTTGCGCTATGATTGGTCAAAGATACCAATTTAACACAATAGGTGATTTTAGGTGAATTTTCAGGTTTTGACCATTTGCAGAACAAATTCATACAATTTCTTCCAAGTTCGTTATCAGATATGTATGAATGTTTGTAGAATTGATAAAAATATTTTTTTCTGTTAAATTATGGAAGTAAAATTTCTTAATCTTATTCATTTTACTCAGAAATGCAGTTTTAGTTAATCCTTCCCCCTATTTTTTAATGAAAAAATACCCATTTTTCACCATTTTTTGCAGATTAAGTGCTTGATATAAAAAACATCCTGTATTAAACTTTTTTTAGTATTCAATGAATCAAAAGAAAATGTGTTTCTCTTTCTAAAAAAGCCACAAAAATGGGGGGATCGGTGTGCTTCTTTTTTTTGTCCCATTATTATTTGTGTTATTTTTCACCTTTTTCAGGGTCAAAAATCAAAAGTGCTTCAGTTACCCTAATATGTAAAAAAATTACCAATAATATATAGCTTTCCACTTTTTGTGTTTATTATTTTAATCATATGGGACATTATAAAGTTATACAGCAAAATTTAACCTGCGACATGTTACAATGGTGACATAATGACAATTTAAGAGATCAATCTAGTGTCAAAAAAGGTGAAATTTTGCTATTTGTGAAGCGCAAGAAGTTCACATAAATACACTTTTACAAAATGGCCGCCAAATTGGTAATTTTTTTCCAATTCTTGTAAAAAACGTTCTACACACAACAGACATCTAGTTTTTTGACATGTTTTTCAGATGTGTATTTGCTATTAAACCTATCATAATTTGTTAAATATTACAAAAACCCGTTACACCAGATCAAAACGAGACTTGAACGTGACTGAAACCTCAGAAGAGTACGTCCTTAAGCAATAATAATTGATTTGCAGCGTTATTTTGGTGATAAGCATTAATCCCCACTATAGTTTGAAGAAAACAATACCTACCTAAAGAACAGGCTTTTTTAGGCGTTAATCTAGACCTCCTGATGCCCCTAATTTGGTAACCACGGCGCTGACAAGTCGCCATTACGATACCCATACACCTAGGTCCAACACTCGGGGATAGGACCAGAAAAATGTCACTCTTAGTTGTAGAGGTCAAGGTTGCTGGAGGTCGTCTGCTTGGCACAACTACGGGTTTATCGTCCTTTTCCCGGAATTCGTTAAATGTGACCTTCTTTCCTTTCCGTCCCTTGGGACTTCCGCTACGAAGGTGATCCTTTTTGGTATACGGTGTTCCAACATCTATAACGCCACCTGGCGGCACTCTACCACCAAACCAGCGTGTCAGTTCTATGTGTACGCGAGTTTGATTCCTTGGACAGAACAGTAAAGATTCGTCACGTGAACTCCCGCCATACAAAGCACACAAAGAATTGGGGTCGGTCCTACGAGCCAAGGATGGGTCCGAGGGTCCAACGGCGTCCAGCCAGATTGTCCTGCCAAATGTTCCCCTTATAGACACGGCCAGTACAGGTCCAATGTTATTGAGTACTTCCAGATCAGTCTTGGCCTCGGAATTGTCAGTCGGCACTGACGGTTTACCGGAGGCAAGGTTCAGAAGCGCGGGGGTCGGGTATAGCAATCGTACACCGGCCAGATCAAGACCCTCTTGCAGCACACGGTTAAATATACCCATAGTAGCACGTGGGTCCTGGAAAATCTTTTTATAAATAAGAGACATAGTATTCTGCGTGTCGTAATTCACGCCATCGTCGTTGAATGTGAGATCGGCGCTGGAGTCCTCGTTGTCAACGGTCTGGAAGAAGAAGCCGACGGAAGTATTAAACACTTTCTGTGCCGCACTTTGGTCAGGGTTTATCTGCATGAAGGTTGACAACGGTTTGTTGGTGATGTTTGGTAGGGGTGGGCGGTACACGTAGGAGGGGCTACCTGTCGCGGGGTCGACCTGTGACGACGGTACCTCCCCGGATACCAGATCCTGTAACCATGGACACACTGTATGGAGGGTGTTTGTGGACAGGAATTTGGCAAGGTGTCGTTGAAACGGTGAACTATCCTTCACTTCATCTTTAACCTGAAATAGGAAGACATGAAAATATAGGTTTAAGCAAAGTGTAAAATCATAAATTTTCGTGGGACATTAAATTTTGTTTATTTCGTGATCCTTAACAAAAATCCATGAAATTAAATCCCCACGGAAACATAAATTTGGTATGATATAGATAGGGGAAAATCAATAATCAGCAAAATATAATGTCCTTGAAACAGGCTACTATATGAAAACCACGAAATTTTAACCCCAGAAAATAAATTATTTTTTGGATTATTTTTGTATAGCAGTATACACTTAAGCTTGCTCCCTTTCTGTGAATGGCCATATATTCATCTTTGAACAATTTGAGTATAAACGCTTAGCACCTAAAGTTACAATTTCTGGGAGAGCTATAAACGGGAAATAGAGCCTGTATCGGAGTACATTTTTTTTTTTTTTAAATGAGGATGAAGGTATTCACTTTAAAATTCAACATTCTGTGTATGACAGTTCTCACATTTTAACATTCTTTAATGATGTTTCTCACCTTTGACTTTTTATGTTTGATGTGCTTGTGACGGAACTGTTGTGTCGGGGTAACAGCGACCACCAGAGCGTGCTGCTCATCCAGCCACAGCTGTTGTAGGCCCACCACATAGAAGGGCGGGGCGAGGTACTGGACTCCGCCCTCGTCGTCCTTAGCAGCTTGTGGCTGGAGGAAGTTGTAGTTGTCCGGCACATACGACATCAGCCAGGTCAACAGGACCGTGTAACTAGCCGACAGCCCAATACCTACAGGTACAACAAACCAGCACTTCAGAAGATAGTTTTCAACAGTTAAAAAAAAAAAAAATCTAAAAAAAACAACCTCATATTTTTACATAAAATGCTTTTTAAAAATTAGTTTGTCTTACAACTGTGTAGCAGCTGGTCAGTTTTGCAGGATGATGTTTTTTGCTAATTTTTAGGGTTTGTATATAATCACGAAACAAATGTCCTTGCAATTGCAATGCAGCATTATTACAGTGAACATAAGCAAGTATATTCCGTCTTTTCGTATTGCAGAGTTATCTGCTCTTGTGAACAGGTATTGATTGTTACGTCATTTGTTTGTGAGAGAAACGTCATAAATTTTTGAGAAAACGACGAAATGTTATCACACAAACTAATGACGTAACAATCAATACCTGCTCACAAGAGCAGATAACTCTGCAATACGAAAAGACGGAATATCATTATGTATACTCAAAAGATCTAGTAATGCGGCAAGTATGGTTGTTAGAAATAGATCCTATGTTTAATGAATTTGTACTTCTCACGGGAATCAGTTTACAGTTCAACAATGGATATACTGTTACTTGTCGTTACATATCTCTACATGTGTTTGAAAGTCGCCATGCATCCGGGGCAGTAAAACTAGATATTTCAATATGGAGAAATTCAATTTCCTTAAAAGTAAATATTGTGAAAGTATAGACCTGCGGAAATAACTGGCTATACCCAAATTTCTTGCTTTTTCACCAAAGGGATTTTAAAACTTTACGCATTAATGGATCAATGGATACTTCGGCTTTTCATCATTTCGCAAGATTTTTTTTGCACTCTTTGCTTGACAAAGGAAACAGATGTTTTTGAAAGCTTATAAAATAAGTTTCAGCCACACTGTTTGTCTTTAAAACAAACTTAACATTTATTTTCAAGAACCATTTTGAATATATATCAACAGTCTCTTCAACATGAATTTTCTGTTTTTAATAATCACCGAAGTATATCCTTATCCAAATAATTCTGATTTGATCAAACAATGTATAAGAACCTACCAGTGTCTACACTTTTACTCTTGCCGCGGTGCAGGATGATCTCGCCGTTACTGGACAGGTGTACAGTCAGCAGCAGACATTCCTGGTCAGGCTGCAGGACAGTCGGGAGACTGCGTGGGGCGGGCTCATACGAGACATCCTGATTTATTGAAAAAATGTATTAAAGATTCATGAAGAAAACATCACTATTTGAATATTTTGTCCTCTGAGTTAATATTGGATTTCCTCATTTCTCTGGCCAGGTACGTAATATTGGATTTATTTTGATGTCTGTAAATTTACATAAAAGTATGAAGTTTATCTTTACGAAGGCTGTTCCATATTAATTGTATGCGGGAGGAGGGAGGCACCTGTATTTATATCTTATGGTTTGTAGAGTTAAAACCAGATCTGTTTACCATTCCTGATATTAAATCCCTTTTAAGTAGGGTTGTCAAACCGAACAATTTTAGTAAACCGGTTACGCGAAAAATCTTTCGACCGAGTAACCGATTAATAGGTGAGTTTGTTAATCAAACAATAAACAACAATAGATACCTAGTAGGTTTAGCTATTGTTCTAATAAAAAAGAATTTACAATTAATATTTATCACATAATGCACTGTGTTATCCAGTGAATAAATCCATGTCATATTTTTTTGCGTATTAACCCATGTAATATGACCTATCAGCCCTGTGATTGGTTGTAAGTTTCAATTGTTTCAGTTGTGACGTCACGCCTAGGACGAGTACATGAAGTCACAGACTTGCACACTGGAGTCAAAATGGCGGCTTTTTACATTTCAAGGATGCATGAAAATTGTCGTTTTACACGAATAAATGCCACAAATCTTGATTTATATGTGATAAAAAGGATCTCACACTCGTTTTCATTTCGAAATTGGCAAAATTCTGACGGGGCGAAATTTTGACATTGTGAAAGTTTCACAGTATATAGTACTAGTATCTGGAATAGTAAAATTTGATTTTTGCAAAAATCAAATACCTTGAACTTATTACACCATATGATACACTTACAATATCAAACACCACAGGTGTAGTCTCAGCAGAGTCCTGTTTCCCACTGACGGAGGCCTGGGGACGAAGGGCGTTTAACCGTTTACACAGACGCACCCTTGCCTGTCGCTCAGACTCCCTCTGTTCTCTTTGTTTTCTATGGAGAAATATGAACATGTATCTTTATCATGGACTTAAATTTATATCACAACTGTATGGTCTTTTAACCCTTTCACCCCTATGTAACTTTAGTAGACTATACCATGTATTGATATGGATGAGTCCATTGTGATCTACAGTGGTGAAAGGGTTAAGCAGTAAATTGAAACATTTTTACCAAGCTGAATATTCTCAAGAAATTTAAGATAAAATTTTCTTCTCATTTGAGTTAAACTGATCGCAAGAACTTCATACGTATTAAAATTATGCGAAAAAAATAAAATGAGCGGACATTTTCATGTTTTACAGACTAGTACTAAAGGCCATTGCCTCATTGTGAGGGACAATCACTTTAACTTTGAATTTTTCATATGAAAAATAATAAAATTAGTAATCCAAATGATGAGGCAAAAAGGTCTCAATAATCAGAGATATGGTATATCATAATATAGTTTCATAGTTTTAAAGACCAAGCCTGGTGATATTTGCAGTCAGGTATTCAAATTTTACAGAAGAAACACCACTCAGATAGTTTCTATTGCAGCAAACTAGTAATGAAATTCTGGTAATAAACTTTCATAAATATTTTAATATTTATTTTAAAGTGATATCAAAGTTTTACTATTTACAAAAACAATGTACGTATTAAACGTGTCGCAACGTTTCAAGACTGACTGGTCGCTTTGTCAAGCTATTAATTTTACAGGAATAAATGTAACAAAATAAAATACTCCACACAATGTAACAACTACACACAGCTACTTAGGGTACAGTAAGCATGACATACTTGGCCTCTTCCATCTTGTTGCGTTTCTCCTTCTCTGCCTCCTCTTCCTGTCTTCTAGCCTCTGTCTCTGCATCCTGTGCCTCAGGGTGGGGGGTTGTGAGGCCGTCTCCCTGCCCGGGGGTCTTGGGCTTCATGTTTATAACCCTCTGGGGCTGGCGGGCATCCGTGTAGGTCCTGGGGTAAGGAAATAACAGTATTTAAAAAAAAAATTGACAATCTTTTGGTTTTAATTACATCTACCATGTATCTCACAAGGAGACTAGCAAAACATCAAACATGCCACAATATCTACCAAATAAATATGGTGTATAGATTTTGAAGTTGAGGTTAAATTTTGAATATATAAAATTTGCATTTTTCAATAGTGTTAATCTAAATTCAGTATCAGTTGATTAGCATGTTTGCCCTTGGTTTCTTATTTTTTTTTACTTAAAACTATATTTATTACTTATAAAAATGTACGCTATAAAATCCTTGTGAAGTACCTTGACAGCTGTGGTTTGTCGGGCAGTACCTCGGCAGTCACACCCTTGGAGGACAGATTTGTCTTGATCTTATTCCTGACATCCCTCCAACAGTCGGCAGACACCTCCTCCTCGTCACTCGAGTCTCTACAGTATATCAATATATATATCATATAGCTCTAATATGTCGACTGAGACCATATTTAGGATAAGACTGCATCAGGGATAATCCTGGACGGGGCAATTAACCCCTCAAAACTGAAATTGACCCCTCCATGTTCCAATTTTCTGTTAATTTTACATAGAATGACCCCTCTTAATTTTGATACTGACTCAAGATTGCTGGAAATGGCCCACTGCTCTTAAATTCCAGGATTTTAGGCCTGCTGCCTGTATGAAACAGACGGCATATGTATGTCATATACAGTAATGTACAATGAGCTCACAACATCAGGATCACGACAAGACCCGGTTACACATATGATACATTTACATGACAACAAAGCTCTCAACCTCCCGCTGATAAATGGAACAGACTCGACATATAAAATGACATATTTACATGACAACAAATTTTGGCTCTCAACTGCCTACTGACAACAGAACGAGATCCACATGTGACACATTTACATGACACCATAGCTCTCGACCTGACTCACAAGGAGACCAGACCCACATGTGTGTCACATTTACATGACACCATAGCTCTCGACCTGACTCACAAGGAGACCAGACCCACATGTGACACATTTACATGACAACATAAGCTCTCAACCTGACTCACAAGGAGACCAGACCCACATGTGACACATTTACATGACAACATAAGCTCTCAACCTGACTCACAAGGAGACCAGACCCACATGTGACACATTTACATGACAACATAAGCTCTCAACCTGACTCACAAGGAGACCAGACCCACATGTGACACATTTACATGACAACATAAGCTCTCAACCTGACTCACAAGGAGACCAGACCCACATGTGACACATTTACATGACAACATAAGCTCTCAACCTGACTCACAAGGAGACCAGACCCACATGTGACACATTTACATGACAACATAAGCTCTCAACCTGACTCACAAGGAGACCAGACCCACATGTGACACATTTACATGACAACATAAGCTCTCAACCTGACTCACAAGGAGACCAGACCCACATGTGACACATTTACATGACAACATAAGCTCTCAACCTGACTCACAAGGAGACCAGACCCACATGTGACACATTTACATGACAACATAAGCTCTCAACCTGACTCACAAGGAGACCAGACCCACATGTGACACATTTACATGACAACATAAGCTCTCAACCTGACTCACAAGGAGACCAGACCCACATGTGACACATTTACATGACAACATAAGCTCTCAACCTGACTCACAAGGAGACCAGACCCACATGTGACACATTTACATGACAACATAAGCTCTCAACCTGACTCACAAGGAGACCAGACCCACATGTGACACATTTACATGACAACATAAGCTCTCAACCTGACTCACAAGGAGACCAGACCCACATGTGACACATTTACATGACAACATAAGCTCTCAACCTGACTCACAAGGAGACCAGACCCACATGTGACACATTTACATGACAACATAAGCTCTCAACCTGACTCACAAGGAGACCAGACCCACATGTGACACATTTACATGACAACATAAGCTCTCAACCTGACTCACAAGGAGACCAGACCCACATGTGACACATTTACATGACAACATAAGCTCTCAACCTGACTCACAAGGAGACCAGACCCACATGTGACACATTTACATGACAACATAAGCTCTCAACCTGACTCACAAGGAGACCAGACCCACATGTGACACATTTACATGACAACATAAGCTCTCAACCTGACTCACAAGGAGACCAGACCCACATGTGACACATTTACATGACAACATAAGCTCTCAACCTGACTCACAAGGAGACCAGACCCACATGTGACACATTTACATGACAACATAAGCTCTCAACCTGACTCACAAGGAGACCAGACCCACATGTGACACATTTACATGACAACATAAGCTCTCAACCTGACTCACAAGGAGACCAGACCCACATGTGACACATTTACATGACAACATAAGCTCTCAACCGGACTCATAAGGAGACCAGACCCACATGTATGATACTGATTTATTTATATTTAATAGTAATAACAGTAATTACAACATAACTCTCAACCTAACTAACAAGTGGTACGGGGGCTGATACCTTGTAGTGTAAACAATTAAAAGACATCACATAACACTCTCAGTGTAAAATCCTGACCATTTAGGTCCACTAGATCTCAACCTCAGACCACAGGCTATAAATGGGACCTGATCCAACATACATGCTAACTAACAAGGGTTGTTGAAATTGATACTTTGAAGTGTAAACATCTTAAAAACAACACATACACTCTCAGTGTAAACATCTTAAAAACAACACATGTATACACTCTCAGTGTAAACATCTTAAAAACAACACATACACTCTCAGTGTAAACATCTTAAAAACAACACATGTATACACTCTCAGTGTAAACATCTTAAAAACAACACATACACTCTCAGTGTAAACATCTTAAAAACAACACATGTATACACTCTCAGTGTAAACATCTTAAAAACAACACATACACTCTCAGTGTAAACATCTTAAAAACAACACATGTATACACTCTCAGTGTAAACATCTTAAAAACAACACATACACTCTCAGTGTAAACATCTTAAAAACAACACATGTATACACTCTCAGTGTAAACATCTTAAAAACAACACATACACTCTCAGTGTAAACATCTTAAAAACAACACATGTATACACTCTCAGTGTAAACATCTTAAAAACAACACATACACTCTCAGTGTAAACATCTTAAAAACAACACATGTATACACTCTCAGTGTAAACATCTTAAAAACAACACATACACTCTCAGTGTAAACATCTTAAAAACAACACATGTATACACTCTCAGTGTAAACATCTTAAAAACAACACATACACTCTCAGTGTAAACATCTTAAAAACAACACATGTATACACTCTCAGTGTAAACATCTTAAAAACAACACATACACTCTCAGTGTAAACATCTTAAAAACAACACATGTATACACTCTCAGTGTAAACATCTTAAAAACAACACATACACTCTCAGTGTAAACATCTTAAAAACAACACATACACTCTCAGTGTAAACATCTTAAAAACAACACATACACTCTCAATGTAAAATCTTGAACGTTTAAGAAGAAGTAATTTGATCGTTCTCACCCTATGTTCTCTGGTTTGATATGTAGAATCCTTTTGACCCTTTCGATGTTTTCCTGTTGTTCCTGCCGCGTCTTGTCAAAGTTTCTCAGGTCGAGGAAAACAGTGTCTGGTTCCTGTTTCTTTGGAGCCTGTACTTCTGGCACTAAAAAATGACAAAAAATACTGTTGAATCTAGAAAATGTCTGTCAGACATGAATGTCCCTGACACCATGTGAAATCAGTTTCATTGTTTGATGTTCTATAAATAGTTACAACCACTCTGATAATGGGACTGGGCGGGGCGGGCGGAGCGGGGCGGGGCGNTGGCGGGGGCATAAAAAGAAGAATTGTTTTTAAACCATTTATGTCACTGATTTTTATTCTGTCAATCAAATGCTGAAATTAGTGGTAAGAGATCAAATTTAACAAGTTCCATTCATTATTTGTCACTCCTTATCATGTTATTTCCATGGATCTTCCCACAGTACTCCTCCCCATGGCATACTATGAAATCACTGATTTTCGTAGAGGTTTTAATTTTCGTTCATTTTTCTTGGATAATTTTCATCCACAAACTCACAGGTCCAAAAAGTAGTGACAACTTTGATATAAAGCAATTCTCCGTTTGAGTGGGTACTTGTAATCCACCAATTCTTGTACATATCGCCACAACATGGTATTTTGTCTGGAAACCATGAAATTTGGGCTCCACGAAAATATCTTATTTCACAGTAACCATGCTTAGAATAGATGTCCTAGAATGTGACCTTTTCAACAATTCACATTATTCAATGAAATTTATTTTCATAGCATTTTTATTTTTCATGAAATATTTTATCATTTTATTGCAAAAAAAAACCCTTAAAAAACTGTTACAAAATACAGCAGAACTATTTATTTGCATCAGTCTAGAAAAAAACCTTCTGAACTAGCCAGTAGTTTTGATCAAACATTCCACAAATTACCTTTAGGTTTGACGCGTGGTATGATGATCTTGGGTGGCTGGTCATTTGTGCCCGAGGTGTTTGTTCCGCAAGACGCAGTTTTCTTCACAGTCTCGACTAAAGAACATCAAATAGTGTTTCTAAACATTTTCTCCATGTTGGTATATAAGTACGGATTATGAAAAGTTCTTTTCTTACACAACCGATAAAATTTTCCATGTGACGTTTCGATGACTATAGTACAATATGTATACAGTGTCACCTTCATCAGACAAATGACCAGTGAAGTGTATGCATACAAAGGTGTAAACAATGAATACGCTTCATTGGTCATTTGTCTGATGAAGGTGACAGTGTACATATGGTACTAGTCATCGAAACGTCACATGGAGAATTGTATTGGTTGTGTAAAAAAAAACTTTTCATAAACATCTATAAGTTCAATTACAAACCATATATCATACATTAACTTAATCGACCAGTAATATCTGACATTATCTGCAATGCAGCATTTTGAACACAGTGTCTGTTTTGTTTACAGAGAACTACTGGTATGTCTCATACTTTAAAATACAAAAGGCCCTAAGGGCCTATTTCGCTCACCTGGATATCTAAGCAATCATGACAAAATATTCTCCAAATAGGATCCAAGGGAATGGGCCAGACCCCTAGGCCAATCCTTGTAGCATATCTGTATTAGTTTTCTCATGCACAGCAATTTTATGTATGGTTATGGAACAAGAGGCCCAATGGGTTTGTATCTCTCACCTGGTATTAAATTTACACTTTAAAAGTGGACTAAAACAAAACTGTATGTAAAACATCAGTATATCTATGACTCTTAAGTCATTCAAAAGACTCTGTAAAAACATTTATCTACATTTGACACTTACAAATTAGAAAGTCTAACAAGGTCATTATGTTGAAAAAAAGTGTATCTATAGCCCTTCATCCCTGCTTGCAACTTACTAAATTTCATCACCCTAAGCCTCTTGGTCATTCAGAGGAAGTTGTTAAATGTAAAAAGTTGACACCGGCCGGATGACGGATGCATCGCCATAGCATAAGCTCACTTTAATAGGCCCTTTGGGGCAGGTGAGCTTATTACAAACAGGGAGGTAAATTTTGACAGAACAGTGAACAGTAATGCTGATCTTAAAAGTTGTTACCCAATGATCACAGAAAAAATATAATTTCACCACTAGGTCCATCCCTATTTCATAAACAAATACAGATTGGCCAGTAAGAACCATTTGGAAAGCAATGCATGAAGGATGCCAAGGACTTAAAAAAAAAAATTCTGACTTTGAAAACATTTTGATATTCTCCCTCAAAAAATGGTATTACTGAGCCTAAAGTATATACATATATATTTTTTTATTTCTGGGAACAGAGGCTCAGGGGAGACAACTTTGTACCTTTTGATTCTTTCAGAAGGTCATCCTTGTCAGCACTGTCAGGGGTCGGAGGTCGTTTTACAGGGCGACCCCATTTGTCCTTGTCCTCTCCGTCAGTCTGTCCTTGAGCATTGTTGGGCTCCCCCCCACTGTCCCTCCCTGATGTCTCCTTGTGGGCCCCTGTGTTAGGGTCGACATCTGTGAGGTCAATGCCGGACTCTGCCATCGACATCTGGGCAAGTCTCTCAATCAGTGTCCGGTTTTCATTGGTCTCTATAGATAGAACAGTGAATACAGTTAGTATGTACTTATAAATTTGATTACAAGTCCACATAACAATTTATTATTATACGAAAAATTCAGCTTATAAGTAAAAATTGTGTCAATTGTGCCAACACCACTAATTCAGTCATAATTATACACTGTATATCTTCGGAAAATTATTGACAGTTCAAGGCAAGTGCAGCCAACAACAGATTGATAATTGATAAACTGTATATTTAAAATTAAATATTGTATTTTAACTGTTATGTTAAGATTCCATCCCATTTATCTCTCAGCTTAATATCCATTTTTTCTTACAACAATTGGTTCAAGATGACTTCAGATTCTTTAACAAATTGTCATTATTTAGAATGCACAAAACATATAAACGATGTTTCTCCAATAGTGAAAGAAAACTCTGGAAATGTGTGCTAGAACTTAGAAGTAAATATTATTATAAGCTTCAGACTCTGTGTGGCCCGATAATATGCAACTGAATTGTAACACAAGAAGCAAACTGGTTGTGGTTACAAGATTTCAACCCTATTAATATTGAGTTAAAAAGTTAAAACACAAATACTTTGTGTATTTGCCCAGTAAAACTTTGATATAATGCCACTTGTTTCTTCTGCCAGCTCACTTACTGCCAACATATTTCTGCAACCTCACTTACTGCCAACATATTTCTGCAACCTCACTTACTGCCAACATATTTCTGCAACCTCACTTACTGCCAACATATTTCTGACACCTCACTTACTGCCAACAAATCTCTGCAACCTCACTTACTGCCAACATATTTCAATGTCCCTTTTTCTTGCTTTCTTAAGAATTCTTTTAACATTTCCTTCATTTTTTTGCCAACCCCGTTACTTCCTGGACAAATGCTGGCAGTATGACAAGGCTTTACTGTACCTATCAATTATGTTCAAAAAATAATAACGAAAAAACAGCAAGAACTGATTTTTAAGAAATTACAAACAAATTTCCTCCACTCAAAATTTTAAAAATTCTGACATTCATTTAACTCATTCACCCCTGAAATTACATAATGAACTTTTCCAACCTTTGAATTGGAAGAGTTCAAATGTGTCTTAAGGGGTGAATGAGTTAAGAAATGTATATTAGATACCTGTTTTGTTGGATCCATCCCCTGTGGCAAAGACAGACTCTATATGATGGGCCTCGGGCCAAGCCTCCTGGACAATGGGTGGAGCAAGCTGATTGTCGTCACTCATACTGTCTAAAACCATGTCTGTCAGAGAGATAATGAGTAAAAGTTATATACAATCTGAACTACTATACTTACAATATATAAGAGTCCAGTGGTCGACACGAACACTTTTCCGTTAGTCCGGGACTAGTAGATTTCAGCAAGGACTAGTGAATCACCTAACCTAACTGGTCCTTTGGACTTGTGAATTATAAAGTAATAATATTCCTTTTTAAGATTAAGAAAACTGCTTAAGATAAGATACAGTGCATGATAATTGTCAAAAACTTCACCATATTTTTATAGCAGTAACATTAGTTATCTTAAGTCCCCAACAGTCGTTTACTTTAATTTGATGTTTCATGCTGTAGATCGCGATGTTTCCTTATCAGGAAATATTGGACTAGTTACATTGACGAAGGACTCATCATACAATTTATTCAACTAGTCCTGGGGTCTATCAAGCAAAAAAATGTCTAATGCTGATTAGACAGCTTTGTTTCATCACGCTTTGCTGCAATAAAACATTATGTATATTCAACAAGCTTAATGATTTATGCAAACGTTGTTGACTTATATAAATAAGTTTTTATGACACGGACAACAATTTTTTTCGGAGAAAAAATATGCATTTGTTAATTGGTACAATTCCTTTAGTTCAAATTATGCTATTCTTCAAAAAAAACTATATGGGATCAGACATCAAAATTTCATAAATGAAACCAGTTTTCTCCTAAATTTTTGAAAATATAATTTAATGAAATGTACCATGCTGGCAGAGGCAAAATAACTCAAGGGAGTCATTAATTTAAGTTACAGGCCATTTTTTCTATTGCATTTATTACACAACAATTGTCAGGTAGAATATGAACATAGATAAAATAGTTTTTAAATTTCATAATCTTGGACGTATAAAAAAAACCTTCCAGATAAATAAAAGATGTAACTAAAGGGATGTCCCATTCCACTAGCACAACTGTGAGGCTCTTATGTGGAGGATAGAGGAAATTTTCATTATTTATTTTTTCATGAAGATATATGTCAAGCTAGTTAACTTTTTTTTTCAAAATTTACCTATGGGCTTACAACCCCAGAAAAACATGTACATTTGGTTTGTTTGGTTTGTATGTGTTTTACTTCCTCCTGTTAACAGCTATGGTCATTTAAGGACGTGCCAGGTTTTGGAGGAGGAGGAGGAGGAAAGACTGAATACCAGGGGCAAAACCACCGACCTGTGGCCAGTACCTGACAACTGCCCCATTCAGGCCTCAAACCCACGACCCAGTGGTGGAGGGCTAGTAGTAGCAGAATGTTAGACACTTTAACCAATTGGCCACAACGGCTTTACTTAAATATTCTGAAGTAAACATCTACAGGTTTAAATGTGTATGGAGTTACAAAGTTTACAAACCGATATCCAGACTGCCTAGGGTTCCCATACTGAGTTTGAGGGGCTGAGACGATACCAAACTGGACACGATTTCTCGCTCCTGGTCCCGGCGAATCTCCTGCTGCAGATATCTATCTATCTTAGGATCACCCGATCTGTTGTTCATTGTCTTTTTAACACTATCCTCATTTGATTCCTTTTCGTGTTTTTCAATGTTTTTATTATCGTTCTTTTCCTCGAGAGAATCGGTGTCAAACAGATTTTCCTGACTTTCCACCCTACGCATCATTTCGCTCTCCATCATGCTAAAAGCATTTGAGAAATCTGGAACAGTGTCATCCAGTTCTTCCAGCCAATTTTGCAGTTTTACTTGGGGACGTTCCGTAAAGCTGTTTGGGTCTTCCCTTGCTTCTATTACGACCTCCGTCCAGCTCGCGACCCCTGTACCTAGGAACACACGAGCAACAATTGATATTAAATTGGTAGATATTTCTATATAGATATTCTGAGAAACAGTATTTTTAAATTTTCACCACTGTAAACCATAATGGGACTCATCCATATCAGTGCATGGTAGAGTCTACTTAAGTTACATAGGGGTGAATTTAGGGTTAAAATAAATTTGAAATTTTTTGAGTCAGCATTCTGATTAACAGATTTGTATACACAATTATGCAGAAATTCCTAAAACGCATTCAAAAAGCAAAATAGCAAACATGAGTGTTTTGATACAGAATAGTAGTTAAACACTGGCAGGAACTTCCAGTAAACTATAACACATCAAATCAGTCACAGAATTTCATGACAAGTCAATCATAAATAATTGTTCAATACATTTTAGACATGTTTTTTCCAATATAAACAAGTTTAACGTACTTGATAACTGATCATATGTTTTTTATCATACACGGATGGTTCTTTTTTATTTATTCCCATTAAAACTTCATTTTGATCCAAGAAATAAAATTTCAAATTTGAATTTTGTTAGAAACGAAGACTTCTCTTGTGAATTCACAAGAGAAGTCTTCATTTCTAACAGAATTAAAATTTGAAATTTTATCTCAGATTTCAAAGCAATACTGGCCAGTCTTTTATTAAACTTCGGTAGAGGGGTACTTATGCTCCTATGATGTTTAGACCCAGTGTTTAGAGCTGTCACGATACACTTTACCCACGATTTGATACGTATCTGGACATTTGTACCACGATTCAATTATTTCGATTCAATACACTTTTATTTTAAGATATAAACAAAATGAGATATATAAGCCGTTGATACACGGGAACCAAACTATTTCCACACTTTTGAATTGAAGCTTGCCGGAGCATCACAAATTTTCATTTCCTTACCGCAGTCCGCCGTTTTTTTATGAATACTTTGTAAAATTTGTATCCTCACAGACGATTGGCTGAGGGTTTATAGTTCAGCCAATGAAATTGAACGTCTAACAGACGTTTCTGCTGAAGCGGCATACACTAATATTCAGATCGTGACGTATCGAAAATCCGGAAAAATATATCGTGAATCGAATTGAACATAGATAATCGCGGTACAAGTGCATCACAGTGAATCATGACGCCTCTACCAGTGTTTACCTGTAGAAGCTGTTGCTTTGTTTGATTTCTGCATCTTGAGTGCAAGATCATTGTCGTATATAGGTTGTGACGCAGAGTTACCAACATCACTGTCTGCCTGTGTGGTGGAGTTGTAGGAGAAATTGTCACGGGAGGCGTGAAAAAGCTCCGACAAGGACTCCTCATTGAGGCTCGTGTCAAAATCCTTGTCGTCATCATCTAGATACGTTTTCATCAAATGTCGCTGGAAAATCACAGGTTCTTCACTGTCTGAGCTTACCTACAAAAGCAAAATAGATGACATCAATTGATTTTGTGAGCTTGTGATCATTGAAGCACTCCCTTTAAAGCACTGTATTATCTGTACACGATATGATAACATTTTATATCTCAAAACAACTTTGTCAAAAGTAGCTATATAGCTTAATGACAGAAGACGCATACATGCACCTTTGCATGTGTTACAGAAGCGGAAAATACATAGTCAAACCGGGGTTCAAATCCAGAACCCTCCAAACTCTTAATTGACAGATGCTCTACCAATTGCAATTGAGCTATATATCTGGTCGCTGACAATCGACCCAGTCCAGATCTGCTACATTCTTCGCCCCCGAAGACACAGCTATTTAAAAGCAAGATTTGGGTATCCCCATGTTGAACTTTCACCTAGCTTTCAGCAAGAGTTGACCACAGGCACCAAATGTTACAGAAGCTGAAATGTGAACAGCCAGACTGGAGTTTGAACCACGTCACGGGGACCCTCTAAACTCTGACGGAGGCTTAACAAATCGAGCTACCTGGTCACCGACGATTGACCCAGTTTATAGTTCCGCTACACATGTATCATCTTTGGCCTCATAGTTTTATATATATTCCATAGATTATAGGAATTCCTGATCGAAGATCTTAAAAAGGAAAAAAACTCAAGTGCTGAATTTAATGAAAATTTCCTTAACTGAAGATTTTTCCTTAGTTCCAATAATGCTTTCTTATGGAATAAACTAATATTGTATTAGGTTTTCAGTAAATTCTTCCTAAAAAGAACCATCCATTGTAAGATTTTTATAATACTGTACATATACATGTACCGTCATTTAATATCCCCTAATAATCATATTAACTTACATCTGACAAGTCAAAATCAATGGACGGCAGGTTTTTCTCCACCTCAGCAAAGATGGAGTCTAGTTTGGGTTTGAGTAGTGACTTTCCGGCCAGACAGAGGGCGCTGTTGTTCCTCCCGGCCACATTCACTCCCTCGTTGTCACTGCCTTCGTCACTCGAATCCATGGTAATCGGGTCATCCATGTCTGCCAGATGAAAGTAAGGTAATGTGATTATAATACCAGGTATATCTTACTATTTTTATCATCATAAGCAGGGGTCGACACAAACACTAGGCCGATGGTCCTGAACTAGTATTCCGTCTTTGCGTATTGCAGAGTTATCTTCTCTTTGGAGCAGGGATTGATTGTTACGTCATTGGTTTGTGTGAGAAAATTACGTCGTTTTCTCAAAAATTGATGCCGTTACCCTCACAAACAAGTGACGTAACAATCAATACCTGCTCCCAAGAGAAGATAACTCTGTAATACGCAAAGACGGAATATTTCATCAAGGACTAGTGAATCACCTAACCTAACTGGTCCTTTAAATTGGACTTGTGAATAATATTATTATAAAATAAAAATATTTCATTTTAAAATTTCGAAAACAGCTTAAAATAAGATTTATTGTATGATGATTGTCATTTTTTTTCTAAAGCTTTACCATATTTTAAAGGTAGTAATTATTTTATCCAATACAGTCGATTATTTTTGATGAACATTACGTGCTGTAGATCGCGATGTTTTCTTATCAGGAAATCTGGGACTAGTTACTTGACGAAGGACTATTAACTAATCTATTCAACTAGTCCAGTGGACTAACAAGCAAAAAAAGTCAGTGTCAAACCCTGATAAGTAGCAGAAGATTTAACACCTTACTCTCAGAATATAACATGAAGTCAATATTGGCATAATATGTCACAAAGGGAAGTATTTTTCGATGCCTCCGCTAGGGATCAAACCTTGGACCTCTGGTTTACTAGTCTGACGTATACGCTGTGCAACAAATAATCAACCTGACGAGAAATTGTCCCTAGCCGAGTAAGAAAGAAGTGGCTAGTATTTTGTACCAGCTGCGTGACATCATTTTTACTGCCCCTCCAGGACAAAAATTGGTCTCAAGTTTTCCAGGGGTCATAGAAATTCTTGTGATGCTTTGCTCAGTATTTTTGTAAATATTTCCCATGTCCCTGCATGCTTGAACACGAATGTAACAGAACAGAATTCATCATTTTTGAATGCAGTGACAACCGACCACTCGGAGTTGATCCCAGGACCTTTGGCTGATCATTAGTCTTAAACGCTACCGAATAAGCTAAAATGAGAAATTCTTCCTAACTGAGTCTGTTGGATTTAAGTGGCTAGTATTTTGTAACAAGTTGGAAGTAAAATAAGACTACTGTCTTGTAGTTCTAATATATATACCATGCAACCCCATTTTTTCTGCTGACCCTAACTTAATCTTGGGAAAATCTATTTGAAAAAAACACCAATTCCTATCTTATATATATATATATATATAAAGTACTCCTAATAGTTGAAACACGTACAACTGCAAGCATTCTTTTTTATGCTATATATACAAATACATTCAATTTTTGTTTTAATTAGGAACTTTATTTTATGTTGAGAAAAATTAAAGCTTTTGAAAGTGTTTTTTTTCTCCTTTTTTTTTTTTTAAAATAAGACCTCTAAATAGATTGATTATTTTTGGAATTTTTTTTTCTTCTAGCTTTCTAGTACCTGAATTCAAACAGATACAAACATGCTTTTTTCTAAGTAGCTTTTCATGAAATAGATCATACAATATAATATGAATTATATATATCACTTCATTGTGTTCAAACAAATACTGTAAGCATGCAAATGTCACATGCCTGTTTTTTGGTGGTTTTTTTTTCAAATATACATATATGTACTGCTAAAATGAAACTGGAAATGCTGGGATATTGTGTAGAAAATACTATTTTTATTAACACTGAGTGTTTACAAATTGTCAAAAAATTTAATGATTGTCTCGGTACATACAGTTCTAACCAGAATTTGTGAAAAGTCATGCAGCTTTACATGTAACGATCGATGTCAAGGCGATCTATAAATAGCTAACATGAAGGGTATACTTCATATGTACATTGATTTATTTTGGGCTATCTGCCAGTAAGATCAGTAGTATAGCTGGCAGCACCAAGAAATACCTGATACAACAAAATCAATTTTTGGGGCAGTACATTTATAGTCCAATGTGAATATCTGGAACTTTGGGTGAACAAGTAGAATTATGAGCATGCATAGATTTTTTTTTTTTTACGAAAAGTTGCATAGTGAAATAGCATATATACATATATATATATTTTTCCTTTTCAGGGAAAATCAGGGAATTTGAGAGCAGTGGACCATTTTCAGCAGTTTTTAGTCAATATCATTATTAGGACGGGCCGTTCTATGTAAAATAAAAAGAAGATTGGAATATGGAGGGTTAATTTCAGTTTTGAGGGGGTCAATGGCCATGGCCCCTCCAGGATTATACAGGTCTGCCTTTTATTATGTAGTTGTGCTATATATGATACCGTTTGACAACATCACAAATAAGAAATTAAAACTTTCCTGCTTCCATAAAAGGTCATGATCAGAGTTATGAAAACATCATTATGATTGTCCATAACAAATAGCTCTGTTACCTTATTCAATGTCCGTAAAAACTACAATTTTATATTAATCATCTTTTCTATGTATACATTTAGGGTATTAAGTCATGTCGCATTCAAAAAAGTTCTGAAATGGTTTAATATGAATATAATTTATATATAATTATATATATATATATGTTTTTTTTGCAAAACTTTTGCAGTTCTTGAAAAGATTGGCTAATTAATACTGTTTAAAAAAGGATAATTATCAGGCTTGTAACCTAACTATCAATGTGCAATTCTGTTTCATGGAACAACTACAAATTTGGAGCAACCTTTAGGATTGAAAATGCTAATATTAATATTGATTATATAGGTTGGAATTACTATCGAATGATTGATGATCTTAATTAATTCACGAAAATCACTAAAATAAAACAGGTATTAGATGTAATTAAAACAGCTTTACTTCATATTATATCATATATGCAAGATAAAATTCAATGAATGTTTAATCTAGGAACCAAGTAACTGGAATATTGTTTATATTTTATTACTTACACCTGGACGAAGTGTTTGACAGGTGGAAAACAGTGATCTAAGGGAAGTAACTCGTAAAAGTTAGGTGTCTTGTCGAAACCACGTGAAATATAAACTTTTGTATACATTTAAGGTAATAAAACACACCATAAAGTAAATATTTGCATACAATATGTCCATATCTATCTAAAATATAAAAATACGTTAACAGATTCAAGGACGTTTGTGTTTTACTCGCCGGTGGATTCGTGCATGTTCCAACAAGGCGAGTTCACGACTTTTCGGTATTCGACAGCACTGAGCATAATTATTTCAATATAATTTACTTCAAGCTTACATAAAACCTTACCTTAATTACCAATCAACCAGCAACTGCTGTCACAATGAACACTGTGGTCATTCAATGAAATTAACCGAGTAATCACTTCGACATTCCCGGTTCGGCTTCCATGGTAATTATGTCAACTATCGCAACTTTCCCTCATCACTTTTCAAGTCATCTGCGTTCTGAACGCCACCTTAATTTTTCCATGAATCAAACGACGATATTATTTGTTCGTGTCCTATCCTGCAAGAAAATTGTGTCCCCGAATGTGAAGAGAATGTCTGTAAGTCAAAATCGTTTGAGAGAAATGCAGTGTATGTCTTTTTTCACTCTCCAGAATAATCCGACAAAAACATTTCGGCCATGCCAAGTGCCCGGATGTGCGGCTCTCACGAGAAATTTTCGAGTATCCTCTGACTTTTACATATATAATGTAGTTACAGTTAGTTAAGAGTCACCTAAACGCTTCAGTCAGACACGACTTTGTTCATCTTAATTAGTGCGTTTTGATGACTTTGAGGATTTACCTTTTATTATTATTCCGAATAGTAAAGTTGAAAAATAGGCTGGAGAAAAAGATGCCAAGATGATCACCTTAATTTAACGAAATGACATGATTTTTGTCGGTAAGTATTGCTACGTTTTGTAAACTATTACGGACCTGGATGATAATAGAATGTCAACACTAGTCATTAGCACAAAATGGATGCCCATTTTTGCAATAAGAATTGTAGGCCATGGTTCTGAATCTGAAACTGAAAAAAATGGTCCTGTGTCTGTTTTATGTGTCAGTTCAAGTGAATTGGAAATCTACTTGACAATTTTGAAAGTCTTCATTATAAAGTAAATGATGACATTATGAAAGAAATTACGAAATGTTCATTAAAATGGTAAATAAATGTCCATACTGATAGAGGTGAGACTCATTCTGAAGTTCTTCCCCTGCAGTGACACTCACTTGTTACAGATAAAAGTGCTTACTGAAGATCTATATTGTGGATGCTGTCACCGTTACCCTGAACAGCTAAAGGTCTAGAATCATTTCTTTTCACCCACTGGCAATCATGCAGCTCGACTTGACACTATTTATAAACAGGTGTTGAAACTGACATGAGCCTCAAGAAATTGTCAAAACATAATTCTAACCATTAAACCATGTGCCAATCAATATCCTTTTAGGAATTATAGATGTTTCAGTACATGTACGTGTCAGTAACAGAACCTTACAGACAGGAAGTTTCAGAACTTTTTCTTAAAGAGGAAAAAAAATTAAAGTTTGAAATTCATGTTAAACTATCTCAACAAAACACAAAAGCAATCCGAGTGCCAAGAGTTTAAGAACAAGTTGTTTTTACATTGACATGGTAAATGACTTAAGTGACTGACTTTCTTGTTCAACCCTAGATATAAATCTTAAGTTACCTATAGAGTCATGCACTGGATCAATTGGAACCCGGAGCCATAACAATTCTACCTTTTTGATGTCGGGTCTGAAACAGAACCAGACTGTGATCATGAACACATGAGCAACTGTGCATTCCCAATTCCCCAAACTCTCACATGTACAGCACCCTGTGGAGGATGTCTAGCAGGGGGTGTTGCCTGCACACGGTTATTAACGCCAAATCGCCAGTAGCTCAAAGGTGGCTGTTCTTTCCTGAACTCCAATGGTAAAATAGGCTAGCTAAATAACTTAAACAAATCAGGTCGCTACCACAATACATTTACCAAAATGTCTGTACCCCAGTTTTAGAGCCTGGAAATTAAAAATGAACAGAAGAAAAGCATGTACCGGGTAACATCTGTTACATCATGTCTGTGAACTTTGTAGTCCAGCACTGACTCTTTCAATTAAACATTTCTAACATTTCCTCCTTATAGTGAAACTGTCAAATTATTTGTTTAAACTTGAAACTAAATGCAGCATCTGTAAATTCAGATATATATATATTTGGTTTATTAACTCTGGCAACTATAAGTACACCACTGTATTTGGGTGTTGTTTTAGTGGTTTATTCACCAATAAGTGATGGTTGGTTATCATTGTTATCTGTTAGATGATTTTCAAATTGTATAAAGACGCAAGGTGAAGCTGATCAATAATCTCAATTTTAGGGACATTTTTCAACCTCAACATCCAGATATTGTATCTAGAAAGCCATATTCCGTCTTTGCGTATTGCAGAGTTATCTTCTCTTGGGAGCAGGTATTGATTGTTACGTCACTGGTTTGTGTGAGAAAATTACGTCGTTTATCAAAAATTGATGACGTTACTCTCACAAACAAGTGACGTAACAATCAATACCTGCTCCCAAGAGAAGATAACTCTGCAATATGCAAAGACGGAATATGTTCCTCTTGGCAATCGTTATTCTTGTTTCTGATTGGGCAAACAGTTGCCATGAACTATGACGTCACGTGTACAATGGAAGATGACGTCGCACAGCATTGTTACTCGACGTCATAATTAAAAGATTGGTCATTGAAATATCTTCAAGGGTGTTATCCACTAGTGGGTAACCAATGCAAAAACGTTTTCAAACTCCTATCAGGTTTATCCAATGAGTCTGAATGGGGAAGAAATATCGTTTTATACCATGTAGAACAATTGTATGTGCCCACATTATTTAGTACTTCAGGGGTAGAAATATCCTATAATTCTGCCCTGAAGAAGCTCATTGTAGGGGCAAAACCAGGCGAAATTTCTAATAAACTACAAGAACAACTTATTGCTCCTTTGCCTGTTGTGATTGAATCTATTTTATGATTATCGTTTTATACTTGTTATGAGTCAGTATTTCTAACAGCTCGCATAATAAATATCTCTTTGTCACTGCGTACATGAACAGTGGGTGGTGAAGTGTATAAGCAGCGTCTATATATCATCTTTTATTACTAGGTCGGCAGCCATGGCCAGTGAGGTGGACGCCCAGTATGAAGCCTCGGACGAATCCTCAGAAAACGAACTTCTCGACAAGAGTCTGTCTGTGTGGAAGGGTTGGAATGTGAAGGAGACCTTTGACCCCATACCCCTTGACCTCCACACAGCCAGTAGCATTGGCCACTATGACTGTGTACGGTCGTTTATCCAAAGGTAAAGATACAGCTGATCTGAGGACTTTGTATTACAATTAACCCTTTCACCCCTATGCAACTTTAGTAGTCTCTCCCATACATTGATCTGGATGAGTCCAATGTGGTCTACAATGGTGAAGAGGTTAAGGATGTAAAAACAAAAATCCCTTTTAAAAAATTCTTCAAGATATAATTCAGTCGTCTCACCATTTGGAATTTTGGGAATTGTTTTCTCCCAAAATTATATTATAATAAATATGTTCTTTTCCCCCCTTTTATGCTTATTGCTATTGGACAAACATAATTTCATGGGTTTTTATTAAATATTTGAACTAACACAACCTCCTATCGTTGTTACAGGAAGGTTGACCTGAACAAGAAGAACCGCGGAGGATGGACACCACTCATGTATGCCTGTTACATCGGCCACGACAACATTGTCAATCTGCTGCTGGATGCCAACGTGTCCGTCAACATCAAAAACAGCAAGGGTCAGACGCCCCTAATGCTGGCGTCCAGCTGTGGTAACGAGAGCGTGGGTTACTTTATCTGTCAGGTGAGTAGCGACCAGACACATCCCTCTCAGTATAAATTATTTTAGGATTTGACCCTGTTCAAGGTATCCCTAATGAGTTGTAGGCCTTTTCCTAATCTGATGAAGAATATACAGTTGAAATTGCAAATAGAGTAAGGCACACAAAACAAACTAAAATTGGAATTCTCAAGTGTGGAAATGTTTTGACAGTTAAAACTGTTCGTGGTGTGCAGTGGAAATTTTCACACTGGCATTCACACCAATGGTTCTGAAATATATTTATCCATGATCTAGTTTACATATATCATCTACATATATCATCTATAAAAGGCAGATTTGCTTTTGGATATTGTTGCACTAATTTCCTCACCACAAAAGGACACAAATATTTCCAAACCAAAAAAAAATTAAAAAAAATGGTGAAGAAGAATTAATTGGTTAAATGTGTTTGACTTTTTTTCAATGTTTAAAGCAAGGAGCAGAACTAGAGGCCCGCGACCAGAAAGGTTGGACCGCTTTATTCCACGCTACGTATGCCGGACACCAGAACATGGTACAAACACTACTGGAACAGGGCGCCGACATCAACGCTGTGTAAGTACCACACTGAGTGTCGATGTGTCAGGTCTGTTTGATCATACAGCCTCCTTCGAGGAACATGTTTGTTAACATTAGAAAATTAACCTACAGTAATCCCCTGTTATACTGCCACAAAACTTTTATCCCTCAACAATTTTGGCTGTTTAACGTGGTTGGCGATACAAGGAGGTTTCAGTAGCCAAATGTAGAACATGGGTGCCTAAAATATATCTATACATTTGTAACAAACAGCTATGGGGATGCTTAGGCTTAGGAAGATTTTGCATTAAGCAACGACTTAGATCTAGAGTTGTCGGTATACACACCCAACACTTCAGAAGATGAAGAGGGAGAGAAAACAAGAGACTATAAACAGTACAAAAACAAATCAGAATCCATGAGCGGGGGCATTTATGTCTTACAGACATTTTCTAGTTTCTATAACATTAGGAATCTAACAACATCAAAACAATATACATATCGCAACAAAATAGAATCCTCATAATGCAGATAAATCTTTTTGTGAAAATTCTGCAAAATGTGAAGGTGCATCTAGAAAGATAGTACAAAATAAAATAAAATCTAGCTCAGATTAACATGTGCGACATCCCTGTATGAGTTGGGAGAAATAATTATCTGTTATCAAATAGAACAGTGGACAAAAAGCATTGTTCGTCAATGTGCCTTTCCACTTGTATCTAGTTTAATTGCCATAAGTTCAGCAAATAAAGAAAAGAAACAAAAAGTGGAAAAAGTTTAATTACAATTTAACGAGAATCCTTTTTCGTTTCCTCCATAGAGAGCCTAGTATGGGGATCACTCCCTTCATGGAGGCAGCCGCGGAGGGACACGAAATCATTGTCCAGATATTCCTTCAACATGTAAGTACTCCTCTCTGGGCGTCGAAACCTTGTGTACAAATACAAAAAGGATAATAGTGTAAAAATGTAAAAACAAAACCGGATTCTATTCTTATAATTTTCTGACAAAAACCCACTGATAAATATCCATTAATATCAATAATGTCCAATTAAACAGGTGGGTGAGACTGACCCATTTACAGACAACAGACATTTGTAACAGAAAATTGCATGTAAACTAGAAAAAAATGTTCAAAATTTCCAAATAAAGGGAGTTCTCTCGAGTTCACTCTTGATTTACTCTTTTATTTTTAACAAATGAACTATTGTCTGAATAATATAAAAATTAATGTAAACTGGACTAAAATGTGATATAGTATATTGCTTTATAAACCGTTACAATCTCTCATACATGTTACTAAAAATGTAAGCAACAGCTCCAGGATTTAAAACTTACGAAACCTTCGTGAATGAATGAAACATTAACAAAATGAAAATACCACTTACTGATTTTACCGCAAATAAGCCCCCTCTCGCAAATAAGCCCCATCCCCACTTTGACAAAGGTGGGTGCCTGCAATTACAGTAAGCCCCCTCCCTAATTTTGTCTCCATCTCCAAAAAAAATGTATGTCAATTTTTGTCTGTGACATAAGCAATTTTGCTAAATGGATGCAAAACAGCATAAACCCAAGTTAAAATACTACAAATAACTATGTTTCTGAATTAGACACAACAGAAAAATAGCATGTAGTGACATGTACTCTTTACTGAGTACTGTGATTCTGTATTTTTTTTTATAATTAATTATATATTCATAATTAAGTGACTTAAAGATGAATATTATAACACATGGTACCACCAAGACAAAGTTATGAAAGTATGGTTTTGGAATAGTTTCATCAGTCGCTGGCTCCAATGTAGTGCATCTCACCTTCGACTTCCTGGTATTGCACTAATAACTCGTAACATTTAATTCCGGTTGCGTGTTGTAGGGTGTGACAGTTAACAGCAAGGCACATAACAATGACACGGCACGCTCCCTGGCACTCATCTACGGTCACATAAAAATCGTGAGCCTCATCGACAACCACAGTATGCCCATCACCTGTCTACGAGCAGAAGCAGGTACGAAGGAGTCAGGTTTGGTTGTGTTCGAACTTAACCGTAGACAATCACAGCTAAAAAAACACTATCGGTCTTTGTGAATCATTTACGTCTTTGAACAAAGTCCTTTTTGCGAATCTGGTTCAACCAGTTCGTCTGTTTTTAAATGTAACATTTTTGGGTACAGCTCCTGGCGAACCTGCAAATGTTTATGCAGGCCTTGCATGGCCTTGTCAAGGCTCGCCTGAAAGCAGCATCAGATAACTGGGTTGAACAACTCTTGTTGTCTATGAAGTCAGTTCCTTAGATGTATATGATTCAGTGGTAAATATCGTACACTGAAGTGAGACAAAATATTTTCTGTGAAATTACTTGCCTTGCTTTATTATTGCACAAAATTTCTTTTTGTTTCATGTTATTGAACACTAAATATATAAAAATTAACTTTTCCTGGTCTAGATCTGGTCTATCCAAATTTCAGTTGGTCACTAAGATATCCAAATCTCATAGACCTATTGCCTAACATCATAAATTATGTTTTTACCAATAATATCAACCAAACTTTATTTATATAACAGAGCTGACAGCAGAGGAAATGTAAACATTCCTATAGTCAGATCCTAATTATATTGTTAATTGTTAATTATTAATTGTTTTAGCCACCCTTGTAGTCAATAGACTTAGCAGAACCTGTACAGCTGTATAGAGTTAACCATGTCTGTCGGCCAATCATGTGCCTTGACATCAGGATTCCTTGTTAGGACTCTTAACTGTGTTACCATGGTAACCAAAGTCCATATTCACCGGCTTAGAGAGATCACTCTGTATAGAAATAATATGAGTTGTCATTTCAAATGGAGGGTAGAAAAATTAGAAATATAATGTAATCATGTTTCCTGAAATGAAGGAAGAAATAGTGCTGGTTGTATTTCTAGTATATTCTTTTCTAGGCCATCAAAAAGTATTTTTTCGTGAAACTTGAACCGTACTTGCAGGTGTGTAGTGCATTGCATGTAATTAAGATGCTGTAATTTACACTTCTTGGTCGAAAGTCAAATGATTGCAAATTTTCCAGAATATTCTTGTCCAGTCTATAACTTTTGATAAATGAGACTGCTGAAAAGGCGAGACAGATAATTTTTCCACAAAACACAATTAGCTGACTTACATTTTACGTCTGAGATCAGTTTACTTGGTACTTATTCTGACCTTTATCCCTGCTAGGTCTTGATGCCGACCTTAGTTCATCAGATGAGTCTTTTCCTACGCGTCGTACACAGCAAGTACGTCGGGGCAAGGGAAAAGGAGGCCCCAGTATTCGAGACGGACCCGACGCCATCGCACGACTTATTGACCGATCTCATCCAGGCAGCGCAGAAAACTCACACCCAAGTACGTATAGGGGAGATAATTCACACAATAGGAAATAGGAGACAACTCAATTTATTGTGGTAGACTGAACTCATGCAGTAGTAGGGTAAGGGAGATAACTGTCAGCGATGTTAGTTCATTAACTTGCAAACAAATGGGTTCATAACTTAATGGGTTCAAGAAAGTTTTTCCCCTTGAACAAATTGTAATTAATACGCACAATATGTTGAGGAATATTAAAATGAAAAGGAAAAAGAAAAAGTGAATGTAAAATATGTACATTATAAAACATCACTGGATATCTCCGTGGTAACTTGAATGTAGATTGTTTTATTACGCAATGGCAGAACAGTGTTCATGTCTGCTTGTCTTGTCTGTTACAGAAGTGCCAAAAGGATATCTGAGTTTCAAGCAGAATGAGACTGACCCAAGTGACGCGCCAAAGCTGTCCTTTCGTGACGTCACCTCACCAATTAACCAACAGGATTACAACAGTGCTCTCGACAGCTCAGGGGGCAAAGGTCAGTGCCTACACTAAAAGACCTAAAGGTCAATACTTACAGTACAGGGGCAAAGGTCAGTGCCTACACTAAAAGACCTAAAGGTCAATACTTACAGTACAGGAGCAAAGGTCAGTACCTACATTACTGCGTTGAAGATCAGTATCTGCTGAAAAGGGGGAAAAGTCAATGCCTACATTATAGGGGGCAAAGGTCAGTACATACAGTAAATGGGCAAAGGTACAGCATAGGGGTCGAAAAATGGAATGTCAGCCTGAAAGTATTTGTCTGGAAAAAAAAAAAGTATTTTTTGCATCGTCATACTTAATACTTAGGAAAGAACATTTTCTTTGATATAGCGCTTTAAAAATACATTTATCATCCAGAATGTGAGTTTGATCAAACATTTTGTGAAAATTTTAATGTAAAATATAGGATTTTTCATACTTATTATTCTTGTATACCAAAAATTTCATAGTATGGAGAAGTGGTGTTATTTCAAATATGTATGCAAACATTCAGTCAAAAAAAAGTGGTGGAAAGTATTCATTTCGCACAACAAAGTATCCTATGTACCTACTCCAACAATGTTAGAGGTTTTACACGGCGAAAAACTTTTGACAGGCGCCGCGTAACCTCTAACTGCCCATAGCTGATTTTCCCGATGCTGACTATCACATTTTCAAAGTTCGGATTAAGAAAGAGTATATCGTGTTTACATACATTTAAATGGTCAAAAGGGTCCAATAAATATTCCTTTCCATAAATCCATGATTATATGAGAAAAATTTCATGTCAAAGACATAAATAATGAGTTTTTCCTCATTCGAAGCGAAGCAGACAGCATTTGCCATGATTTTTCCGGTTAATACAAAAATGGATTACATGTAATGTTTCACAAGCGGAATACAAACAAACTCCGTATCATTTCGTTCCGTTTGAAATCCCCCCTGATATTTTGTATTAATCCAGAAGCCATGTTTTAAATGTAGGTCAGAGATGTGCTACAACGACATGGACATGTATTTTGAGTGTTCTATTCCGTAATATACTATATATTTGTGTCTGACATATATATGAGATCTATATTATCTAAACCGTGAGTAGACATCGTTGTCATGAACTGTTAACCACTTACGGGAGTTTTTCAAGACGATTTTGTTCCGCCCGGATTTCGGGCGGAAACTGCATCAAAGAATTAGTGCTTCGGAAATGAGAGGTCGCAGTCGGCAAAATCATATCATATCTCATGTTATGGGAGTACCTATGTACCCAAAAGGATGATGGCATAAGACACCTCCCTGGCGTCCACCAAAAAGCAATGTACCTGATTAACAGGTAATTGGTAATGAAATTCGTTACAAGCCTACAATAAACCTTACAGTGCATGTTAGGTCACAACAAATTCCAAATTCAAATATGCTTCATCACTTTGCGTGATTGATCAAGTTTTTGTTACCGATCAATTTTAAGGTGGCTCCACACATCGTCATCAGCGTCCATTTTAGTGACGTACTTCCGGAAAAAGTACAGCTCGGACTCAATTATCTTGATCGAAATGTGCATGTACACCGTGTCGTCATTTCCGTATTGCGTATCGGGCATTCAATATCGTAGTGCAAATTATAGTAACACCTGGGCCGTTTTCATTTAAACGGTTAAACCGATCGGACCACTGTTGTTCGTTTATTAAATAAGGTCGGACCTAGTAATCTGATGCTACTTTCGATGATATGTCAACACCCGATATCGAGATTTTACCGGGAAATGTATAATCACACGTACTTCAGGAATAAAGCTTTCCAATTCATAGACATAAACAGACTCACGGGAAGACAGTGACATGAGACCAGACGACCTCAAGAAGGTCATATAGGAAACGCATAGAATGCGGACGTACCAACTTCACATGTGCATATCACGTGCTTACACGTGTTCATAAGCTCGAGGTTGTTACGATTTTCGCTGTTGAGGGAGTTTCGCTCTGTCGATTAAATCGTGTTTACAAATGTAGTCTACTTTCTCTGTGAAAATAATGTTTTGTAAAATATCAAGATACCTATGAAATGCATGTGTGAGTGCACGTGAGAACGGCATACCATGCGATAGCCTCTGGTCATTTATGTACCTGACATGTAATTATAAATATACCGTGAGTTAGCGGACTGTGGAATGATGTCCAAAGTGTACATGACTGAGGGTAATTTGGTTCCATTAAAGAACAATAAATTGATAATTTTGATATCATATTTTTGATTTATTTCCATAATTTTTGTTATATGTAAACAGAGACAACTGTCATTGTGTAAATGTCACCCCTCTGCAAAAAGTTCCGATTTTTTACAAGGAAGATAACTCTCACCCGGATCAAAGTGATTGTAAAATGTAAAATAAATTGATTATAAAGCCATTGTGTATATTTTGTTCAATTTCCCATTCTATATGTATAGGTCTTTGTGTCCTGTTTACTTTTAGCTTGTAGATAATCACTTTTATCCGTACAAATTCAATAAAAAACACTTTGTGTAACATGTGTTACATTTTTTGCGATAAATAAAATATTTGTAGGGTTAATTAGAAATGCTTCTTTTCATTTTATTATTGTTGTTATTGTTCCGAACAATGGCACAAACAAAAAAAACCCGGAAAATATTAAAATTGACGAAAATTCATTTTTTTGTATTTTTTCCAAAAAAGTCCCCAAACTATCGGAATGTTTAGATTTTCATAAAAGCAACTCTACATAGTTGCATAACCATTATATGAAAGTTTCAACGAATTTTGCTGGTTAATTGCGAAAGTGTGGAGCCACCTTAAGATCAAATGTAATATCCTTTTCACTTCTTATACACTTTATCATCAGACTTTCGTTTTTACATTGCTTTTAGGGGATATTTCATACTCATTTGTTGATATTCATCTCATAATGAAGAGTAAATGTATTGGTGAAGGTTGCCATCGCATCTTCGCAAAATCTCATAAATGTAAAGGTACACAAATGTAAAAAAAAAATCCGTAATATAAATGGCTTTTGGTTATACTGACTAAAAGTGGCATAGATTGCTCAAATGAAGATATTAGTATTTGTCCGAAGTGCTACATAAGGTATCTGCGCAAAAGAGAATCTGAAAAAAGTTTTTTTTTTTAAAGGGATTTTTATATGCATACTGTAGTATGTGATCTGCAGTTTCGGTTGCATCATAAATGGTCCTTCAGTGCATTGTTAGCTTGAAAATATTCATCATTTGGGGAAAACCCTCGGCTTTTTGAGAATTTCAGTTTTATGCTTCTACGAAAAACAAAACTAAGTACTAGTTTGAATTTTATGGGTGTTTTTGTTATGATAAGGTTTAGGTCTTCACCTCACCAAAAGAAAATTGAAATCAAAGGAGGGGCCATTTTGGAAACCGCTCCTTTAAAGAAAAGTTGTCATCCCTACATATGAACCAAGAAAAAACAAACAGAATATTTATTTTCTAACAAACTCATAACCATGTGAAATTTATTTTCCTGTTTTGTAGATTCTTGTGCAGATGAACATGAAGAGGATGGTAATGCTTTCTCCAAGACCGGAGCACTCACTATAAAAAGTAGTTCCGGCTCCAGTGGTGGTTTAATGGCTGCCCTTGGTATAAATCGTGAAAGTAGTCTGGACAGTGACGACTGTCAGCCACAGGACAGCACGACATCGGGAACATCCTCACTAGAGGGCAGCACTAACAGTCTCAATGGTGCTGTACTCTCGCCCGCCAGTAGCTTTAACAATGACTTAGTGACAGTTCATAATAACGACAGGGTCAGTGAAGGTGCTAGTATACCGTGTGATGAGGCATCCCTTCCGGGAGGCAGCGGAAAGGACTCACAGCCGATAAATAGTCGACGCAACAGTGGTCCTCGTGATAGCAAAACAGAGGCGCCAAAGCCTGTTTCACTCCCTTCATCCCAGCTTTCTGCATTTGTTCCAAATAATCATTCATCAAGCTTCACAACAAGAGCAGAATTGGCGACAATGAGCTCAAATTCTCAGTCATCCATGCCTTGTTTAAATGTAAATCACCAGAACAGTCCCAATAATCGATCGCAAGTGCCCAGTTTCGGCTTGGGAAGTCAGTCTCATCCTCACAATTTGAATACACAGCCGTCCAACTTCAATGCGCAACCGTCCAATTTTAATGTGCAGTCGTCCAGTTTCACTTCGCCCTGCAATAATGGTGCGTCCCCACAGAGTGACCAGCAGCAGCACCTTGGATACACGTCGCTGCCCCAGGAATATGACATCCTACGCACGACAGCAGACGTCATGCCTGCCAACAACCCCCCTCATACAGACAACAGCTACCCCCCACCAAATATGTTCTCCGGTCTTGGCTCCAACCCTGTCACTTGTGCGCCACAGATTGGCTACCAGCTGTTCCCAACACCTCCCGCCATCAACACGGCGATTCCTCAATCTCCCATAATGCCATCAAACCAAGGGGTACCCCAGTCTCCCATGATGCAACAGAACCAGGGTGTGTCCCCATCTCCCATAATGCAACCTAATCCTACCATGGCTCCGAACTCTGGTACCCAGCAATCCTCCATCATTCCTCCCGGACCAGCAATGGGGGCGTCCAATTCTGTGATGTCCTCTCACCCCACTGTCACCAACGTTGTCATGACGGCCAATCCAATGATGACCCATAATGCATTGCTGCAGGATCAGCAGTTTTTTGGGCCACCGAAGGTAAGTTGTTGGTGTTAAATATATCTGATTTCACTTTCGTCAAGTAAGATTATGTGACTCTTTCATGGCCAGGGGTGTAGGAAAGGGAACCTCCTTTTAAGACTTTGTCAAGGGTTTCAACCGATTTGAAAATACCCAAGGGTGGAATTTCCCTACCCAATACTGCTGGGCATGAAAGAACATTTTCTCATTCCTATCACAAGAATTAGCTCAGAAACCACAAGTCAGCATCACAATTTCCATATTGCGGTATCAGTAAGTTCCCGATTTTGTGACGTCATGTCTCTGTTGTCCCATTGTGACATCACATTGTTCAACAGAGCAAAGATTTATTGCCAAAATAGCAAACAATTGTAGTTATTAAAATAATAAAAAATGTGAACTTAATGAAAATGTGTGACCCGCTAAATTATGTTAACTTGAATTTATAGACATGTGTACTGAAATATTTAAAATTTAAAATTTATGAAATTAAATTTAAAATTTATGAAATAAATGTTTTATGTAATTTGATTTTCAATCTTAATTTCCCGTCATGGTGTAACCCTTTCACCATTGTAGACCATAATGGACTCATCCTTATCAATGCATGGTAAAGTCTACTAAAGTTACCTAGGGGTGAAAGGGTTACACAACAACCTGTTTGATGTATTTTAGGTTCCCTCTGATGGTCAGCCACAGGACCTGCCTGGACTGCTTGACCAGCTAGGACTGACCAGGTACCTTCCTGTGTTCGAGGAGCAGGACGTGGACCTACAGGTGTTCCTCTCCCTCACTGACGCTGACCTCAAGGAAATTGGAATAAAGTAGGTCGCTGGTACCTGGTTACCGTCTATGCTATAAGGTAGAACTTCATTGGTCTCTTTGCAGGTTTCTGTGGAAGAATATCTGGTCACCATTGAAATCAGTGTGGTTCTTGAAGAAACCATGCTGTTTCTATCGGGGAAATCATGTTTTTTGGTTTTCTATGAAAATTCTTTGTTGAAACTATGCCTGGTTGCTATAGGAAAACATGGTTTGGTTTCAATGGGGATCCTGTGTTTGAAACCATATCTGAATACTATGTATATCATGAGAGGGTTGTTAAGCAACCTAAGTCTGATTATCGCCCTGAAAAATGTGTTGTTTCGTATTTAAACTGGAAATATATCCTACAGCTGATAAGATTTGTCCTTTCTTTTAGTCAGTGGTTCAGGGCTAAGGAATTTTTCCTCTTTGCTTTGGCATAATAGCAAAATATTTACAAAGATAATTTGAATTAGCAATATACTTTTAATTGTTTACACATGAATCCATTGTCAAAATAATCTGTTTCCTTTTGTAGACTGTTTGGGCCCCGTAAGAAGATGACCAACGCCATTGCTCGGTGGCACAACCGCGGCCCGATATGTCAGTCCAGTCTTGAGCAGGCCTACGCTGACCGGCTGGACACAGAGATGCAGGACATGGGTCTCCAGCTACGCAAGGTGTGTGTATATACATAGACCCTGGTCTGAAGCCTGTTGAATGTGAAAGACATCTACTCTGTGTTCAGTTACACTTGATTTCACTGTATACCAATAGTAGGAGGGTGTTAAATAATTGCAACTGGTCAAATTACAGGAATATACTGTAGACCAGGTAATGTTTATGCACGCGTTTATTTTTGAAGATTTATTTGCAGTATTTCCAGCTGAAGGTAATATTTTAGAATTAGTCCAAAACTTATGACAGAGAGAAGCAATTTAAACGATCAGAAATTAGTTGGTTGATCAAATACTGAAAAAGAACGGGAGGCAATTATTGTGTCACCATTATATAGGGTCCCTGCAGGTAGGGCGTAAGAATTGTACCTGCTGCCCCCATTGCATGATCATCAGAGGCGACTAAATTTGGGATCTTATCTCTTCTCTTCTTTCTAAACAATTTTCCTTTTTCCCGATGTCTCCCTTGATAATGTCTCACGTTTGGCCTTTAGTTGAGCATTCGCCCCTGTGAGGAAGGCTTTGGGTTCTGTCCCCTGGCCAAGACGGTATTTTCTACTCCTGCATAACACTCATCAATTTAGAAGTGACAGTATAATGTGACCGGGTGGGGTGTCCTGCTGGGTGTCTTCGACAGTATGTTTCTGTGAGGTAGCACTATAAAGTCGGCATCATTTCCGCACTGTCACAAGGAGACAAACACGAACATATTGCAGCCTCCCAAACACACACGCATACACTACACGCATGCATCTTGCACACAGGGGAGGCCGTCCTTAAATAGCTGTTGATAGGACGTTAAACAATACTTAACCAAATCAAACCATTATATAGATGGTTAGAGATTTCTTTAACCCTTTCGCCCCAGGCCACTTCAGTAGACTCTCCCATGCAATGACCTGGATGAGTCCATTATGGTCTACAGTGGTGAAAGGGTACTGATTTGTGAATGTTTTGGAATCACTTAGCCTCTTCACTGTAATTATTGTGCTTTTTTCTTTCAGTCATTTGAGCAAATTGAGACGCTGAAGGCTCAGGTTTTGCAGGAGCAACGGATCCGTAACGTGACCGAGAGTTGTCTGACGGACATACAGCAGATCAGTTACGATACCAGACAACAATGTGAGGAGATGAAAGAGTCACTAAGAAAACTAAAGTGAGTGACATTAGTCTTAGAAAAATTCAATTAACTTGTTATAAGAAAACTTGATTTAGTGAATTTAGTCTCTGAGAAACTCAAATGAGTAGAATTGAGTTACTCGGAAAACTCGATTTAGTGAATTTAGTCTGTGAGAAACTCAAATGAGAAGAGTTGAGTTACTCGGAAAACTCCATTTAGTGAATTTAGTCTCTGATAAACTCAAATGAGCAGAGTTGAGTTACTCGGAAAACTCCATTTAGTGAATTTAGTCTCTGATAAACTCAAATGAGCAGAGTTGAGTTATTCGGAAAACTCAAATGAATCTGGTTTAAGAAAATTGAATGAGTAAATCTAGCTGCTCAAAAAAATCAAATGCAGTTGTTCAGAAAACTTAAATGAATCCGCAGAAACTTAAGAAAGTTAATTAAGTCACTGACAAAACTCTAATGAGTTGCTTTACTGACTTTAAAAATATTCAAGTGAGTGAATCTAGTCACAGGAAACTCAAGTGAGTTAATTCAGTTGCTGAGAAATCTACAACTGAGTTAACTTAGTGACTCAGAAAACTCAAATGAGCACATCTAGTCACACAGAAAATTATGTTCCGGTAAGCTAATCAAATCACAGGAAACTCAAGTGAATCTGGTCACTCAAAAAATTCACTAAGTCTATAAGATCACAGATATATACAGAAAGTTATGTTGTAAAACAGGTTAATTTATTCACTGCAATAACTGAATAAGGATAAAATGGACACAGGAAACTCGAGTAATTTTGTGAGTAACTTTAATATAAGTTTGTATTAAAAGTGTGAGTGTAATTTAGTCACAAAGGAAAGCTTGGATGATCATGGCACTCGTGGAATTTTTGTAGTGAAAATCAATATGAATTACTCAATAGAAAATATTGATTGTTTAATGTTTATCCGTCGGAACAAACAATTCTTTCTATTTTGGGATGATTCAAATATTTGTTTTATTACTTTCCAGACATTTTCACACAGAGATTAAGATAAAAGCTGATTTGAGGGATGAGAAGAGAAATCAACCAATACCAGCATCAGAGGCAAGAAATGTGAATGATTTAGCAAGTGCAATGAGAGAGGACTTGTCATTGGATGACAGGACCAGAGGTTCAGCCAATGACAAGGCAGGTTCCTCGGCAGATTTGGCTATAAAGAAGATAGAACATTACATTAAGGCCCTGCAGAAATATCTTGCCATGATTACGATGAACGCTGACCGACTTCTCACGTGGGGGGCTAATTCTCACACGCAGGATTCTGGCTTCTCGTAGCAAAAGTTTATCTCTAAAGCACACAATACTAGTGCTAGCTTCATATGGAGTTTGTGGAATTCTTGCAGCACAGAGTTTTAGTTTCCCGTAGTAGATGTCTGCATCTCTCACAATGCACTTAGTTCCTGTAATAAATGTTTGAAATAAATTCTCACCACATTTTTTCAGGCTTGATGCACAATTTGCATTTGGATAATATTATCATAATTTTACAAGTTTAGGAATCCGGAAAAAGTGACAAATTCTAAAATTAATGACTAGGAATTCTTATTGTGTAAAGTGGCATGGGAATTCGAAAAAGAATTGTGCAAAAATTAGATTTCATACTACAGTATGTTTAAAGTATTATTATTATGAGTTATTTTGTAATATGTAAATTACATTGTTACACACAGACACAAATCGAGATTGTCGGAGATGTCTTAATCTAAGAACTAGTGTAATTTTTATGTTGCATGTGTGATATGAGGTATATGATAAGTATATGAGAATTTTTACATTCATAATATGAATAAATGTCAGTGAAATCGGCCATAAGGGCTACATTCGTGTATCTCGGTTGAAACGGTACGTGTGGCGAAGAAATTTTCCACGATAAGCAGAGCTAAAAATGCACACTTTCGGAGAATAAAAAACAATGTATCAAGAATATTATGCCCTTCTTTCATCCGTCCACTAAATTACTTAACTTATCTTAAAAACTACATGTGACTTGACATTGTTTTAGAAAGGAATAACGCAAACTGGCAATAGTCAGCATTTTAGTTTCGGTCAGGTACGTCTGGACCCCTCAATCTATAGTGCCAAATTTTCCTGAGGTCGGCCTCGGTTCAGATCTGTACCTGTCGTATTCTTTACAGGTTCAACCGGTTCAACTGGACACGCGAATATACCCCAAGTCTAGAATGTTTAAACTTCACTCTGCTGGCTGTGGTCTCCAGGGTAAACACATCCTGTCGATATCCATTTTTTATTTTTTTTTATTTTCTGTAAATAATAAGAAATGAAGATATGAAAAATAAACATTGATTTTTTTGGGAAATTCAATTCTTGTGATATGAAAGAAGAAAACAAAATATATTGTTATCTTGGTCAGAGAACCCGCTACATCTCCTTAAACAACCAACCAACCCTAATCTCCAAGTGCACCCTGTCTGAATAATTTACGATCTTTCACATAATGTACAGTGTACATGTGAAACTATTTTTCATTGATAAAAACTTTCACAATAGGTAATACAGTGTACATGTGAAACTTTTTTTTATTGATAAAAACTTTCACAAGAGGTAATACAGTGTACATGTGAAACTATTTTTCATTGATAAAACTTTCACGATAGGTAGTACAGTGTACTTGTGAAACTATTTTTCATTGATAAAACACGATAGGAAATACATGCATATGTGAAGCTGATTTATTGATATACCCACTTTCACAATAAACTTCATATTTGAAACTTGAGTAAGTTATAGGCTGTACACTGAATCACTGTACAGATATGTTGTTCATCTGTAACCATGGAAACCGTTCATTGTTACTAAATAAAACATGATGTTACGTTGTACAATGTGTCGTGTTTATACAGTAAGTACACTATGTATATTTCATGTATGTGTGTTGACTGGTTGTACATGTGTGTATAGTGTATACCTGATGAAGCCCCGCCTCTGGGCAGATCTATTGATGCAATATTTAATCATGTATGTTTGTTTCTGAATCTCTTTCGTTATCCTGTCTCAAGTAACTGTACTAAATCAGTAGTTCCTTGTGACATGTTATTTAAGTTGCTGTTAAAGAAATAAGTCTTAGCTCATCTTTAGTTAATGTTTTGATGTTATTTGAAATACTAAAAAGTAGTCTTTATTTCAAAGTTTCCAATTCAGACCATTATCAGATTGTGGGCTGTTTAAATCACCCTTCATCCGTCTGCATTCTGTCCCTCCTTCCGTCCCTCCTTCCGTCCTTAAACAATTCTTGTTAGCACTATTTCTCAGAAAAATACTTGAGGAATCTTGGTCAAATTTCATGTGAAGGTTCACCATGGTCTGACAGGCAGACATCTTGTTATTTATTCGCAGTCTGAATCATCTCAGTCTGTAAATGAATTTGTAAATTCCTGTGAAATATTAACATTGCAAAGAAACATACCACATTGATGATAAAACTGAAGGTGTAAATGCAAATCTAAGCTGGAGTTAATTCTAAACACAGCACCGCAAAGGTTTGCCTGCTCAATTATAGGGCAAAACAGTACAGGGTGCATATACAATTATCTTTTTTAACCCTTTCACCACTGTAGATCATAATGGACTCACCCAGATCAATGCATGGTAGAGTCTACTAAAGTTACATAGGGGTGAAAGGGTTAAGTTTTCATTATATTCTATTTCATTGTATCATTCACAAAAAAAAACCAAGATGGGGGAAGTTCCTGGTACATTTCTACAGTGTTCTGCACCACAATTCATTGTTTGCTTTGAAGTATGTTTCATTGTATGTATGTAAATATATACATTTATTATTTTTTGTTATGATTATCTCCGACACCATCTTCAAAGATGTGATTTTTCAGTAATTACCGCTGAAATTATTATTAAATTTCTTAAAAATTACTGCCAAGATTGTAAGCCATTTCCTGATTTTAAGCTCATATATTCCTGAAATTAAATGTTTGTTATGTTAGATTTCTGTATTGTTATACCAGATAAAAGTTGTCTGGCTTCTATAAGCTACAGTATGATGTATTATGTCTGTTTTTTCTATTTACCTGTGAATTATTTTAATTCCCATTCTGTGTAGTATGTGTTATATACTGAAACCAATTTCTGTTGTCTTTTTTATTCTTGAAGAAAATTAAACTTTTTTAAAACTTTATTTGTATGTAACACGATATTGTTAGGGGAAAATGTATAATTTTATTCTTAAATAAATATTTTATTTTATAATCAGTTATAGTTTAATAATGTAATGTATTGTATACAACGGGAAATCATGCTCCGTCCACATAAAAAAATGTTACTGAAATGACGAATAAAGTTATGTATTGTGAACGAAATGTTCTAGTGCGATTACCTATTCGTTTCAAAAGAAATATTGATTCAATGTAAAAATTATATTTCAAGCTGAACAATGTTATTACGTGATATCATTGATATAGATATTGATTGTTACCTGGTACAGCACCTTAATTTCATAATGATGTACGGATGTGTCGTCTGTGATGTCCTGTCTCCAGAATCAGATGTGAAAGCGAGGAAATTTGAGACTGAAACAGTTCAAATACTGCATAATAGGTTATCTACACGGGCTGAAATTTTCACGATTTTGAACCCAAATTCGAAAACTGTTTTTACATGGATTTTAAATTTGCTATCTTGACAGGTGGAGGAACTGAATTTTGTGGTGTTTTATAACCGAGATGTAAAACTTGACATAAATTGTCATAAAGTAAAATTTTGCGCTTTATACCAGCATTTTCAAGCAAAAACAAGCAATTGTCTTTTGTTAAATAGATTGTCCGCAAAACTTTTTAAATGTGTTATAGAATCTATTTTAAACATCTTGATGTAAATTATCATTACAACCCTAAACTCGCTATTACATAACAACGTAATGGTTATGAAGTTTATCATTGTTGCTCATTTTTACACTTCTCATATTATTCTGCAGATCGTATTTTCGCGATCATGTTCTTGACCGGGAAATAGTGAATATATCATTCCTGCAGAAATGTCCGGCTATATGGTATCATTCAATAACAGTCTTACATTTCTGTGTACATGAAAAGGTGTGTATATGAAGAGAGATCGTATATAGGTCTCTGGAATGTGGAGAATGAAACCTATGTTTAGACTAATAACCCTATCCAAGTTCAGTATCATTAAACCCTTTCAACCCATATGCAACTTTAGTAGACTCTTCCGTGCATTGATCTGGACGGGTCCATTATGGTTTACAGTGGTGAAAGGGTTAATACAGCTATGTAACGTTTAAAATGTGTTTGTATGAACAAAGATGTTTTACATCATGTGTATACATCTCTGGAATGAGGATAGGAATACCTTTGTTTAGACTAACACAACACTGTCCAATCTCAGAATCGTTTGGTAGAGCAATCTTGCGTTTATAATGTGTGTGTATGAACAGAGACGATGAAACTGTGTATGTACCTTGTCTCTGAGACGAGTACAGTTATTCTGTGGCTGAAGAACTACTTGTTTTTACACTGTACAATGTTAGATTTTGTAGCCAGAAAAAAATAATAAAGCGTTATAATTTTACAATGACACTTGTAGGACTGCCACCCACACAGAATCTCACAATGGAGGAAAACATTTTCATTAATGTATGAGCTGTAAAAAAATAAAATATTTTGTTGCAGTTTGTGTACAGTTGTAATATAACTTTAAACAATTCTATGAAATTAGAGCATTTAAAGCTTCATTTGTTAACGCATTCACCCCTGAAATTTCATAATGAACTATTCCAACCTTTGAATTAAGAGAGTTCAAATGTATCTTCAGGGGGTGAATGAGTTAAAGGATCCCTGTCCCACTGCAGGCAAATCACTAGAGAATTCCACTGTGGTTTTACATACATACAGTAATCTCCCCTTAATTTTCATTTTGGATGTAACCGTAGCTTGACCGGGCCATGACAGTACAGTGATCCGAGGTCCACAGGGCTCAATGATGTAACCGTAGCTTGACCGGGCCATGCCAGTACAGTGATCCGCGGTCCACAGGGCTCAATGATGTAACCGTAGCTTGACCGGGCCGTGCCAGTACAGTGATCCGAGGTCCACAGGGCTCAATGATGTAATCGTAGCTTGACCGGGCTGGACAGTACAGTGATCCGAGGTCCACAGGGCTCAATGATGTAACCGTAACTTGACCGGGCCGTGCCAGTACAGTGATCCGAGGTCCACAGGGCTCAATGATGAAACCGTAGCTTGACCGGTCCACGACAGTACAGGGATCCGAGGTCCACAGGGCTCAATGATTTAATCGTAGCTTGCCCGGGCTGGACAGTACAGTGATCCGAGGTCCACAAGGCTCAATGATGTAACCGTAGCTTGACCGGTCCATGACAGTACAGTGATCCGAAGTCCCCAGGGCTCAATGATGTAACCGTAGCTTTACCGGTCCACGACAGTACAGTGATCCGCGGTCCACAGGGCTCAATGATGTAACCGTCGCTTGACCGGGCCATGACAGTACAGTGATCCGAGGTCCACAGGACTAAATGATGTAACCGTAGCTTGACCGGGCCATGCCAGTACAGTGATCCGCGGTCCACAGGGCTCAATGATGTAACCGTCGCTTGACCGGGCCATGACAGTACAGTGATCCGAGGGCCACAGGGCTCAATGATGTAATCGTAGCTTTACCGGGCTGGACAGTACAGTGATCCGAGGTCCACAGGGATTAATGATGTAATCGTAGCTGGACCGGGCCGTGACAGTACAGTGATCCGATGGCCACAGGGCTCAATGATGTAATCGTAGCTTTACCGGGCTGGACAGTACAGTGATCCGAGGTCCACAGGACTAAATGATGTAACCGTAGCTTGACCGGTCCACGACAGCACAGTGATCCGAGGTCCACAGGGCTCAATGAAGTAACCGGAGCTTGACCGGGCCACGACAGGACAGTGATCCGAGGTCCACAGGGCTCAATGATTTAATCGTAGCTTGCCCGGGCTGGACAGTACAGTGATCCGAGGTCCACAAGGCTCAATGATGTAACCGTAGCTTGACCGGGCCATAACAGTACAGTGATCCGAGGTCCACAGGGCTCAATGATGAAACCGTAGCTTGACCGGTCCACGACAGTACAGTGATCCGAGGTCCACAGGGCTCGATGAAAAAACCGGGACAATAACATTTTATTTCTTCAGGTATTCTAAGAAGCAAACGTTTGTTACAAGTATTCTGCAACAGATATTTTTTTTCTCTCACCTCTGTGATGAAATACATATGTGTCCCACACTCAGATGATGGCATATTATTACGGGCATCACAATTGAAACATGCCAAAACTATTGAATTACTGGCAATCTTGCCGTCAGCAAGTGACACCACTTAAAGAACAAAAGAATTGCTGGACGAATTAGCCCTAAAGTTCTTGCATGGATCTTTATATCCGAGGTATACTGTTCTTTTTTCTGCTTTTTCAAAATATGACCTTCGTCTGTGTATACGTTATCTAGAAATTTTGTTATTGCCTGTTTTAATGAAATTTCGGTTAACCCTTTCACCCCTATGTTATTCAAATAAACTCTACCATGCACTGACCTGGATAAGTCCATTATGGTCTACAGTGGTGAAAGGGTTAAGAGGTGTATGAAAAAAGAGTTGATCATTATGTAGGTATGTGCACGTGGGATATGGACATTCTACCTTTGGGTGCACAATTTGGTGTCAGAACCTCGGCAAAACCTCGGTTCAGACCCAAAATCTACACTCTCCAGATTCCACATTCCTACATATGTTAGACTTTAGTATTACCCTCTGTACTTGCACTCTTTGATCATTAACTTCGAGTTAAACTGAAAACAAAGGGAAACGCAAAAAAACTTGATATTGATGAAGACATTGACAGTCACCGGACCTTACAAACAAAGGCCACTTTTGTGAATCCGGTTCAACCAGTTGAAACGGTTGAACCTGAAAGAAAACGACTGGCGCAGATCTGAACCGAGGCTGACCTCAGGAATATTTGGCACGTGTAGATTGAGGGGTCCAGACTTACTGGTCCGAAACTAAGAAACATTATGTCGTTATAAAACAAGGTCAATCCACTTGTAGATTTTCAGATAGTTATATAATTTAGTGGATGGACGCATGAAAGAAGGACATATTATTCTTGATATACTACTCTCATTTTGCTAATTAGGATCACTTTTATTTTTGGGCATATCTGAAAATAAATATTTGATTTGGTTTATACTGCGATTATTTTTGAAAAATTGATTGTTCTTTTAATTTATCAGCATGCAAAAATTCCAAAAACGCAATTACAGTCGGAAAATGGGCCACAGGAAAAGGGTTACCCTTAAAACTGGTAACAACGAGGTATTAAATAAAAAACTGAAATAAACAGAAACTGTTTTAGTATCGAGTGTGACGCCCATGGCCATCAATTACAGCTTCATAACCTTCTCGCATGCCCCTTATGAGATCGCGTATCTGGTTTTGTGGGATAGCGTTCCACTCGGCTACCAAAGCTGTTCCCATCTCCTGTAGCGTTCTTGGCTGAACATTTCCGGTAGAGAGAGGTGCCTGCAGCATGTCCCACACATGCTCGATGGGATTTAGATCCGGCAAGCGGGCTGGCCAATCCATTCGTTGAATAGTCTCTTGCTGTAGATACTGCTCAGTCACCCTTGCTCTATGTGGTCTAACATTATCGTCCATAAGGATGAAGTCAGGGCCGATAGCGCCAGCGTAGGGTCTGACATAGGGATCAAGAATTATATTGCAGTAAATCCGGGCCGTAACGGTACCATTATGGAAGACATGGTGCCTCCCCACACCATCACTTAACCTCCGCCATATCGGTCATGTTCCACAACGTTACCTGTCTGGAACCTCTCCCCAGGTTGTCTCCATACTCTAACGCGCCTGTCGGTGAAGTCGAGACAGAAATCTGAACTGGTCAGTAAAAAGAACCGGTTCCCATTCCTGAAGAGTCCAAGTGCTGTGAGCTTAGGCCCAATCTAATCGGTCCCTAACAAGGCGGACAGTTAAGGGAACTCGTATTGCTGGTCTACGTGACCTTAAACCAGCAACATGAAGACGGTTCTGAGTGGCTACCCGGGTACCAGAAGCCTTTAGGAGGTCATTTCATAAAGCTGTGGCAGTATGGAACCTGTGACGCCGTGCCTGTATGAACAAAAATTGGCCTTGGCGCTGCATTGGACCCCATTGACCTCCAGCATGAAAACTGTAAGGGTTTTCCGTTACTTTGGAAACAATTCCACATATTTGCCACCACACTTTGAGACACCCTAAGGTCTGCTGCAGCGTGACGTTGAGACATGCTAGCTTGCAGCATTCCGATGCCCCTATTTATTTCACCGTCATTTAACCGTTGTCTGTTTCGTCTTTGTGCCATATTAAAACAAAAACACGTTAAGAATATTTGAACAACGCCTTACTTATCCTAGCTTAGCTTTTGTAAGGGGTGTACACGTGGAAAAGCGTGCACACGCTTTTATGGTTGACTGAACACACCCACACAGGCTAACATATTCGCCCAAAACAGTATGGAAGGAATATATAATATCCTTCCTAACATTTAGATTATTTTTTTTCAAAATATAGGTGATCCTCAGCAAAATGTGAGTAGTATATATTGTGACAGTTATTTCTCCGAAATTGTGATTTTTTTTTGCTCTGCTTACAGTTCGGTCAAAGTGCGTTTGTTTATTGTGGAATATTTTTGTGCCAACTCAACCATTTCAATCGGGATACGCGAACGTGACCTAAGACCCTGCACAGCTTCAGAAAGAAAACTAGAAGACATGGGTTTTCATTGAAAGATAATATTTTATAACAAAAGTACACTGACAGGTTTAAACTTCAATGAGAAGTGACAATCTATTGGGATACAGTCCTGCTGTTTCTCCGAGAAGGCTTCAGTCGAAAACATCGCTGGGTATACCAAACATTCCGTGTCGTGTGGGCCCTGCTCCCCATACCTACAAAACAGACAGGATGATACTTGTTGCCCCAACTTGAAAATAATGTGATTTGGTTGAAGAATTTATTACATTTTGGAAATCTAATTATGGGTTATGTTCTTGATATGAATACCTTCTCTAAACGCTTGGATTGTGTCATGACAAATTTCACGGCACACGGTTAGCAATAACGGTGTTTTCTGGTTATGTATAAAACCTGACCAATCGCGCCCTTTGAAACTTACAGGTGAGTGGCATCCGACTTCAAATCCAGCCAAATTTACCATTATGCTGCTGCATGATTCTTTTAAAGTACATTAAAGAATCAAACTTAAATTTATACTTGCAACATCTGCTTAGTGAAGCATACATAGCTTACAAAAGACCTGGGGCATTACGGGTCATTTTTGGCCTCATAAAACGTGAAAAATTTCAACTTTGATTTATTTACCAATTTCTATTATAAACATCAGATTGGTTAGTTTGGGCTATCTTTCTTGGTGCAGATAATGCGCATGCCTAGATGCCCTACCATAGCAACAAAATTGCATTGCTATGCAGAAATAGCCCAAATATGGTGTTTTTGGACAGTTAGCATGCAGAAATGAAAGCCGAGGCATACGACAAACAAAAATTTCTTTCTACGAACGATCACTGGTATGACAATGTTTAAGCATGTCAATGGCTTTCCAAAATTGAAAAATTGTTTAGGTAATTTCCTTCTTAATGGCGAATTTTCAACGAAATAGAGCACAACAGACAATATTCACGCATTTTATTGTGAAAATGCGGGTTTATGTCTCTCTTTGTAATGCCAAATATCTCCTAAACCAGTTGTCGAATGAATTTAAAGTTTCAAATTTGCGTACTTCATTTATTCCAGATTATGAACAGAACAACTAATTTTAAATCCCCGATGAGGCCGGCAATGACCCTTATAGGTAAAGTCCCTAGTCTTTTGTCATGACAAATTATAAGGATGAAGAGAAGATATGTGTATCTGGGGGGAAACCCTTGGATTTTAAAGATGAGTTTTAGTCAATACTACATCCTATTTAATATTTTAAAGAAAAGAAAAAAAAATCATTTGGTGCGAGCTGAATTTTACATAGGTCATTTACTATTATTTATTAAGTTTAGCTTCACTTCTGTTCAAGTTGTTCAAGTAATTCACAACTATTTCTGAAAAGGAAAATTTGGTATGAGCCTGGTCAAGACCATCCTCGATATCAAGGGGTTATGCTCACTTTCGCTCTCTACACCCCTGGATATATCATAGCAAAATTGAAGGCTCAATGTGCAGCACCTTGTGGTTGAGACGGAAAACTAGTTCGATCCTTTGATGTACATCAAAAGAACCTCTTGGTCATGTTACGGTAAACATTGACAGGCTTTGAAGTCGGGCGTCTCTCCTTTGTAATCTTTAAAGGACAGATATCAGCCTTGCGATGGGTCAGTTTGTTTTACCCAAGACCAATTAATCCATCTCGTTTTTTACCCGAGACTTATCAACCAGCTATCTTATTGCCTTCAATTTTGCCATGACATTTTCCAGGGGTGCAGAGAGCAAAAGTAAGCGTAACCCCTGGAGTATCGAGGATGGGTCAAGATCCCCCTACATGGAAAAACTTCCACAGCAAAATGTCTTACCTCGGGTGGGGACACCATGTCCAAATTGAAGGGTGGAAAGCTTGCTACGGTGGGCTGTAGTATAAATAAAAAACGGTTAAACAAATCTATATGTACATTTAAATAGGTAACTCGGACCATATTTAACCCTTTCACCACTGAAGACAATAATTGACTCATCCAGATCAATGCATAGGAGAGTCTACTTAATTTATATAGGGGTGAAATGGTTAACCAGAAACAACAAGGTTTTCACCATCTTCACTAAACACTGACTTATTTACAGATCTAGTAAACATCATTCCACAGATTTATATTGAGTAAAATATCTTTAACATAAACTAAAATATTTTCATATCCAGAAGTCATCAGCCTACAGCTATGTAATTATTAACCCTGAAACCTGTACCGCAAATATTTATGAAACAATAATGATCTCTCCCTCCTGGTAAACAAGTTCCATACGATCAATACCATACTCTAGAATATCAAATATAAACTTCATTTATTTTACAACAATTATAAAACAAGTTATTTCAACTTATATTAATCACTCTTGTTGGCCCGGATGTAAGCGCGCGGAGGTCTTATTGTGGGAGGAAACCGGAGTACCCGGAAAAAACCGACATGGTCGGGCAGGCGACCCCATACCTTTTCACGTCCGATCGGGAATCAAACCCTGGCCGCCTTGCAATTGGTGAAAGGCAAGTGCGCTGTATTTTAGGTCCCCCACCGGTTCCCGGGGGGAACTATAGGTTTGCACTCCGTCCGAGAAGTTTGTCCAAGACATATCTTCTATACCATTTCACCTGAAGTAACCACATTTGGTATACAAGGAAATCTGGGGATGGCGGGGTGTAGAGTGCAAGAAGACGGTCACTTTGACATTTTCTTTGACCTTTGACCTTAACTTTTGAAAAAGTTTGTCCGGGCATATTTTCTATACTTTTTCACATGGAGTAACCAGATTCGGTGTCTAAGGACATCTTTGGATGGTGGAGTGCAAGAAGTATGTATTTTTTTGGATACTTTCCTAACAGAAGGTACATCCAGACATAAGTGTGCTGTTTGTTAAATAAAGAAATCATTACCGTTGGGGGACTATGGATTGCCTTGTTGAGAATCCATTCCTCTGTTCCCCTCAGGTTCATTGCTTATAAACCCTTTCAACACTGTAGACCATAATGGACTCATCCAGATCAATTTATGGAAGAGGTTATTAAAGTTACATATGGGTGAAATGGTTAAGATGTTTTTAATTGTAAATGATTATTAGTCCCTTACAGGTAAAACCAAAACTACTACAATTCACTAATTTGAACTTAAAAGCAATAACCCAATACAGATGATTACATGTAAGAGATGAGTCTCTGTCTTTCCCCTTTTTTATAGCTAACTTTCTGAAAATGTGAACTTACAGGCGGGAAGGAAACAGTACGGTTATAGACGGCGTAGGCACGGGCAGTACAGTCGGAGTCTGTTTTGTCACCTGACTTGATCTTGACAGTTACTGCAGTACAAACCCCCTTGGGACAGTCTCTCGCTGCCTGTTTATTCAAGGTTATGCTGTGGAACAGCTTGAAGAACACAATTCTACAACCAAAGTTGTCATGTATGTATCTCACAATTAATTATTCAACTGCATGTGAAATTACATCCTTAATCAACATCGCTGATCATACTGGTGATCAAATTCAACATCAGTCTGATCATAATCAAAATCAACATCACTGCTCATAATCAAAATCACTGATCCTAATCAACATCAACATCACTGATCCTAATCAACATCAACATCACTGATCTTAATCAACATCAACGTCACTGATCATAATCAACATCAACATCACTATCATAATCAACATCACTGATCATAATCAATATCACTGATCATAATCAACATCACTGATCATAATCAATATCACTAATCATAATCAACATCACTGATCATAATCAACATCACTGATCGTAATCAAATCATCATCACTAATCATGATAAAAAATCAACATCACTGGTGATCATACAACGAAATATTCCCCTATCTCAACTCAAGGGGTGGTATTCTTGATTGTCTTATGTTCCAGGCTTGCTTCAAGCTGAGGGGTAGATACTCTAAAATCTCACCCCAAGGGTTGAGATATAAAATATGTTTTTTGTAAACTTGTGGAATTCAATTGATGTGCTCTATAGACTGTTTCTACTAGCATATTTCTGGGCTAAGGAGTGCATATCATCAACACAGACCACAGATTATTTTGAAAGACCTCAAGGACTTTAATATAACCGGATTCACCTGTAACTAGACCTGTAAACCACAGGCTAATTTAATACCCTTAACTAAAACAATCAAATTCAGAAAGGGGAAATAACTCCTATTAATATGCTGTACTGAAAAGTAATGGCTACATGCAATTAAGGTCGAATGAGTGTATTGATAAACAGAAATAGGAAGTAACATCCCTAGTTGAAAAATCCAATGTAGGGAGACAGTATTGACACAATTCCCTCATATTTTAGGTCTAATATTTATAATTTATTTAACACAATTTCAGCAGTTATTAAATTGAAATACATTAATGCAATACTAATCTATGGCAGTATCATTTTTATTAACATTATTTTGCAAAAAAATGTGTTTCGTTTCTTTTCCTAAATACTGTATACCAGGAAAATTTTGCAGCAGTTTGACATTTGATTTTTTTCCGAAATGAGTGCGAATTTATCACGAACATTAGTACACAACACACAATGTATAGTAATTATATGTGAAGGGTGAAATGAACACTTCAGGTGAGCAGGTATTATACTGGCAAAGGGCGAATAATCGATTAAGCAAAAGTTTACTGGTGTACGTATAGTGCAACTACCGATGGTACCATCAGCCAAGAAAATAAATATTTGCAGTGCTCTTGACAAATTTATAAATGGAAATCACTAAAGGGGCCTTACTCCGACTGACACATGAATGAAAAATAAAATGCAAGAGCACAACTACCTAGGGTACTTATTCAGCGTACCAACTTTCATAAATTTTAAGTAGCAGCACTTCAGACAATATTTATAAAAGCTAGGAAATCAGAAAAGGGACATAACTCCAAAAACTAAAAAAAAACGTACAAATGAACATTACTTAAAGTTTGAGCTCCGAGTAACTTTTATCCATAAATGGACAGACACCCTGATTCCATTCAGATCTTTCGACTGACGACCACACTTTTTCAATTTGATATATTAGCTGTCAAGAAAGGAAAGATGGAACCTTTTACAGGGAAGTATTTTTTTAAGCAAAAAAACACTAATTTGCTTGATCTTCTAAAGACAAGGACGAGTACTCAAAATAATAAGACTTTACCACTAAGTACCGTATCAAAAGGAAAAGATGAAACCTTTCAAAGGAAAGTAACTCGAAGCAAAAAAAACTAATTTGCTTTACCTTCTAACGAAATACAAGGAAGAGTACTCAAAGTAATAAAGACCTTTCGATTGCTAACTACAATTTTCCAATTTATTACAGCTATCCAAAAATGTAAACTGCACTGTATTAAAACGAAAGACGAAAACTTCCAAAGGGAAGTAAGTCTTAGCATCTTTTTTAAACTTGCTTTACTTTCTAAATACAAAAATGAATACTCAAATTAATAAAAACTATGAAGCTGATTTTGCTTTATTTATATTCTAAATGTAAGCGAGAATATTCAAAAATGATAAAAAAAAACCTATGAGGTCGATTACTCTTCTTCTCAATTATAAATTTTGCAGTTTCACCCTCACTGAAGCAAAATGGCGCTACATTTTTCAGTTTTCTCATACTTTCAATACCTACCCCACAGTGTCGTCAAAGAAATATTTCGCACCATTCGTGTCATCATCAACCTCCTGTAGGCTGTTCGCCTTGGACCATTTCCTGATTTTGTTAGCTTTCTTGGGTTTATTGATTTTCAATTCCAACTTTGCGTTCCTTGGTACACAAACACCGATTCTTACTCCACCCACCCTGTGTATAAAATGAAATTCATTAAGTCCTTTCAAACACATTTGGAACTATAAAGGCAAGTTCTTTCTAACCAAGGTCTGTATTCATGAAATCGTTCTCATGCTCAAGTATGCTCAAAGCCTAATTTCTTGTTCCACTTTAATAAATTATTAAAACAAACTTGTTTTGTCAATGATTTGGAAAAAATGCGAAGAGCCAAATACTGTTTTCAATGTTTACAATTGGCTTTTTGATCGTTTGACATGATTTAAGTGAGTTACAGGAAAACTGGGTTTGAGCACAGAATCCATACTTGAACATAAGAACGGTTTCATGAATACGGGCCCCGGTCCATAACACTGGTCACCAGACTGGATGGTTCACCATTCTATGATCTACCTCATTCATATCAGCTACACAGTACACTTGAACTAAAAATGCTAAATCTCAATAATTAAACTAGATGCCCAATTGGATTGCATCCCTCACCTGGTATTGATTTCACACCTGAGTATCCTTAAAAGTGGACCAAGTATCACTACCCTTGGTTTTGAGGTTATTAAGAAGAGTTGACTTTAAAGAATTTTTAAACGTTTGACCCCCCTGACCTTGAAAGTTGTCAAGGTCATTCACTCTAACACATATTGAGTCCCATCATCCCAACAAGCTACTGGCTAAATATCATCCTGTGACTTTTGGTTATTTAAAAGAGGTTGTTTTAAGGTTTCATCAACACATTTGACCCCTGGTGTTACCTTGAATGTAGGTAAAGGTCATTTATTTGAACACATTTGGAAGCCCTTCATCCCCGCATGCAACCTTGTGTTAGCTAAATATCTTCACTTATTGGTGATATTGAGAAGTTGTTTAACCCTTTCAACACTATAGACCATAATAGACTCATCCAGATCAATGTATGGTAGAGTCTGCTAAAGTTTCCTAGGGGTGAAAGGGTTAAGGAAACAAGTTGATGCCGAACGGACTTATGAAGGACGCTTCACCTCGGCATAACTGTCTTGGAACTTTGGGTCAGGTGAGCTAAACATTTTCTATGATATCAATTTTTTTCTATAAATGGTTATATAATTAATAACTGAATTGCTTAAAGCTAATTAGCTTTCATATTCAATTAAAATCGGTATTTTTTCTCTGGATGCCCCAGTTTTCCTGCACCACCAATACCTCATTCTTAAATGATCATAATTGATAATAGAATGTAAAGCACAAACAAACTAAACCAATAATAATAATAATTTGAGGTTCTACTATAAACCGCAATATCTCAACCTGTTTGTAGGTCGTTTCAAAGCGGTTCTACGAAATAATATCCATTGTTATAGGGTCTCTGCAACCAGCCAATATCTTTCTCAACTCCATGGGGAGCATACAGCCGGTGCTGCCATTTTGGCGCTCACAGCTAGCATTCTACAAATCCAGCTCTGCCCAAACACGTACTCATTTACAGCTGAGTAGACTGGAACTAGCGGAGTAAAGTATTTTGCTCAAAGATACAACACAGTGCCTTGCCGTGTGTCGAACCCGCAACCGTTCGGTCACGAGCCCAGCGTCCTACCACTAGACTACCTTGCCTCCTAACCAAAAAGAACTGTTACCTGACAAATATCACTACAATGATTTTATAACTTAACCAGCCACAAAAGACCTGAGCCTCTTATTTAATGTCATACTTGTCTATGGCAGAAGCTTTAATGGTGAAAATATTCGGCATAGGAGAATCAAAATTGAGGATGTAGCTTGTTTCAAATCCCTTTATGACGAGGAATTGTGCACCGTTCTGGGAATCTTCAGAGTAAGACAATGAGGGATCGTCGTCTCTCGTCATGGTGGCGATAGCGTTACCACTGTAGCTCACACTCAACTGAAACACAAACAAAATTGGATGCATTTCTCCATATTATATGTATCAGAAATTGTGTTTTCTCAGTTTCCAGACTTTTCTCGTTTCGGTTTTATTTTTTAAATTTCTGGATTCACCGAATATTTCGTCCTCTGTTTCTAACACATGAAACCTTTCAGCAGAAAAACGAAGCAGCAACAGCACGAAGCATGTTACCTAAATTTTCTTTTACTGACGAACATTGTAGTGTAATTATTTCAATGTAAAAGACAATAGCAACTTGCAAACGATTCATCTATATACTTCTTGCAAAAGTTTGAAATATTTATTTGACTTACAGAAATGTTCTGCTTTCACTTTCATAGTAATTGTCACATACATGTTCTGTTAGTGTTTTTCAGTTTTCACTCTGTCTTTTTGCAATACACTGTGACGTCATTAAACGATCGAGTTAACACATTTATATATACTTGCTGATTGTTATCGCACAGAAATGTTTAATTGGAATGGTAAGAGGTCAGGCCCAATTAAAAAGATGGACATTTAAACAAAACCTCAGACAGGTTCAATAAGGTTTCCCAACCAGGAACATCAGGAACCCAGAACAAACGTGCTACATTTATTCTTTACTTGCGATATGACAGGTTATTTATGCAGGCTTAATTTCCACGATTTTGACTCAAGATTGGAAAATTCAATTTAAACGGGAAATGCATTGAATAAATGCAATGCGGAAGGTCACAGTACCCAAACAGTTTAAAGATACAACTGAAACTTTTGCGCTTATTTGACCTTAGACCTATAGGTCAAGTTCACAATGCACTATTACAATTATTACAGTAGATCACAATGATCTAATTACAGTGCATTGAGGTCAAGGTCACAATGATTTAATCATAGTGAATTGAGGTCAAGGTCACAAAGATTTAATATTAGTGAATTGAGGTCAAGGTCACAATGATCTAATAATAGTGCATTGTACATCGTCTGTGGGTGACGCAGATCTACTGCAAGATTCACCAAGATCCCTTTAAAAAGTTAAAAGCTACATCCACGACAGGAAATAATTAGAAGAACGAGAAGAAAATGGGAAACATAGTCACCTGTCCATAGCTTTGGGGACATACTCCAAGACCCCAATGGTCGTTGATGATGCAGGAATCGGTGAGGTGGAAGGGGATGGGTTTCAATACTGTATTTTCGGCCTGAGTTGTCAGTGACCCATCCTTATCTACGAAAGCAGACACGCGGTCAATTGCAGTGTCTGTATACCCAGGAGTAGAGGCATTCCCATCAAACACTCTCAAGTCAGCCTACATAAAATACACATAGTCGTAAGTAGGTATAATCATGAAAAGAAGAACACACACACATAGACAGTAAAAAAATTGAAGCAAATATGTTTCGCTATAAAAAAAGTAAATTATTGCACAAGAATAACACATATAACTGCGGAAATGACAGTGTTTTGCAAAAATGCCTTAAACAGATTTTCAAAAGTTTGATTATTTTCATTTTGTTTATTTCAGATAGCATAAAAAGTAATAGAAGTAAAACACACAGCACACTTTCAGGCAACACTAGATTACTAATTTGGTCTGTGTGCAATGTTTCGTAAAAAGGTCATGAATGGTTTGCATGCGTTGGTCCAAAAAACTATGTCGGACACACACATCTGGTTAATGCATTAGAAACCAAAAGAAATCTTAATCAGTTGAAAAAATCTCATTCAAAAAAAATTCAGATTGGTCGTACATTCACTGTTGTACCAGCTGTTCAAAGTACATTCACAACATCAAAGGGATTATGTTAATTACCGGGTCATTGTAACCGAACAGAACTTCCTCCACGCTGCTCCTCGGCGAGATGGCATTATTGTCATTGGGCTGGAACCCGATTCCCATCGTCTTGTAATTACCGTTTTCGTCAAAATCTCCGAACCAGGACTGCATGAGTCTAATGGGTCCCTCATTGAACACAAAACCTTGGACGATGGAGTTCCTGTTAATACCAAACACATTACATAGAACAAAACCACTTTGACAATACAGTTAACCCTTTCACCCCTATGTAACTTGAGTAGACTCTACCATACATTCATTTGGATGAGTCCATTATGGTCTACAGTGGCGAAAGGGTTAAAAAGAGGGCGAAGTATATAGCAAGGCAATCCATAGTCCCCACTGGTGTAGCGGAACTGGACTGGGAAGCTCTACGGGGACCAGGTTGCTCAATTGGTGGAGCGTCTGTCTAGAGCTCCAAGGGTAACTGGGTTCAAACCCGAGTCTGGACATGCATTTTTCCTCTCCTGTTACAATGGTGCCTGTGACCAACCCTTGTTTCAAGCATTGGGTTTATGCTTTTCAAGAGGATATCCGGACCTGGTTGCAAATAGTTGTGTCTTCAGTGGTGAAGAATAAGGAGGGAGGAATGTCACGGAACTGGAGTGGGTCGATCAGCGGCGGCCAGGTAGCTCAATTGGCAGAGCGATTGATAGAGAATACAGCAAATGGTTACAATCGGATCTAAAGATCACAATGATTTGCTTTTCATACAGTAAATTTTGTTATCTCATGATACACCTGTGTATCAAATTTGTTTACTCTTGGATAAAAGTTTTAGAAGATAGGCTTTGGACACACTTTTTCAAAGTTTGAAGTTAAAGGTCAAAGCAAAGGTAACAGTGACCTCTTCTAAAATCATGCGATCCCTTATCTGTAATCTTTACTCCAAGTGAAATAATACAAAAGATAATTCTAGGACAATCTTTTTCAAAACTTGAGGTCAAAGGGCACAGCATAGGTCACAGTGACCTCATTCTCAAACTAGACTCTTTGCTATCCCTACATGTACTTGCATACAAACTCTGGTTACTCCAGGTGAAACGGCATAGAAGATATAACATGGACAAACTTTTTCAAAGGTTGAGGTCAAAGGTCAAAGTATAGGTCACAATGACCTACTTTTTTGACTCTGCACTCTGTCATGCCTAAGTGTACTTGCATAGCAAGATATGCCCTGACAAACTCCTCAGCCAGAATACAGACAGATGTAGGTGAAAGGACAGAATGCAAACCTATTGTCCCCACCCCACTTGGAATCGCTTAGTAATACACATTGCATTGAACACAAAACCTTGGACAACTGAGTTCCTGTTAAACAGAAACACATTTGCTTAACACTAACTCATTCACCCCTGAAATTTCATGATGAGCTATTCCAACCTTTGATTTGGAAGAGTTTAAATGTGTCTTCATGGGTGAATGAGTTAATTTCTGGACAAATCAGATCTTTTTCACAAGAAAAACCCAAAAGAACTATTGAAGAAAATGTTGCAAAAGCTCCCTTTTAGATTTTAAATAAGTCAGATAAATCAGATTACTTCCATGACATCATATTTCCTGATACTTACGGATCTTTTTCTATCGGGCGCGATCGATTGGACACCGTGGTTGGCTCGCCAGTGTTCGGTGATTCTCCGAGGAACACACTTTTAGTTACCGACTTCCATTGGAAAGATCCTCTGAAAAACATACATACAATACATAAAAATAAACATCCAAACTTTTACAGAACATTTAAGGAAATGTCTTTTATGTAAACTTTGACAAATCAATTATGTTGTTAACTCATTCACCCCTGAAGACACATTTGAACTCTTTCAATTCAAAGGTTGGAATAGTTTATTATGAAATTTCAGGGGTGAATGAGTTAATTCAAATAATATGCCTAATATAATGAGTACCCTTAACCTAACCGCCCTTCCCCTATCAATCTCATATCTTCATCTCTATTTATGAATGATCTGTGACTTAAAAATTTTCAAGCATTGACAAATATGACAGTCACTTACCTCTCAAAGTAAACACTTTGCGATGAATCAGAAAACCTGAAAAAATTAAAATTGCCAAATTTTAAACATTCCTGAAGTATATTTTTCTATTAATCTTAACTATGTTAATTTTTATTGCAGTAAATATATAAAACATCAACTACCTTGGTATCAATTATGTCACTGATTTTATAATAATAAGCAGTAACAGTCACTCTGTGTCCAAGCTTTCAGGCTTACATCTAGTCATTAAGTAAGGATTAAAATGGACGTACAAGAACTTCAAGGAAGAAATGTATCACCTGACCTTGCTTGCAGCCATGTTGTTTTTCAAATTTTAAAAATATAACCCAATCAGATATGTAATTGATATTTATTTGCAAAATAAGTTTATGAAAACCAAAGCATAATTCTTTAGAATTAAATCTGCATGGAAACCATTTGATTTTGCACCAAATTCAAGATGGTCACAGGTGGCCAGGTTTATTTTCAGATTTTGATAAAATTGGACTTGAGCTTGCTAATCAAAGATTAAAAAAAATTGAACGGCGTCTCACATAGACATATACACCCAACCCCATCATACCTTCATATCCCCTCGTCCCATCATGCTTTGCTTGTGATTTTTGACCCTTCATACTCGACTGATAACTAACAAAGTGAGCAGAGGTTCCCATAAACCTATGCACCCAACCCCTGAACCTACCATAATATCCCCTCGTCCCATCATGCTTTGGCTCTTCATACTTGACTGATAATTACCAAAATCTAACCATGTATAGAACTTGATATTGAGGTCAAGGTCACAATGATCTAATAATAGTGAATTGAGGTCAAGGTCACAATGATCTCATAATAGTGAATTCAGGTTAAGGTCACAACGATCTAATAATAGTGAATTGAGGTCAAGGTCACAATGATCTCACAATAGTGAATTGAGGTAAAGGTCACAATGATCTAATAATAGTGCAATGTACATGGTCTGTGGGTGATGTAGATATACTGCAAGATTGATTCATCAAGATCTCTTTAAAAGGTTAAAAGTTCCGGCCAGGACGGGAAATAATTAGAAGAACTAGAAGAAAAGGGGGAGACATAGTCACCTGTCCATAGCTTTGGGGACATACTCCTTGACTGATAATGTCCAAAATCTAACCATGTATAGAACTTGATATTACCATATGGTGTAAATATAAACTGAAAGTGCTTATGCTGGGTTCTTGCACAAAAGCTGTTTTACTAGAGACACATGCATGGACACACTGACAAAGCTAATAACCCTTTCACCACTGTAGACTATAATGGATTCATACAGATCAATGCATGGTAGAGTCTACTTAAGTTGCATAGGGGTGAAAGGGTTAATAACGTACCCCTATCATTAGGTGTGGGGTATTATAAAGGTATGTGCATGTTCAGAATTTCAGGCAAATCATAGCAGAATTCCTTTAAATCAGCCTACAAATCGGGTTATCACATAGACACTATATTTTATTTTATGTGGATTATGATGACAGCGTAATGCCGCCAAAGATTGATCCTTGCCATTTCCTTCAAGACGTCACAAAAATTTGTAATTTAAAACAAGAGGCACAGAGGGCCTGTATCGCTCACCTGGATATTTGAGCAATCATAGGGAAATATTCTCAAATATTTCCATTTATTGAGTCTCCTTGGGCTAAGAATGTCCCAGACTAAATGAAAATTAATACTACTCTATCCCAACATGCTACTGGTCAAATATCATCACCAAGGGCCTTCTGGTATTGTTGAAGAAGTATTCACATATTTGACCCCTGTGACCTTGAAATAGGCCAAGGTCATTTATATGAGGAAAACTTATAGCACTCTGTCCCAGGTATCTACTTCCCTGATAGCATTGTTCTAGCTAGGCCTTTTGGTTATTCAGAAGGTTCTGTTCAAAGTTGTTTTTTTTACTATTTTGAACCTGTGACCATGAAAGCAGGTCATGGTCATTTATTTGTGTACAATTCATAGCACTTAATACCAGGTACCTACTGGTACAAATGATTTCAAAATTAAGTGCCATTGAGATTTTGCACTCAAATGGTTATGTGTTTAAGTTAACGAAATTATTGAGTACTAATAATGTAAAAGAATTATGTAATCTCGGAAAGTATACGACAAAACGTAGAGAAATCAACGTCTGATATGGAAAACTACTTGTGTACTTTGTAGGCTCACTCTCCACTTTATCAATTTAAATTTATATATATAATCTCTTGTACATGTATTACATGATGCAATTGTTTGACATTTAACCTATGAGTCGGATGCTGTAACAATGTTCACGACAAACATTGTACATTTATTTGGGAAGCACGGTAGTCCAGTGGTAGGACGTAGGGCTCGTGACTGAAGGATTGCGGGTTCGAGTCACGGCACGGCACTGTGTTGTATCTTTGAGCAAGATACTTTACGCCGCTTGTTCCAGTCTACTCAGCTTTAAATGAGTACGTGGTTGGGCATGCAGTGCTAGAATTGTTGAATGCTAGCTGTTAGCGCCGAAATGGCAGCTCCGGCTGTATGCCCCTATGGAGGTATTGGCTGGTTGCAAAGTCCCTAAAACCACGGATAACATTTTTTGAACCGCTATGAGATGACCTACGAACTAGGTTGTGATAAAGCGGTATATAAGAACCTCAAAATATTATTATTATTATTATTATTTCCTTTGTTGACGTACAGTGCTGTTTTGTACAGGCGTGTATGCGGCAAAGGGTTAAACACAATCTACACTGACCTACTTCACTATCTATGTCTTTATTATCAGTGTGAGTCTGTCGGTCACCTGTCGCTCCACAGGGATGTTATTTACTATGTACAACTGCAGGTCTAAACAGGTATAGATCTACGCATTGCCGCAGTGATGGGCGTATCCAGAGCAGAAATTTGTTGATATCACTAACTAGACAGCAGCATTGTCAAATTTAGCCAAACATTTCACTTCAAGTTTTGATCAAAGTTTTACAATGGCAGCAGGAAAGTGACAGATTTATCAGCAACGAAAACAGGTCATCATGTGATTGTGAATTCTAGGGCTGAGAAATATGGACAAGAGAAAGTGATTATTCGGAGGTATAGAATGGAAAACTTGGATTCATCATCACAGTAACCCATGACATCAGTGATCGTGAGGTAGTTATTCTTTAGTGTTTTTTTACATTACTAAATGTTTAACAATTATATACTACTGGATGGGACCGCAAAATCAAAGTTTTCATTTCAATCTTTACATAACAAACTCTAATTTGTGACGTTTACTGATAACAATACATTTATACAAGAACAACAAACATCTTCAAGACTTCAACAAATAATTAAGCTTTTTATCAAAATGGCAACCCCTATAAGCCAAATGCCTCTCCGTATCAAAGGTCAAACGACATGTAATCACCACAAGGGGAGACAACTAGAATTTTATTGTGAAAAATGTCGGGAACTGGTCTGTGCAAAATGCCTTTCTTCTATTCACAAAATCCATCCAGTTTGTGAGCTAAGTGAAATCACTCCTCAGAAAGAACCAGACATTAAAAACTTCATTGACAGAACAGAAAAAGATGACCTTGTACAAATTGGGAAATACATCAACTCTACTGATACGCTCCTTAAAGACAACACCAGTACTTTTGAGAAGCTGTCACAAAAGTTAACAATGCAAACGGATAAAATAAAACAAGAACTGGACAGGCTAACATCACAGACACTCTCCCTTTACCACAAAATGGAAGAGGATAATACCAAGCTGATAAAGAAATACAAACAGGACCTGGAGATGTACGAGAAGCAACTCAAACAACAAATTCAAGAATGCAAAGCAGCTCTCCAGCGGGGTTCACACTTACAGATTTATGATTCATTTTGTGAGATCTGTTCTCCTACATACAGTCTCCCTGTAAAACCTGTCCTGGGTACTGCCAACTTCACTCCAAATGAAAATCCTCAAGATCTTTTGAAAAAAGCCTTGGGAAAAGTGATCACCTCAGGTCAAGGTCAAACTTTGACTCACCAGGATCAGTCAGTCTCAATGTCTGATGATTTGAGACAACCCTCTACACAACAACAACGGTCAGAAACAAAAGCGAAGAAAGCAGTGACAACATACAAACTACTGCCACTGACCAAGGTAGTGGAGGAGTGGAAGTCTCCATGTGGCATTGGTTCTTTATGTCCCACCACTGATGGTCAGGTGTGGACCACGGACCAGCTGTTCATATTAACTCTCCTGGACAGGAAGGGTAAAGTAATACAGAAGGTCGAACACAATGTCAGGATCAATGACATCAGTCTGTCACACACCACACACACACTGTGGGTCTGTGATAAACAAAACAACATCATGGAGCTGGTATCAGGACGACTGACACACAGATTCAGCACCAAGGAGGAACCCTGGTGTATATGTGTTACAGCCAGTAACCATGTCATTGTAGGGATGGACAGACAAATCTCCAAATTTACCACAAATGGTAAAATGGTGTGTACTACTTTGGCTAAAGAGACTGGGAAACCATTAGTGTGTTCACCATTCTGGATCACAGAGTGTCCTGTCACTCACAATGTGGCAGTCGCTGATTTCAGTAGTGAAAGTGATGGTGGTGATGGAAATGGACATGTTGTTGTGATGGACACTGATTTCACTAAGGAGCTGTTTGTATATAGAGGTGACATCCCCAGTACATATAAACTAACACCACAAACAGGAGGTGAACCATTTGAACCCCGTGGTGTGGTGTATGACAGTGTGGGGAACCTGATCATAGGGGACTGTAACAACTACAGGGTCCTACTCATCAGTGGAGGTGGTGAGTTCCTCAGGGTCATTCACACAGACACAATCCATAAATGGGATGTAGGTGTAGACAGGGAGGATGTCCTTTGGGCAGTGTTTAGTGGTCGCAATGTCAAACTACTACAGTACAGCAGTGTGCGACACCTGTAACCAAACAACTAGTATAACTAGTTACCATGACAACAACATGGAAATCAGAGACAAAGGAAACGTATCATGATTACCAATCAGCGAAAGATGTGTGACATTCACAGGATTATAAATAAAATGTCTAGACTACAGATTCTGTAACATTCACATGAGTATGAGTAAATTGTCTAGACTACAGATTGTGTGACATTCACAGGATTATAAGTAAAATGTCTAGACTACAGATTGTGTAACATTCACATGAGTATAAGTAAATTGTCTAGACTACAGATTGTGTGACATTCACAGGATTACAAGTAAAATGTCTAGACTACAGATTGTGTGACATTCCCTGGATTATAAGTAAAATGTCTAGACTACAGTTTGTGTGACATTCACAGGATTATAAGTAATTGTCTAGACTACAGTTTGTGTGACATTCACAGGATTATAAGTAATTGTCTAGACTACAGTTTGTGTGACATTCACAGGATTATAAGTAATTGTCTAGACTACAGTTTGTGTGACATTCACAGGATTATAAGTAAAATGTCTAAACTATAGATTGTGTGACATTCACAGGATTATAAATGAAATGTCTAGACTACAGTTTGTTTGACATTCACAGGATTATAAGTAAAATGTCTAGACTGCAGATTGTGTGACATTCACAGGATTATAAATGAAATGTCTAGACTACAGGTTGTGTGACATTCACAGGATTATAAGTAAAAGGTCTAGACTACAGTTTGTGTGACATTCACAGGATTATAAGTAAAATATCTAGATTAGAGATTGTGTGACATTCACAGGATTATAAGTAATTGTCTAGACTACAGTTTGTGTGACATTCACAGGATTATAAGTAAAATGTCTAGACTACAGATTGTGTGACATTCACAGGATTATAAGTAAAATGTCTAAACCATAGGTTGTGTGACATTCACAGGATTATAAATGAAATGTCTAGACTACAGGTTGTGTGACATTCACAGGGTTATAAGTAAAATGTCTAAACCATCGGTTGTGTGACATTCACAGGATTATAAATGAAATGACTAGACAACAGGTTGTGTGACATTCACAGGATTATAAGTAAAATGTCTAGACTACAGATTGTGAGACATTCACAGGAGTATAAGTAAAATATCTAGACTACAGATTGTATGACGTTCACAGGATTATAAATGAAATGTCTAGACTATAGATTGTGAGACATTCACAGGAGAATAAGTAAAATGTCTAGACTACAGATTGTGTGACATTCACAGGATTATAAGTAATTGTCTAGACTACAGTTTGTGTGACATTCACAGGATTATAAGTAAAATGTCTAGACTACAGATTGTGAGACATTCACAGGATTATAAGTAAAATATCTAGACTACAAATTTTGTGACGTTCACAGGATTATAAATGAAATGTCTAGACTACAGATTGTGTGTGTATATATATATATGTGATGCTGTAACTGTCCCTGATGTACTCAGTCTGATATTAACCCTTTCACCACTGTAGACCATAATGGACTCATCCAGATCAATGCATGGTAGAGTTTACTTAAGTTACACAGGGATGAAAAGGGTTAACAACAGTGTTAGTAGTTTTACTGAAATACTGTTGAAATCTATGGAACCTTTCCTTTTAAAACTATAATACTGACAGGTCTGCGAGTGCCCCGCTGTATGCCTGACAGTGTATCTCCCGTACCGTATGCCTGACAGTGTATCTCCCGTACTGTATGCCTGACAGTGTATCTTACGTACTGTATGCCTGATAGTGTATCTCCCGTACTGTATGCCCGACAGTGTATCTCCCATACTGTATGCTTGACAGTGTATCTCCTGTACTGTATGCCTGACAGTGTATCTTACGCACTGTATGCCTGATAGTGTATCTCCCGTACTGTATGCCTGACAGTGTATCTCCCGTACTGTATGCCCGACAGTGTATCTCCCACACTGTATGCTTGACAGTTTATCTCCCGTACTGTATGCCTGACAGTGTATCTCCCGTACTGTAGGCTTGACAGTGTATCTCCCGTATTGTATGCCTGACAGTGTATCTCTCGTACTGTATGCCTGACAGTGTATCTCCCGTACTGTATGCCCGACAGTGTATCTCCCATACTGTATGCTTGACAGTGTATCTTCCGTACTGTATGCCTGACAGTGTATCTCTCGTACTGTATGCCCGACAGTGTATCTCCCGTACTGTATGCCTGACAGTGTATCTCCCATACTGTATGCTTGACAGTGTATCTCCTGTACTGTATGCCTGACAGTGTATCTCCCGTACTGTATGCCTGACAGTGTATCTCCCCTACTGTATGCCTGACAGTGTATCTCCCGTACCGTATGCCTGACAGTGTATCTCTCGTACTGTATGCCTGACAGTGTATCTCCCTACTGTATGCCTGACAGTGTATCTCCCATACTGTATGCCTGACAGTGTATCTCCCTACTGTATGCTTGACAGTGTATCTCCCGTACTGTATGCCTGACAGTGTATCTCCCGTACTGTATGCCTGACAGTGTATCTCCCTACTGTATGCTTGACAGTGTATCTCCCGTACTGTATGCCTGACAGTGTATCTCCCGTACCGTATGCCTGACAGTGTATCTTCCGTACTGTATGCTTGACAGTGTATCTCTCGTATTGTATGCCTGACAGTGTATCTCCCTACTGTATGCTTGACAGTTTATCTCCCGTACTTTATGCTTGACAGTGTATCTCCCGTACTGTATGCTTGACAGTGTATCTCCCGTATAAGCAAAAGTGATCATTGACTGATCAGAAAGGGCCATTTACAATAATTTTTTGACAGTATATGCCCCGTTCTATTTTAAAGTAACGGCAATGTTTTTGTATTGAATGTTTTGTGATCTTCCTGCATCTTATACCTGATATGCGTTGTCAATTTAATTAAGTGCACACATTGTATAACAATATAAAATTCAATTATTTTGCTTCTTCCTTTTCTTCAAGATTCGTACACAAGTATTTTTGCGCTTGTTCTTACTTACTTTTGTTCAATTTCCATATAAATCACATTTTGAGACTTGAAATAAATCTTTTATGTCTTGCCAAAACTTATGCATACATTGTATTTCAGAATATGTTCAAATGATATGTTTCTTCTATTATTGCATGATTTGTATATAAATGAATATTGGTTTTTGAATAGAATACAATATATAACACAATTTTAAACTTGTGAGATACAGAAAGTTTTATATCATTTTCTTTTGGACACAACACCAACTTTCTCTCAGTACTCGCTTTCATTCTATTTTGTGAAATTTTAAGTTTCAACGCTAAAATGACACTGCGCAGCCATTGATGCCATTTTTTGTTATAATTTTTTCATATTCCATTTTTTTTTACATAACCTCTTCTGTTTGTATATAGTATTCTAGGTCTTTTTTGAAACCAGTAATACTGGATAGTTTGTTTCCCATCTTTTGTTTGTATAAGTGAAATTTAGCAATTAGTATTACCAGTATTGTATTTTTTGTCTTTTTGACATTTTGCCTAACTAAGATTCTGTCACTATTTTGAAGAAGTATTGTTTTATTTGTTTTTGTTTCTAAGCACATTTTAATTTCATTCTAATAGTTGTCCACTATTCTTCATTCACAAAACATGTGTAATATAGTCTCTATATATCTATTACAAAATCTTTATCATATGAAGATATTTATTAATGCAAATAATTCTGTGAGTGATCTATATTGAAACCATCTAAGTTTGCAATCTAACGTACATTTGAAAGAAATTACATTAATTTTTTCCACCATATGTCATCTACTATTAACTCATTTACCCCTGAAATTTTATAATGAACTATTCCATCCTTTGAATTGGAAGATTTCAAATGTGACTTCAGGGGTTAATGAGTAAATCTAATTCTTTGGACCATTTTGATTTATATTAATTTGTTGTTCACTTTCAATTCTTTGACAAATAAACTATATATTGGCTGATCTCTTTGTTTGTTTGTTTGTTTGTTTGTTATTATAAAGTAGATATATGAACTTGTAGACTTGTTCCAGTCTACCAGCTGTAAATGAGTATGTGATTGCATGGGCAGTGCTAGAATTGTTGAATGCTAGCTGTGAGCGCCGAAATGGCAGAACCGGCTGTATGCTCCCAATGGGAGTTGAGAAAGATATTGGCTGGTTGCAAAGGCCCTATAACCACGGATATTAATTTGTGAACCGTTTTGAGACGACCTACGAGTTAGGATGTGATAAAGCGGGATATAAGAACCTCGAATTATCATATAATTAGATGTATCTTGGACAATGTGGTAATATGGTGGTACGCTGCCTGTTTTGTGGTACTTATTACATAGATCCGTAATTGCATTGCGTTAACCATAGAACATACTAGCTATTTGGGGATGGAACTCATATTTTTCACAAAAGTGTTCGTAAGAGTTAATTATTTCACCCTGTATGTTTAACCCTCTTTCACCCCTATGTAACTTTAGTAAACTCTTCCATGCTTTGATCTGGATGAGTCCATTATGGTCAACAGTGATGAAAGGGTTAACTCACTGACCCCTGAATACACATTTGAACCCTTCCAATACAAACGTTGGATTAGTTCATTATGAAATTTCAGGGGTGAATGAGTTAATAGATTGTGTACAAACATAATACCGGATTTTTTTGCCCTTTGTTTGAAATGGTTTATTATCACTTTTTATTTTGTCATTATACATAGTTTTTGGTATATATTATCTTCATCATATATTGTACTAGCAAATTCATATAAGTCAGTTAGTACTTCTTTCCAGAAAAGGTTTTTTCAAGGTCATTCATTTGAACAAACTTTGTAGCCCTTCATCCCATCATGTTACAGGCCAAATATCATCATCCTGCAACTTTTGGTTATTCAGAAGAAGTTGTTTTAAGATTTTGAACATATTTGATCCTTCTGACCTTGAAAATAATTCAAACAAACTTGGTAGCCCTTCATCCTAGCATACTACTGGCCAAATATCAACCTCCTAGGCCTTTTGGTTATTCAGAAGAAGTTGTTTAAAGGTTTGTTTTAGACAATTGACCCCTGTGACCTTGAATATAAGTGAAGGTTGAATATGGGTAAAGGTCATTCATTTGAACAATCTTAGTAGCCCTTCATCTCAGCATACTTCTGGCTAAATATCATCACCCTGGGCATTTAGGTTATTTAGAATAAGTTTTAAACATATTTGACCCCTGATCATTCCAGCATGCTACTGACCAAACATCACACTACTGGTCCTTTTGGTTATTCAGAAGAGGTTGTATAAAGGTTTTTTAAGACAATTGACCCATTTGACCTTGAATATAAGTGAAGGTCATTCATTTGAACAAACTTGGTAGCCCTTCATCCCAGCATACTAATGGCCAAATAATATCACCCTGGGCATTTTGGTTATTCAGAAGAAGTTGTTTTAAGTTTTTAACATATTTGACCCCTGCGACCTTGAACATTGGTAATGGTCATTAATTTGAACAAACTTGGTAGCCATTTTGCCTCTGGCCAAATATCGTCACCCTAGGCCTTTTGGTTATTAAGAAGAAGTTGTTTTAAAGTAAAATATTGATGCTGTACGACAGACGGACGACGCACCACGGCATAAGCTCACTACGCCCTTCAGACCAGGTGAGTTAACAAAAAAGTAAAGAGACACTGCTAGCCCTTCACCTCATTTTCTCATTGATTTTTCATTTCCTTTTAATCAATGCCCAAAATCCATCTCGTATATGACTTTTCCCTTTTTCTCACCTTCTAATATATTCATCTCTGACCACAGTTACCTCCCTTTCCCTTATAGCTCCTCCCTTCCCCACTCTTGAATTATCTCCCCGTTCCATTGTATCACCCACCCCCCAATCTTGCCCCTTTCCTAGCTACCTTACACATGTCACTCACACCTCCTATATTTCTGTTTAGATACTTACGAGCACTCCTCCAACGTGATATAACCTCCGCTGACGTACGCGTTCCATAACCTGTTTTTATACCCTGTGGGAGAAACCAATACATTATGATGAGATAACAGTTGCTGTAGTACTGTAAAATGTCGTTGTTTTCGTATGGGGACAAATCTGTTGGGATTATATTTCGTGGAATCAATATTGTTTAAAACCCTGTATTTTTTGTCTGGTAAATAAAGTAAGAAGTTTAGATTGCCAGGCGGTACGACAATGCAGGTAAGATCGTGCGAGATATATACATAGCGAGATATACACATAATGTATACTTTGTAGACTCACATAGATGTACATTTACCTATGTAACAATAACTGTGTTACAAATATTGACACGTACACTGTTGTTATGAGAGGTTACCTCTGTGTCTGTAACAATGATTACACCGTTAATATACACCATGAATTTGAAATAAAATTGTTTAGTTAATATTTTCATCTAGTTAATATTTTGTGTCAGTGTAAAATTTTGTTGGGATTATATTTTGTGGTTTTTATTAAACCACGAAATAAACGAAATTAAATCCCCAATGAAATATTATGTTTTTACAGTACTCTTTTCTAAAGATGATGGGTATACCTTTAAATATACAAACCATATGTCATTATAATCAGATTTTCACCTCAGGCTTTTTGTTCACTTTTAATTAGCTCCCTTGTACATAGAGGATTACAATGTAACTCATTCACCCCTGAAGACACATTTGAACTCTTCCAAATCAAAGGTTGGAATTGTTCATTATGAAATTTCAGGGGTGAATGAGTTAAATATTTTAAACGAGTTTATAGTTTCTGGCTTCCAGTTACTTCCCTTGTCAAGGTTACACCTTTTCATTTTGATTATGTGTATTTGCGATTTTCCTTGATATCAACCTTGGTAAAGATTTTCATTCTGATTTAAGATTCTTTGTTTAATCCCTTGAAATTTATCAATGTTTTTTTTCCCTTTTGCTTCTTAATTTCCTTAATTTAAAACAACTTTAGTTCTGTAAAATGTATCGGAACATATATGTGTTTACATGGAGTATATCTTTAAAAAGGGGCCCTGGGGCCTTTATATAGTACATGCATGTGTCAAAAGAGTGCATTAAATTAAAAGCCGAGAACAGACAGAAATTTTGGAATGAGATTCCTTATATACACCCCTATATTGGTGGGGGTGGGGCACTGCCCTGAATGTGGCCGATTTTAACTTTTATGAATATATTGTTTCCTTGGTGTTTTGCACTTTTTTTAGATATTCGCCGATACTTATACATAAAATATATATGGTAATTAATATGAAACCATTAAATATCCTTTATATATAAAGAGAGAAATTATTAACATCAACATATAATCTATTGTAAAAGCCTTTAATTCTTTCACCACTGTAGACCATAATGGACTCATCCAGATCAATGCATGATGGAGTCTACTAAAGTTACATAGGGGTGAAAGGGTTAACAGGCTTGTGTTATCGTGTTAAACTATGTACCAACTTATAAATAAATTCTGCTTGACTTGACTTGAGGCCAATATGTACTATATACATCAAACTCCTGTGGTATTTACCATATATTATGGAGACGGTATACAGAGTGGGTTTTACTTGTGAACTGCTGAGGTTTGTATCACCTAAAGAAAATATGAGCATGCTCACAAAGATATGCCCTTCGCTTCAACTTATCTAAGTATTCAAACTTTGTTCACAGGGGGTATAATGTCACAATCACATCACAGAGCCCGCCCTTCCTTCATGTACATTTACATATGATGTAGTTTTACTTTGTTCAGTTACAAAAAATATCCTGCAAACAGTTAACCCTTTCACCACTGTAGACCACAATGGACTCATCCATATCAATGCATGGTAGAGTCTACTAAAGTTGCATAGGGGTGAACGGGGTAAGGGGGAGTTGCACTTACACAAATTTAGGAGTCAACATTTACCCCTGGTATATAATGTTTCAAGGGCCGTAACTCAAGAAAAAAAAATCAGATGGTTACTTCCTTCCTTTATGCAAATCTACATATAATGAACTTTTACTGTGTGATTACAACAACAACAAACAGTTTAGAAGGAGTTTGGCTTACAATGTTCGTGGACAGATGGAGGGACTGACATCAAATTGCGAGTCCTATATACCCCCGAAAACTCTTTGTTTTGTGGATGGTAAAAAAACATGGTTTACAAACATCTAAGATACTGTTTCTGTATTATTTTAATGTACTGTAGAATCATTTATTTTCGTAGTGTTAACATTTCGTGGTTTTCATATACTAGCCTGTTTCAAGAACATTATATTTCGTTTATTTCTGATTTTCCCCTATCTATATCATACCAAATTTATGTTTTCGTGAGGATTTAATTTCATGGATTTTTGTTAAATCCACGAAATAAACAAAATTTAATGTCCCACGAAAATTTATGATTTTGCAATATATACCGTACCTGTGTATCTTAATAGCTTAACCTCCTTAGGACCAGACCCCGGGTTGAGGGGGTCTTTCAAAGGTTCGTACAGGTTGTTTGCTGATGTCTTCCCATCCGGTTTTAGAATGGAATCAATAAGTAATCCAGTCTTCAAAAATAAAAAAATAAAAATAGAAATTATGGCAAACTCTGGTGGCATCCATTGATGATTATTGTATATTTAAAATTTGATTAGAAAGGAAACACCCAAACAAAAGCCAACTGAAAGAATGACTATTTTTAGTAGTTTTCTTTCACTCATTCACCCCTGAAAACACATTTTGAACTCTTCCAATTCAAAGGTTGGAATAGTTCATTTTGAAATTTCAGGGGTGAATGAGTTAATATTTGTAAAATAAATATATGTTATTATAGTAATAAGTCATATACAAAACCTGTATTTGGTGCTTGATGTTTCAGAAAAGAATTTTTATCTTATTTTTGTTGGTGCATGTGTGTGAATGTAAGTATTTTTCTTCTTTCCCCTTCTCTCCTTCCCTATCTCTCTCTCTCTCTAACTAATGCTGGTATGAGGTAAGATTAGGCCTAATGTATCGACCTGCATGCTGTATGAAGCCAATATCAATTACTTAACGCCTCCCGCAAAAAATACGGGGGTTTCTTCTATGTGTTCTTATGGGATATTGAAAACAATCTAAAACTGAACTGCTGACCCCATTGCAACCCATTGGATCTGTACTTCTATTTTTCTCATTTCTTTACTCTGTCTTTATTGGGTGTCTTCCTACATGTAGTTGTTGCAAGGACGATACATCCAATTAAGTAAACAAATTTTAAATGAGGTGTAATATTACAAAGTTCATTTCCAATGGTGTATTAAAAGTTTCCATCCTCGATATCGAGGGGTTACGTTCACTTTCACTCTCTACACCTCTGGTTTATGTCATAGCGAAATGGAAAGCACGCGGGCGTCTAGCTATTTGATTGGTGTCAGGTAAAAATACCTGACCAATCGCAGGCTGATACCTTGCCTTTGGAGATTACAAAGGAGCGACCCCTGACTTCGAAGCCAGTTAATTTTACCTTTATGCAACAGGGAGATTCTATTAATGTATATTTAAGGATCATGCCAATCTCCTTGTCTCGTACACAAGGTGGTACACACTGAGCCTTCAATTTTGCTATGACATAGTCCAGGGGTACAGAGAGCCAAAGTGAGTGTAACCCCTGGAGTGTTGAGGACAGTTATAGTGTCATGCAGGTATAAAAAAGCAGAGTATTGCAAGGTAATCCATAGTCCCCCACCGATAATGATTTCTATATTTAACAAACAGTATACTTATAGCAGGAAGCATGTATAGGTCACAGTGAGCTACTACTTGCACTCAACTATCCCAAGATGTCCTTGTACACCAACTCTGGTTAATCCAGGTGAAATAGTATAGTCGATATGCCCCCGACAAACCTTCTTTAAAAGTTAAGGTCAAAGGTCAAAGCATAGGTCACAGTGAGGTCATAGTGACCTTCTTCAAATCTGGTTACTCCAGGTGAAATAGAATACCTAGAAGATATGCCCTGCGGACAAACTTTCTGAAAAGTTAAGGTCAAAGGTCAAAGCATAGGTCACAGTGAGGTCTTAGTGACCTTCTTCTTGCACTCTGCACTCCGCCATCCCAACATGTCCTCGTACACCAAATCTGGTTACTCCAGGTGAAATAGTATAAAGGATCTGTCCCGGACGGAAGGAAGGACAGAGTGCAACACACACACACACACACACACACCCCTGGAACCAGTAGAGGTCTACCTGGTAATTAAGCAGTAATGTGTTAAGTTCTTTGTAATTAAATTGCACACTTACCTGAGTGTATGAGTGAGCGACATTATTATAGAACTCGGAAATTGCGGTGTGCTTCGACTCTCCTGGTGGACTGATGGGTCCTACATCTGCTGAAGCTGGTGTTACTATCGGCGTATTAGTGAACACGAACCAGTACCCAGCCCTCTACAAGAGAGAAATAGCTAATTAAAACTTTCTGAGAAAATGAACCCGAACCTGAGCTACATTTAGATTCAATTACCCTAAGATGTATTTGTGAACAAAGTTACGCTAACTCAGTAGAGCTTCTCTTACTCTCGTCAAGAGAAATGCAGGGGAGATTTAGCCTACTAGGAACATAAGCCTTAACACTGCCCCCTACAAGGGAAAAACAGGGGAGATAAGCAAACACATTCTTGCAACATGAACCAGAACCTTGATTTCTACAAACGAAAATAATGGAAAATATTTCAAATTATTTTTTCAGTGTAGGCAATAATTATGCTTACATTTGATAAAAAAAAGTTCTGAATATCTTTCCAGTATCAAACCCTAAAATGAGCTTACCTATTGATAAAAATATCCCATATTTATGGATCTTGATTTCAGATCATTTCACCTGTTTTAATTTTGTAAGTTAGCTTTTATTAAGCTCACCTGGTCTAAAAGACCATTTACTTACCAAACCACCTGCAGCCACATTGTTGCGGAGGTACGTATCAGGATTGGTGATGAAAAAGGTGACAGGATTTCTGAGAAAGGAAACAAAAAATCAATAGGTCATAAAAGTCATTAGGTTCAGTACTGTTTATAACAGTATATAACACACTGCAACACCTTAATGATAGTTCAAGCAAAAATAAAACTATTCCGTCACATGTATTTTAAAAAATATTCAAATTCATGCCTATAAAACTGCATGTACAAATTTTTTAAATGACCATCTGTAGAATTGGGATTTGTTTAGAAATAAAGATATATTCAAGCAAGTACTAATTGTAATGGTGGACCATTACAGAGGTCCCCAAACCCTCGCAGCTATGTTTGCAGTGCCAAATTACACCTACATATGAAATTGGAGCAAAACCGACCAATATTTATTTTCGACCAATCAGATGCCGTGGCGGCCATCTTTGTTGACCGATTGGAAAATGAAAGGTCATTTGCACACCATCGTATCATGATGAACACTTGTTTAAGTTTCATTAAATTCCGTCCAATAGTTTTCGAGAAGTGTGTTGCAAATGTTTACGACAGAAGAAGAAGAAGAGTAAAACCAATAAGTCTCTCACTTCGTTTGGGGGACTTAATTACCACAAAAAAAATAATGCTGTGTTTATGGTATTACAAAAATGGAGTATTAAACTACATATACAATGTACATATATTATGCTTAGAATAAAATTTAAAACTTTACATTTCGAAATTAATGCAAAAAAAAAGAAGAAAATGAAATAAAATATTCTCTTTAAAACGTATAATTCAGACTGATATTACATTATTGGTTAAACTAGGATTAAAAATATAGTCATGCAAATACAGACACCAGAAAAAATTACTGCCGACTTTGTTGTTTTTAAGTCTAAAATCTGTTGTTATGTAACGGGATAGGAAAAATGCACGCCCTGACCGGGGTTCGAACCCGGGACCTTCCGAACTCTAGACGGGAGCTCTGCCAATTGAGCTACCTAGTCACGGACGATCGACCCAGTCCAGTTCCGCTACAGTTAACAAATGGCTGTTTTTTCTGAACCTTGAACTGTGTCTCTTTTGTTAGCAGTCAGACATTGACTCATTCACCTCTGAAATTTCATAATGAACTATTCCAACCTTTGAATTGGCAAAGTTCAACTGTGTCTTCAGGGGTGAATGAGTTGATGATTCCAAATTCAGCAGTTTAACGAGGAAAATAATTTATGTTCTTGTTTCTTATTTTATTACATTAATAACTGTACGTACGAATCTGTTGGAATTAGGCTCGATGAACGCTGGCCAAGTCCAAGATTGCCATCAAACACGTTTCTTCTTTCATCGCCATCCTCGAGGAAATAGCCGTGCCCGAGAGAGTCAAAGCAAACATTTCGCTCAATCTGTAAGTTTAAAAGACAGAATTTGCACTTACCTCATTCACCCCTTGGAAAACACATTTGAACTCATCCAATTCAATGGTTGGAATAGTTCATTGTAAAATTTGCAGGGGTAAATGAGTTAAAATCTAATATCTGTATATACTCTTAATGGTCAAAGGCCCCTTATATCATAAACAATATAAGGATTTTATGTCCCTTACATCATAAACAATACAATGACCCATTAAGTGCCCCTTCTTTCAAATTAACAATTCTACGATTAATAAGTATCTTTCAAAATGGAAGTGAAGAAACATTCTATTTTTTAACTCAATATCTTCAATTCTGCTTTCAATTTGAAGGTTTAAAACAGATTGGAAAAATGTTACAAACCAGAGCAATATTACTCAAATGAAGGAAACTAAAATGTTTGACAGAATCTTTGTACAAACTAAGCGGCCTTGGGCAATTTCAGTTCCACTTTAAGGTGATAAATCGTTCACATGCGATATTAAGTCAGCCATTGCTATACTATATATAAAGTGACCTTGACCTGTGTGTTCTTTCTTAGCGACATTGACATCATATATACTGACCTTGACCCCATTGGTGCCGTGGATTGTGATACAGCGAGCGTAGGTGTTGTGGATCGAGTTGGAGCGGATGTAAGGTGGATTAGGCATCAGATCCACATCACCACACAGGTGGAAGTGTATGGGATAACGACCTTCAATATCAAAGGGAAAGGTGTCAGCCTCGGAAACCTCTAATGAGGGAGATCTCACTCATTCCACATTTCCAATGAGGGAGATCTCACTCATTCTACATTTCCCATGAGGGAGATCTCACTCATTCCACATTTCCAATGAGGGAGAAAGTGCGTAAAACGCGACTGAAACTGCTTTGCTCAATTTATCTTTCCCTTTTTTACGTATCAAAATAACTCCAAAAAGGCATTCATTTGATTAAGACACACCTGTTATGATCATTACACACAACCTGCAGTAACTAGCAGATCATTCGACCACAGAATGTAAATTTAGAACTTGTGTGAGTTTGTACTTGAATGAGTGAGTTTCGAGGGAGAATGGTATTTTTTTTTCAAAATGAAGGTGTTTCCCTCCTAATGAGGGAGGTTTGACAGCTTTGCAAGGACATATATGTAATGCCGCAGTGATGTCTTAATCAAGCATTTTTAACAATTTAACTCATTCATCCCTGAAGACACATTTGAACCCCTCCAATTCAATGGTTGGAATAGTTCATTATGAAATTTCAGGGGTGAATGAGTTAATTGAATAAGATATGAAATTTATCTTAATTACCACAGTGCTTATGATCTCAAGTTGAATTGAACCATACCTGCAGAAAAAAAACAGATCATCAAAATCAGCACATTATACTCACCTAGGAAATTGTTTTGACCCATATCAAAGAACTCTGCTCCTTCAATGTGCACATTCTCAAAGTCCTGCAGAAACTGGAAAAAAAACCACAGTATCTTAAATATTCAATGAGTAAAAAAAACATCACCTATAATGTGTCAATAAATTTATTATCAAAAATATCTTCAAAGTCTTCTCAAAAAATATATTCTCAAATTTTAAACATTCAGTTGTTTCATGAATAAAGCAACCCTTCAACAACAGGAGTTCGTTACAAATGTCTGAAATACACATATGTTATACTGATACAAGTCACAACACACATAGACAGGGCAGATCTTCCGGCTTATAATGTAGGGTACTTGTGATGTTTTGAGCATATATATAGCTTTATTATTTTTTCATATTATTCCCGACAAGTGATTGGCCAGGAGTGCATCACGTGTCCACCGATAAAAACAGTTATTGACTTGGAGCGCATGATTTTTGTTGAAGGACTGGCTGTTTCTAAAAGTAGAATTATGACGTGTCTCCAAACAATGCACCGACCAACTTCCGAAGCTTTTTTGTTGTGTTTTTTTTTTCAGATTGTTTACATTATTGCTTTGTAAAATAAAACAATTGTAGCCTTTAACTTCGGTTAATACCTGGATTTATTGACCCGAGAAAATGTATCTTTTCTCGGGTCGCTAAATCCAGGCATCAACCTCAGCCAAAGGCTATAATTGAATAATATAAACCTGTCAAAGTTAGGTTATGTTTATGTGTGTTGTGACCCATATCAGTGTAGCAAATGTGTATTTCAGACATTTGTAACGAAGCCCTGTGCTTCAACCCAGTCTGACTATAAACCAATCATATTGGTTCTGTAATATTTGTCACTTTGTATTAGAGTAGCAGTATACTTTACATGATTAACAAACGATCTGACATTTTTGTTTCTGCCTCTTTTTCATTTTCAAAATTTTATGTGTAGAAAAATAATGAAATCTTCAGTGTTTTTTCATGATAAATTTAACAACAGTCTTTTCCTACATGTAGCATTACATGTATTTTGATTCAATTTTGGGAAGATCTCCCTAATTTTTTCTTCCTTTTGGGAAAATAAAGAACTTTTTGGCTAAGGGGAGCAGCCTGTACAGTATTCGTCTGTAAAATTAGGCAAAATAAATCACTGATCTCAGTAATATCATAATTAAGTTTAAATCATCAACCTGAAACAGGTGTATTTTGCACACTAAATAATTTGCAAAAATATTATCACTTCAAATTAAATTTGAAATTATTTAAAGCTGTTTCTTTTAGAACTAAACATGTTTTTTTCTGGAAAGTGCTTAGCCAATGCGTATATTCTATCACATTCAGGTGGATATATTCTATAACACTCAGGTGGATATATTTTATCACATTCAGGTGGATATATTTTATCACATTCACGTGGATATATTTTATCACATTCAGGCGGATATATTTTATCACATTCAGTGGATATCTTCTATCACATTCAGTGGATATATTCTATAACATTCAGTGGATATATTCTATCACATTCAGTGGATATATTCTATAACATTCAGTGGATATATTCTATCACAATCAGGTGGATATATTCTACCACATTCAGGTGGATATATTCTATCACACTCAGGTGGATATATTCTATCACATTCTGGTGGATATATTTTATCACATTCAGGTGGGTATATTCTATCACATTCAGGTGGATATATTCTGTCACATTCAGGGGGATATATTTTATCACGTTCAGGTGGATATATTTTATCACATTCAGGTAGATATATTTTATCACATTCAGGTGGGTATATTCTATCACATTCAGGTGGATATATTTTATCACATTCACGTGGATATATTTTATCACATTCAGGTAGATATATTTTATCACATTCAGGTGGGTATATTCTATCACATTCAGGTGGATATAGTCTATCACATTCAGGTGGATATATTTTATCACATTCAGTGGATATATTCTATAACATTCAGTGGATATATTCTATCACACTCAGTGGATATATTCTATCACAATCAGGTGGATATATTCTATCACATTCTGGTGGATATATTTTATCACATTCAGTGGATATCTTCTATCACATTCAGTGGATATATTCTATGACATTCAGTGGATATATTCTATCACAATCAGGGGGATATATTCTATCACATTTAGGTGGATATATTCTATCACATTCAGGTGTATATATTCAGGTGGATATATTCTATCACACTCAGGTGGATATATTCTATCACATTTAGGTGGATACATTCTATCACATTCAGGTGGGTATATTCTATCACATTCAGGTGGATATATTTTAACCCATTCAGGTGGATATTTTCTATGACATTAAGGTGGATATATTTTATCACATTCAGGTGGATATACTTTATCACATTCAGGTGGATATATTCTGTCACATTCAGGTGGTTATATTTTATCACATTCAGGTGGATATATTTTATCACATTCAGTGGATATATTCTATCACATTCAGTGGATATATTCTATCACAATCAGGTGGATATATTCTATCACATTCAGGTGGATATATTCTATCACATTCAGGTGGATATATTTTATCACATTCAGGTGGATATATTCTGTCACATTCAGGTGGATATATTATATCACATTCAGGTGGATATATTCTATTACATTCAGGTGGATTTTTCTATCACATTCAGGTGGATATATTCTATCACATTCAGGTGGATATATTTTATCACATTCAGGTGGATATATTTTATCACATTCAGGTGGATATATTCTATCACATTCAGGTGAATATATTTTATCATTTAGAAATTGAAGGAATAACAAAACTGACTTCTTAAATATTTCGTTTTACGCTAACATGTAGAATCAAACTGATCAGTTTCAGGATTTTAACAGGACTATATGCCCAAATTTATCTTAAAAAAAAATAAAATACATTGCATATGAACAAAATCAATTCAGGCCCTCAATGGACCATACCTATTTGTTACTGCTGATTAAAAAAAAAAAAAAAACAACATTTTTTTCCTTTTATCATTTCAAAATAATTTGGTTCAATTCTCAAACTTTCTGACATTATTCTTCAAAGATCAATCTAACTTTAAATGGAATTTAAATCTTAGCATTTTTTTAATTTTTTTAATTTTCGAAAAGTTTTGCATTCATTTTTTTCATAAATAGGAACAATAATATGGAATAAATTTTACTTTCAAAACCCTAACCCGATTAACCATTTTTAAACGCTTTCAGAACAGCGAATATTAAGTCAAATATACTTTGACCACCTTTCCATTTTCTAAAGATTTCACTGACCTTGAGATGACCTCCAAACACGTCATCATCACCAGCGTCCTTGTCAGATCCTTCAAAGACGATGTTTCGTGAAATGAGAGCGACCTCTGCCCTCATGTCCGTGTTCATGTATACCTCTCCGTAATGGGTATACTTGGGAAGCACTGTGAAAACAAATATCACTTTGCTAACATTTCATCACACTAACTAACTGTTTTTTACCATCCTGATAATTTACCACAATTTCAATTAAATTTTGGCTTTAATTCCGCCATTAAAATAATTTGTTCTAATTGACTATTTGTTTACCATCCTGATAATTTCATTACCATAGTGGTTACCACAATTCCCATTTAATTTTGGCTTTAATTCCGCCATTAAAATCATTTGTTCTAATTGACTAGTTTTTTAACATCCTGATAATGTCATTACCACTCTTACCACAATTCCCATTAAATTTTGGCTTTAATTCCGCCATTAAAATAATTTGTTCTAATTGACTAATTTTTTACCATCCTGATAATTTCAATACCATGGTTACCACAATTCCCATTAAATTTTGGCTTTAATTCCACCATTAAAATCATTTGTTCAAATTGACTGGTTTTTACCATCCTGGTCATTTCATTACCACGGTTACCACAATTCCCATTAAATTTTGGCTCTAATTCCAACCATTAAAATCATCTGTTTTAATTGGTTTGTTTTACCATCCAGGTCATTTCATACCATACAGTTATTTAAAACCATTATGTTAAATTTAAATCTCAATTAAACCGACTCATAGGTATCAACCTCTGAAACCTTCAATGAGGGAGATCTCCCTCATTCCACATTTTCAATGTGGGAAGAGGAAGCCCATGAAACGCGACTGAAACTGCTTTGCCCAAATTTTCTTTCCCCTGTTATGTATCAAAATAACTCCAAAACGCATTTATTTGATTCAGACACACCTGATTATGGTGAAACGAAGGGTTTTAGCAAAAAAAAAAAAATTGATTTTCTTTAAACCAAATATTGTTTAGTTTACATCAGTATGATGAACTGAATATATAAATCATAAAAACTATGTCTGGAGTAAGAGAAATTTAGAGTTGACAGGGGGGCTTCACTTCACCATGATGGTGAAAAGAAGGATTTCAGCAATTTTTTTTAATTTTACTTTTTTAAACAAAATCTGTTTTAGTTTACATCAGTTTGATGTCCTGAATATGTAAATCACATAAATTCCGTCTGGGGTAGAGAAATTTATGGTTGGGCAGGGGGCTTCACTATCACTTGATAAGGACAACGAAACAAATACCGGGATTAAGGGATCTGCCATATCCAGAACAATTAAAAAGGCTAAATCTACCCACTTTGAGTTACAGACTTGCAAGAGGTATTAATGTCATAGAAGTATACAAGATAATGAGTGGTGTCTATGATCGAAACGCATCAGATTTCCTTAAATTTTGGCAGGAGTATTCCGAAAGGCATGCAGGTACCCGGGGACATTCCAAAAATCTTTACTTACATCATTCAAACATTGAAATTAAGGAAAAACTTCTTTTCTCTACGAAAAGTAAAATTATTGAACAGAGATATCAGCACCATCAATAAATACATTTAAGAACAGACTCGATAAACACTGGATTGATCAGGAAATTATGTATATGTATATATATATCATTTTAAAAAACATTGGAGTCCAATGGAGAGGATCATATAGATCCTGTATCGTAAAATAAACGAAATTGAACTAAACTGTAATCACATACTATTAACTTTGATTTGGTTGGCAAGGCAATCTTCACATTCTATAACATCGGCCAACTCTGCTTGTCTCCAATCAAAGTCCGTAGAGGTCACCAGTACAACATCCCCTGTAACATAGGATACAAACATTGAAATGACACAGATCAACATCAGTCACTTCTACTTGTTAACAATCAAAGTCAGTAGAGGTCACCAGTACAACATCCCCTGTAACATAGGAAACAAACATTGAAATGACACAGATCAACATCAGTCAACTCTACTTGTTAACAATCAAAGTCAGTAGAGGTCACCAGTACAACATCCCCTATAACATAGGATACAAACATTGAAATGACACAGATCAACATCAAGTCAACTCTACTGGTCACCAATCAAAGTCAGTAGAGGTCACAAATACAACATCCCTGTAACATAGGATACAAACATTGAAATGACACAGATCAACATCAAGTTAACTCTTCTTGTCACCAATCAAAGTCAGTAGAGGTCACAAATACAACATCCTTGTAACATAGGATACAAACATTGAAATGGCACAGATCAACATCAGTCAACTCTACTTGTCACCAATCAAAGTCAGTACAGGTCACCAGTACAACATCCCCTATAACATAGGATACAAACATTGAAATGACACAGATCAACATCAGTCAACTCTACTTGTTAACAATCAAAGTCAGTAGAGGTCACCAGTACAACATCCCCTATAACATAGGATACAAACATTGAAATGACACAGATCAACATCAAGTCAACTCTACTGGTCACCAATCAAAGTCAGTAGAGGTCACAAATACAACATCCCTGTAACATAGGATACAAACATTGAAATGACACAGATCAACATCAGTCAACTCTACTTGTCATGAATTAAAGTCAGTAGAGGTCATATCCCCCGTTTTTTCTGGTTATCTGGCAATTCAATTCGTTAGACTATTCAAAGTCATTGTGAACTCTTTAAAAAGTCAATTTTTTCTACAATACTAGCTAATTATGACAATAACAATTCTTTCATACCCTTGCGAAATCATTGTTATTCTTTAAAAATTATAAACAAAAATGATAGAAAAAATTCCAATCTCTCTGTATATTAGATTTCACAGGGAGCTACAAACCTTGTCTCCATAGCGACACATCATCTACAAGGTCCAGGACAAATTCTATACGACTGGCGTTTGCCGACATCACATTCACAAAACTTTTTCTGATATCGCCTTGGTCAACATAGCTTTGAGCCTTGAAACAGATGCCATTCTTATTGATGACACTCCAGGCGTCTTCTTGCTCTGGTGCTGCTTTTCTGAGTGTCTCGTCTTTCTCGTTACCACCTGCAAACAGACCAAGTGTCATATGTAACAGAACAGATGCACACACTTACATTAAGATACATTGTAACTGAGGGACTACACTCTAGGTCACAATTGGATAAAAACACAGAAGCGGAACAAGACTTGGTAGATCGTCGGCGACCAGGTATATAGCTCAATTGGTAGAGCATCCGTCTAGAGTTTTGAGGGTCCCGGGTTCAAACTCGGGTCTACCTGTGGATTTTCCCACTCCTATTGCAGCACAATAGAACACTCATGGTGAGCTATAAAGGATATTGAGACCGCTACACATGACAAACGACAAGTTTGGTTTGTTTGTGGTTTACGTCCTATTAACAGCTATAGCCATTTGAGGACGTGCCAGGTTTTGATGGCAGAGGAAAACCGGAGTTCCCAGAGAAAAAACAACCAACCCATGGCCAGTACCTGGCGACTGCCCCTCGTAGGCCTCGAACCCGCGACACAGTGGCGGATGGCTAGTGGGAGCAAAATGTCAGACACCTTAATCATTCAGCCACTATGGCCCCTCAAACAACAAGAGTATCATCACACGGTTGGAAAACTGTTTATTAGTTAAAATTAAATGCTCATTATATAAATTCCCCCCCCCCCCCCCCCCCCCTT